TCCGGAAATTCTCTCACCAGAGAGTATATCCAAATATTCAGGTATAGCTGGTATATCTCCTAGTCTTACTCTGTACAGATGTTCCTATATGTACACATTGTACAGATGCACTCACTCATAAAATTTACACACATATATACTATTGCTTTTATCGGTAATGAAACACACATCTCCAGGGGGCCCATGTGGAATCCCATGCCTGGCCCATGACATCTCTGCTTCTCCAATGGCAAATCTTTGTCCCTCTCCCAATTGAAGCCGCCCAGTACCTGATGATGACTGGCTGATCTCAGGCCCTAGACACTGACTGCGTCAGCACTGCCCATGTGGTCCAGTCAGTGCCAGCCAGAGTTCCTTGCAGAATGGATGCTAGGGTGAGGATCCCTGCCCAAGCAGGAGGCAACGAAGGGACAGTCACTGCTGCTCAGCAAGAAAGAAAGAACTGAGGCTTCTCTTTGAGCCTGTGGGTCCAGCTACATGGAAGCCACCTGGACATCTCAGGTATTTTGTGTATCTCTTTTGCCTCTCGCTATGCAAACAACCCTAATGTAGGTAGAATTCTGAATACAGATATTTAAACATTAAAATACCAATCCATAAATTTCCCATAGGTACTCCTGGGTCAGGATTGTGAAGAGGTGGACAGGGCAACGGGCTGCTGTTGGCCAGGGAAGACGTAGGAGTCTGTCAGCCCTTGACTAAGCTTGTTTCTTTACAGAACAAGCTGAAAAAGGACTAATTCAGCCTGCTGCCCAGCAGGGGGAGCACTCGCTCACACCACCAAACTCCATCCATGCAAGATTCTCTTGGGCATTTTATTAAAACACAGACTGTAATTTTTGGGGCCTGGCAATCTGCATTCCTAACATGCCCCAGGTGCTGCTGAGGCTGTAGGTTCCTGGCCCACACCACAAGCTGTGGCACTGGACAGCAACCAAGAACGGGTATGAACACTCCTGGGTCAGCCAAGCAATTCGCTGTGACCTTAGGAAGCAGCCTTTGGTAAAATAAAGACAAATAGCCTCACTTTGTGGCTCTGAGTGAGGGTTCAATAGGACAACACATGTAAGTCGGTGTGCAGGGTGTGAGCTCAGCAGACGTCATCGCTGTTGTGCCATGGCTGTAGTATTTCTCAAAAGATGGTCCTGTGTGTCCCCTGCATTAGGATACAGGCCTCTGATCCATAGAGACTTGTTAAAGCCAGACCCCTGCAAATCCAACCAGGAGGAAGCGCTCTGCTCTAAACAGGCAGTGCAAAATTGGAAGCAGGAGGCCTGGGGCCTCATGCCCAACGGAAAGGACAGACGGCCCTGACTGATCATGTGAGGGCAGAGAAGCAGGACAGGAAGACAGTAGAGTAGCAGGTTGCTTTAGGCTCCTTGACAACAAGCCTGTCTGGGATGAAGTGACTCACCCCCGCACTCATCATGAAGATCTGGGAAAAAATGAGAAAAGGCAGACAAACACATGGACATGGGTGGGGAGACACACTTACCTTAGCTATAAGACCCGCACCTCCAGGCCAGTGCCAGAGGACGGCGTGCACTTCCCGCAGTAACCGCCGCACTTCCCCACCACGCGGGTGCCGTCCTGCAGAGAGACGCAGCAGCTTAGGCCACCAGCTTGGCTAAAACTTGCCATGTTCTGGGGAAACTGTTTCTGCACACACAGTAGGTGGTCTGCTGAACCACAAAGCTGCCTGCATGACCCCCAAGCCAAGAACAGAGTTTATGTTTCGATGGTCCAGCTAAAGCAAACCAAGTACTGTTCCTTGATACACGCGTATGATGCGAGTCTGAAGGTCCCGAGTCCATGGATAAAGCTTCATTGTGGTGCATCCCTCCCTGTTCCACCACCTCCCTGAGGTTCACGGCTGCTTCTGTGCTGGAGTAACAGCTGAGTGGCTGCAGCTACTCTCATCGCTTTGGCTAACAGCGCACAAACCACGGCGACAGCTTTGCTGTGGCAATAGCTGAAGTGCATGTTGCTGGCATATTGTAACCTTCGACTCACTTGCTTATTTCCAGAGTAAACCATTAAATAAACCAGGCAAAGAAGAGAAACGTGGGCACTGAAAGCTGCACCCTCAGGCTGGGGCTGAGGCTGTAACTCAGTTACAGAACAGAACAGCGGTTCTATCAGCGTGTCTTGGACTTTGGTGTGGAGGGAAGGAAATTTTCATATTTCAAAATCCATTTAACTAGGCGTGGGGAGCTTCCCTTTCATTTTCAATTGTAAGTGGTTATTGTGCAATGTAATGACATGCCAAAGGCAAATACCGAGAGAAAACTCTCACTGAGTTCTCTAAATGCTTGCTAAGCCATGAGTATGCACAAATAGTTACATAGCTGTGGACAGGCATCCCCGGGAAAAGACATTTAGAAACAGATAAAATTGCATTGCTTATCTGCAATAGCAGAAAGATATTTACAATAATTTCTTTTATAATGGAGAGCACTAATTAAGCAAAACATTTTCTCCCAATAGTCCATTCTTCTCACTGCTATATTTATAGTGTAAATATTATATTCAATTATTATTCTACCATGAATTTAACAAAACAATTGGGTATTTTTTCTCTTGGCATGTAAATACATACATATTGTCAGGTTTGCTTGTTGGCCCTTAAGCCTAAAATATTTATGTTCTGATTCTAAAGAAAGAAGTATGCTGACCCCTGGTCTACAGATCTGCACATGGCCAGCTCCTCCTGTAGCACTCCTTCTCCACCTCCTCATTCCTTAGCTCGCTCTCCTGATGGTCCCCTTACAACACAGGCTTTGCACGTGAGACGCGCTGACTCTCCTCTCCTCTTCTCTGTGTGCACCACATTCCCTGGCAAGCTTAAAGGCCACCTCTGCTGAGAAGCCCCCCCACCTCGCCGCCTGCTCCACAGCACGTGGTGAGCAGGCAGTTCTTCCTTTGACATCTGTCTTGCAGCAAGGCCAGGATCTTGTTACCACAGGTGAGGGGCCGGGACCTGGCACAGTGTGCGCCCCATCATCACGCAGTGGTGAATGGATGAATGGGTGACTGAGTGAGTGAATGAAAAGTCTGAAGCTCCTCTGTTCCAGTGGAGAACCGCTGCCCTGCTAATCAGTTCCCCTCAGTTCTCACCACTCCTGGAAGCTCCCGTGGCCATCTGTGGCATTTCCTGCCCCCGAGAAGAACACTATAAGGAGAATATATGTGCTTGTCAATTTTGGGGTATTTTGGGGCTGCATTCCCAGAAAGGGATGAAGATTTGGTTCAAATGACCACACTGTGAAGTCTCTTGAGAATAACAGAAAATCTCTTTTTGAGTGAAAGGAAGCAAGGAAGGAAAGAAGGAAGGAAAGAAGGAAGGAAGGAAGGAAGAAAGGAGGGAAGGAAGGAAGGAAGGAAGGAAGGAAGGAAGGAAGGAAGAAATTATTTGTGTTTTGAACAGGGGATTGAATTCAGGACCTTGTGCTTGCTAGGCAGGTGCCACGCCACTGAGCTTTATGCTCAACCTTCTTTTTTTTTCTTTGTAAAGGAAAAGGAAGCAGGTGCACACTCCTATAATCCCAGCACTTGAGAGGCTGAGGCAGGAGGATTCCCACAAGTTAGGGGCCATCCTGGGCTATGAAATGAGTTCAAAGCCAGGCTGAACTGCACAGTGAGCCACTGTCTCAAACAAACAAACAAAGCATAAGGGATACCAAGTTACAACAAAAGAACAAAATGCCTTTGCTGTGGGTCAGACTGAGGTGACCTGGGAGCCCACCACCAACCCACGGCCTTGCGGTGCTGGGCTTGTGCTCTGTTGCTGACCTGCCATGCCACTGTCATCCCACTTCTAGAATTAGTTTGCAGCAGCACCAGCTGGATGTGATGCTGGCCGACCGGTCCCACACCTGGGAGTTCTCTCCTTGTAAGTGGGGGCAGGCGGCCTTCAGGAGGAGGCATGCAAGGTGCCTTTCCTATATTGTGTGAAAGACGCTTTCCCCACGCTGGCCTGCAGATGTTTCTCCAAGATGCGCCTCACCCACAGAGGACCTGTCTCGCATCAGACTGCCTGGGGCTGGTGTCCCCTCTTCACACTGGCTTAGTAGGCTTCAGTTTCCCGGGGCCATCCGTGAATGGGAATAGTAGTCGTCTCCCTCCTAACTTGGCTGCAGATGAGGTAATAGAGATCAGGAGCCCAGCAAGGGCCGTGGTCCTCATCCCCACGAGGCGGCCTGCATGATCTCCAGCTGGTTGCTTCTCGAAGATGAGGAAAGGTCAAATCCAAACATTATGAAGTTAAAAAATACAGCAGATGCTGGCTTTCGTCACCAGTGTCTAGAGGAGCTTGCAGGAGGTAGTGCATACACGTGTGCCATGGAAACTCACATCCCCACGGCGTTTCCTCCCTGGCCTGCGGTATGACATGGTATTTAGTGGCAGCTGGACAGCTCTCAGTGGACGGTGGGTAGAAGACAGTGCCTGCTGGTCAGCAGGTGAATGGGCCAGGTGCCTGTGCATGCTCACACATGTCCTGTGTGTACATGCGGCCCTACCTCAGGCTGCCTTCACACTGCGGGCTGCACATGAATGAAAGCCAGGTCAGTGGACGCCTGCTGTCCAGACACGCGGTGTCCACTAATTTTTAACTGCAAAGCAACTCTGTGATCTATAGCCATTCCTCAGGGCCTGTAGAACAGGCTTAGGGTCCACCCGTCATGTGTGAGAGGTGGCAGTGTCCTGGGGGCTGCTGGGCTCAGCCTGAGTGGTCTGGTGAGCACAGGCCTGGGACGGCCGTAGAACCCTGGCTGGGCCTGCAGGGCTCTAAAGGGCACACAATGTCCATGCAGAGGGCTTGGGATTCAGTTTCCCTCAGACCTTGCTTCTGGGCGGTTTCCACCCTCTACCTTTCACACAGAGACACTCGGCCAGGCACCCACCTTGGCCTGCTGTGTGGCCACTGTGAACGGACAGCTGCCGAGTCCCCTCAGCCCTTGTCCTCAACCTTGCAGGGCTGCAAAAACCTTACACCATCTGTGTTTCTTTTTTCAAAAAAATTTGTAACTTTATTTGTTTTTTTTTATTCTTTAGTACTGGTTATTAAACCCAAGGCCTGTGTACTGAGCTGTTTCCCAGCCCTTTTATCATTATTTATTTTGGGGACAAGGTCTTGTTCCATCACCGTGCTGCCTAGGCTACTCTGAAACTTGCCATTTTCCTGCCTCGGCCTCCCAGAGTGCTGGGATTACAGACGTGCATTCCTATGAACAGCTAGAATATATGAGGAGATTAAGACTTTTTTCCTAAAATATCGATTTTTTACAAATGTGTGCTTCACAAGGGCCCAAAGATGCAAGCCCATCTCCTGCGTGATCGGATGAGGTCCCCTCTACTCTCAGCAGCCACGGCGCGGCGGGTTGGGGGGTTCGCTGTGGCTCAGGGCCACACCCCTGCAGGTGGTGAGACAGCCTCCACCCAGGTGCCAGGTGCACCTCTGCCCATCTCCCCAGGCAGCCCTCCCCGAACTCTGGCTTTTCTCGTCTTGCTGTTCCAACTTTCTGCCTATGAGACAGCCAGAGGAAGACATGGAGTTAAGCCACGTAAACCACCCAGTTAGCAGCTTCCTAGGCTGTGCTTATCTGGGGTTTCCCCTCCCACAGTTTCAGCTACCTGGAGTCAGCTGTGGTCTGGGTGTACTACATGGAAATCCCAGAAATCCACAGGGTAAATCTTGTACCCTTCCAAGTGTTCTCTGGTCACTGCCCTCTGTCCCCCAGGGCATGACTCATCCCTGCTTGGTGGATTCACGATGTGTGGACCACTGTGAACTCATCACTTGGCACCATCTCTGCCATCCAGTGGACTGGCACAGGCAGCGCAGGCATCTCACATAACATCCATGTTCAAGGGCCCCTACAGAGGAGCCCTGCCTGTATGCGCACCGTTCACCTCGCTGGGTCTCGACGTGCAGGCTCTCCTTGCAGTGTCTGTGTCATCACAGAAGTTCCATACTCAGAGATTTACAGAGATCACATTCACACAGCACTTTTGCTTTTGTTTGTTTGTTGTACTTGGGGTTGAACTGAAGCCTCTGCAGTGAGCTTCCCCTATCAGCCTTTATTTTGAGACAGAGCCTTGATGAATTGCTAAACTGCCCAGGCAGGACTCAAACTTGAGATCTTCCTGTCTCAGCTTCCCAGAGTGCTGGGATCACAGGCCTGTATCACCTCACCTGGCTCACATGTTGGATTATGGTCCTTTGTTAGAACTGCCCCACCTTACTCTCAGTTGTTGTTAGGCTCTTTTCATCCCTAATTTATAAATTAAACTTCATCACACTGTGAAAGTCTGGGGGAAAACCTAGTACACATGGGGCTTGGTACTATGAGCCTTCAGGCAACTGCTGGGGAGCCCTGAGTATCTCTGGAGGACTAAGGGGATGATGGTGCCTGAATTATAGCCATAATGGGTTTTTTTAAGTTAAAGTAGGAGAAGGGGCCCTTTCCACTGCAGACGAGGGAGTGAACTTGATGCTGTGGCTTATTTCTGCCACAGATGGCCTCCTGACCAATGGAGGTAGCCCCGGGGAGTCTGACCCCAAGTAACTGAAGTTTTCTTCCAGGGAGGCTCGGGGAGAGTGTGTTCTTGCTGAGCATGCTTGGAAAAGTGAGTGTGTCCCTGTCTCTGTGGTTCTCAGCAGTGAAGCCAGGGTAGTGAAGGGTGATTATCTGGGGCTCAAAGTGGGGATATTGAGGTAGGATCCCCAAAACAGAATCCTTGGGCAGTGCAGCCTAGTGGGGAGTCTGTCTGTCCCTCAGACAAGATGGCAGTGAGGACCATGGCCAGGAAGCTGTAGAGGCACCATGGACACAGGTTCCCTGGGGACAGTGAGAGGTGTGGCTCTGACATGCAGGCTTTGTGGCTGCTTTCCTTGAGGTCACTGATCTGAAGACAGCACAGCAGCGGTGGCAGCAAGGGTGACACCCGAAGGCATCAGAAGCCCTTCCCTGCCTCTCCGGGAAGACAGGGCACGTCTGTCTGGGGCAGGGGGAACTCTGTCACGTGCAAGGCCCCGGCACCCAGCGCCCCCACATGCAAATAGCAGTCCCAGTGGAAAGAGGAAGGCAGAGGCCAAGCTGCTGGGGCGGGTGACACACCGCAGCTTGGGACCTGGGCTTTGAGGCCGGCAGGCCGGGCAGCACACCGACCTCTCCTGCAAGCAAGTGCTGCATGCGAGCCCTGCTCAGGAAAGCACTGTCCCCACACACTTCTCCTGGTTTCGGAACACAGCCCTGGGGCTACAGGGCCAGGCTGTGCATAGGGCACAGAGCAGCGTTTCTCCAGCCTGCTGGGAGCTGGGAGCGTTCACTCCCAGCCCCGGGGGGTTCACAGGCTACACTAGAAAGACCCTGGAGATTAATTTTGAGCTCAGACTCTCTAAGCTGTCACAGACGCCAAGATTAAAAAGGAGAAGAAAAAAAAAAAAAATGCTGACAGGCAATTGTCAAACTAGCTCCCTGCAGCTCTGGCAGCAAATCCCCAAAGGCTTGAGAACAGACATGCAGTGCCCGCTTGTTCCCGGAAGGTGGCGCTCCCGACCTTAATTATTTTCAGTTTCCGGCGGAAACTGTGGTGAGGATGGATGCTGGCCACACAGCGGCAGCACCGGTGACACTGTGTGCCTGGGCGGTTTCTTACCCACATGTTTTGGGACTGTTACTGTTTGTCATTCTGGATCTCAGACATGTTTATGCACATTTCAAAACCTCTTCTTGTACGTGCTAAATGACTAATTTCATTTTTTATGGGAAAATCACCCCTAATGAATAGGATCCGGAAGGAGAAGAACATTATTTTGGGGCACCTCTGTTTCTGAGATTTATTCCTTTTTGCGCATGGGGGTGGAGGGGATAGCTAATAATTACGTGATGAGCGTTCAATTATGGCTAATCAGAAGAGGTCAGTACTTGACTGAAGAGGTGAAGAGTAAGGTAGTTTGGGGTTTTTTTTTGTTTTTCTTTTTGTTTTGTTTTGTTCACAAGTTTAACCCTAGCAATTAGAAAAAGAAATCTGGAAACAGATTTTCCAAGGAGGGAAAAATTGAGCATTTTTGCTCAATTTGCTCGATTCCTGGGGGTGGGGTGGGGTGGGGCGGGCGAGCTGCTGCTTCTGAGTCTAATTTTGACTAGATACCATTGCCACCTTCTGCGCATAGAAATACAGAATGCTCAGTTAAATTTGGGATTCAGACAGACGACAGGTATTGTACTTTAAAAATTGCAAGGATGTCGATCGTTTAGCCACATTATAAACTCTTCACTGCTCAACTGAAGTTGCAGCTCCACTGGGCACCCCGTATTTTATCCGCCATGTTCTTTGCTCCTTTTCCTCTCCTACCCCCGGTGGCGGTACCCCTGAGGCAGGCTGGTACCACCTGACCCCCAAGACCTGCGGTCGTCTTCTGTGGGCTGAACCCTGGCACAGCCTCCTGAGAGACTTGGACCCTGTCCCTTGGCCCTGTGGGAGGAGTAGAACCCAGGTCCCGGCCAGGGCGGAGGTGCAGAGCCTTCCTTTCCACAGCCCGGGCTACAGGGCACAGCGCATAGACCCAGACCGATCACCACGCGGCCTGCACCTCTGCACCTCCCCACTGCGTACAAATGAGTCACCCTTGCTCCCTGGACCAGTGCTTCCCTGTGCTCAGAGGCCAGCCCTGAGAAGCCCAGAATCCCTTCCTGCCTCGGTCCTCCCGCCAGGTCGGGGTCCCCGGTGCCCGGGCGCTGGCAAGGCTCAGAAAAGGCACGCAGGAAAGCACATGCATGCTCTTGGCACTGTCATCACAGGAGGAGGGGAAGGGGAGAAGGAAGGAAGGGGAGAAATGGGAAAGAAGGAAGGAGAAACAAGGAAGGAAGGAGAGAAACGGGAAGGGAAGGGAAGGGAAGGGAAGGGGGGAGGGGAGGGGAGGGGAGGGGAGGGGAGGGGAGGGGAGGGAAGGAGGGAGTGAGAGAGGGAGGGAGGGAGGAGAGGGCCTGGAAGCAGGCACGGGCCGGGCGGGGGCGGGGCGGCCCTCTTACCGCCGACTTCTTGATGTCGGAGACAGCATAGTTGCCCTGTGAGGTCCAGCGCGCCGCCTCGCTCAGGGCCAGGCCGGTGCCGTCCAGGTTGACGCGGAAGCGGCCCTGCAACACAGGCGTGGAGGGGCTGAGAAGCGGGCCGGGGGTGGGGGGCGCCCCTGCCCGGCCCCCGCCGTCGGGGCCACGCCCTCCCTCACCGCTCGGGGACAGGGACGCCCAGGCGCTCCCGACGGGGGACTTCATGGCGGGCGGGGAAACTGAGGCCCGCGAGGCACGGGCTCCTCTCGGAGGCGGCGAGAGTCCTGACATCAAAGCCCTCGGCCCCGTCACCCCCTTTCGGCCTCCCCAGCGCGGCAGTCCTGATGTTGCTCACAATTACCGGATTCCTTGGGGACAACATGCCACCGTGTAATTTTTCTAACAAGGCCTCGCTGCCAAGCTTCGGGCGCGGCGGAATCCAGCAGAGCCGGGCGGCCGGGCGGCGCTGCCCGGGGAGGCCGGCAGGGGGCGCGCGCGGCCCGCGGAGCTGAGCGGGGTCGGGGGTCCCGAGCAGTCGGTCCACGCCGGCTCCGGGGGGGGCACCGGCGTCCTCCGGGCCCCCGCGCCCTGCAGCACGGGTCCCATTGCGCCCGTGCGCTGCTGCAGCCCCCGACCGTCCCGAGGAGGCCTTCTCCCCGCAGGCTGGATCCGCTTGCTTTGCCCGGGTCACCCCAGGGGGAGCCCTCGGTGTCCCGCGCACCTCGCAGATAAGGACCTCGTAAACAAGGACCCCGCAGGGTCTTCCCTCCAAACAGGGAGCGGGACTGGGGGGGGGTCCGCCTTGGGGGAAGTGTCTGGCCTCGGGGTCACAGCGGTACAGGAGGGGCTAGAGGGGGACGAAGGCCCGGCCCGCACTAGGGGAGAGGAGGAGCCCTGCAGGCGCTGTCTGGGGACAGACACGGGAGTGCGTCCTTGAGTGCGTCCTCTGCAGGTGCTGCACCTGGGTTTATGGTGGGCCTCAGACCCGGGCCTGCTGCTGCATTACTGTCCCGGGTGCTACACTGTCCCGAGTGCCACGCTGTCTCGCTAAGGCTCCAAACAAAGGGACAGTTGCCTCTGTTCCCTTGCAAGGCCCCATAAGGATCCCGAGCTCGCTGACTACCGCCGCGGGGTGAGGAATTTTCAGGACCAGTCAGTGAGCGACACAGAGAGGATTAGGCAGAAGTTCCAGCACGCACTTGGCGTGGAGCTGCCGTTTATATGGGCACCCAGCTGTCCTCGGGGTGGGCAAGGTGGGATGTGGATTCCTACTTAGACACCGCTGCTTTCTTAGACACCGCTGCTTCCCCAGAGGATAAGCAGATTTTACAGGTGAAAAAAGCTAGTCTGGTCAGATGTGGAAAGGCCCAATTTGCAGGTGAAAAGGTATTTCCCAGACTGGTGTCTTGAGCAAAGAGAGAAACTGAAAACGTGTAATCGAGGCTTGTGTCCCACCCTAGTTTTTAAGTGCTTTAAAATTTCGACTTCTCTCCTTTCCTCTCTATGTATCTTCCACCCTGCCTCACCACCATTCACAATTCCGGGTCACTCGGTGACAAAGGGATCTTTCTTTCCTCCTTCTCATCCTGCTATCAGGGTGCCAGTGTCACCTGCTCTGCTTGGTAGGAACCAGGACACAGGTCGGCTCCAGGCTCGAAGGTCAGCTGGACCGATCTACAGGTCTGACCTGGCATCTGTGCTGGCCGTCCCCGGAGTAGCCCCTACAGTCCCTTGGGTCTGCTCTTCTTGGTGGAGTGACCAGCCCTGCTGCAAGGGCAGGCTGTCCTTCCTGTTCTGGCCCGGGAGTGATGGACACCTCCAGCACCCTCCTAGCTCCAGCTCTTTAAAAGAAGAGGGTCACCAGAAGAGCAAAGACCTACTGTGCCTTTCACCTGCATCCTGGGACATCTCTGCCCCCAAATCCTTATCCTCACAGTCTAGAAGGTATCAGAATTGTAGCATATTTAAAAGAGAGAAACTAATTCAGAATTATGCAAACCCTAGACTAGTGGCAGCCCCACTAGGCTGTTTGTATCACTGAGAATTCTAAGTTCGCCATCACTGTTTTGGAAGCCCTGTGGAGGTTTGCAAAAGGTGTGCTTGGGTCGAAGAGCCATTTGTTCTGTGCTTGGACAAGAGTTAATACTGAGAAATCTTGCCTGGGAAAAGTCAGAAACCCCTGTCTTCCATCTTACAGATATGGCGCTTGGGAGCAAATCCAGCCTCTGCTGAGCACTGGCTGTGTGGATTTGGGCAGGAGACCCAGACTCTATCCAGGCTTGCCCTTTTCTCACTGCCCCGGGGAGTGCAGTGGGGGTGAATCACTGTCCCCCAAGAACCCAGGAAGTGCTCAGTATAGGAGAGCTGTTAATGCCAGCATCAATACTAACAGCACTGTCTGTGATTGGACCCCCTTCCCCCAGCTGCCTGCCAAAGTGAGTGCTCACAGGAGCTCTTCCTTACAGAAACAAAATCCCCAAGCCACAGCACCGGGTGAGGAGAGAACAACTGTCAAACAGCAGCCCTCAGGTCAAAGGACACTTCAGCCACTTCCAAGCAGATACTGGGGCCACGCCTCCTGCAAACTTAAAACTCATGTCCTTCATCCTATAAATGGTGCTCAGTAAATGCCTAAGGAATTGAGTCCTAATGGACCTGGTGTGGTTTAAAGAATCAGCCAGGGTAGTGGGAAAGGAGGCAAATTAGCTTCTCACTGGCTTTGGGATTTCCCGTTTAGGAATCACTTTATTGTCAGCATTTAAGAAATCAACCAGTTCATTTGTTGCTGCATTATTAAAATAAATAAATGCAAATTACCTTTCACTGCCTTAAGCTTCCTAATGGATGTGCTTAGAAAAACAAGAAATTCCTAAGATCTTGAAAAAAGGCAGGACAGGGCCAACTTAGCAGCCATGGAAAAGTGCCCCGCACTGCCAGGTGTGTGAAAGCATGGGCTGGCTCTCTGAAGAAAACTGCACTTCAAAAGTTTTCAATTCCTGGGTGAGGAGGGAAGGCCCTTTTTACCATTGTGCCCTTTGTTTATTTTCTTTTGTCCCTGAAAGCTTCCTTTTCACCTCCTAAAATGTTTAGCAATGCTTTTCTAAAGCTTGGGGCTGAGAAAACAGTTCACTGAAAGTTGAACACTCGGATGTGTTTGTCTCTGACCAGACTCTGAGGTTGAGAGTGAATCCATCTGCCCCCCAGAGACAGCGCCTGGGATTCCGAACCCATCATCAGTCCCAACCCAGCCTAGGGAAGGCACAGGCGAAGTGGGAAATTCCTAGCCCAGAGGTACACAACCTCTGTGTGAAGACCTCCAGAAAACCAAAGGAAGAGCCGGGGCCCAGCTCTGTCCAGAATCAACACATTCATCATGTTTGTCCTGTCTTCCAAGTTCGGAAGTTTCTTGCAGAGATCTCCGCCTACTCTGCAGAATTAATCCAGGAAGATACTTCTCACATGCTTCAGAAGCCATATCCACAGAGGCCAGAAAGTGCAAAACCTGCCTGAGAGCCATCCGGCAGAATACAGAACACTGCAGATTTATAGATCTAAAGTAGGACTTCCACACTGAGCCACATGCCTCAGTGCTAGAGACGTCTAGGATGTATTATTATATTATGGTTTATTGTTGATAAACCATTTCTCCACATGCTGGAGAAGTGTCAACTGATCTGGAAGACTAGTCTAGAGCCACTGAGACTAAGGAGTCAGAGAAAACGGTCTAAGTCTTGCAAATTTGAGGATCTCCGGGTCCAATATTTATTCTTTTAAAAAATTTACCAACTCGCTCTGCTAGTGTTTTTTAAGAAGTCCTTCCAACTTCTTTACATACACGTACTATTTTAAAACACAAGAACAGGAGGTGTAGGTCAGTACTACAGTGTGTGTTTAGCATGCAAGAGGCCCTGGGTTCAATCCCTAGCACGGCACAATGAACAAAAACAACCTCCAAGCACGCAGATGGGATCACGCCGCATGTATGCTTTGCAGTGTATTTCTGCCACCTGATCCTATTCCATATCGTGCAGTATTGAGAAGTTTCAGTGGCTTGATGGTGGGGTGAATGGGCCACTTGTGCTGGCCCACTAGGTACATCGCTTCCCAACTCTCTATTTGTGATATGGTATTCAGAGCTTGAGATCAATCCAGGGACAGTATATGTACTCCAAGGAAGTCAGCAGATGCTACAAAGCAGCAGTCAGTGGTGTTGGGGGTCAGTCATTAAGTCTCACCTGCATGCTGCTGTCACTGTTCCCTGCATTATGAGTCACAATTTGTGAAGCCAAGCCTTTGCCTTGTGACATTTATTTCCAAGGCTTTAGCATTTATTTGATGTGTTTACTGGAACGCAGGAGAAGGCATGCAGCTGTGAACGCCCTAGGAGCCACTCTTGGGGTTGGAATCACTAGATTTGCTGGAGAGGCCCCATGTGCATGGCCACACTGCACTGCAGGGTGGCTGTCCTGGCTGCTTTCCCAGGGACAGATCTTGGTAAGGGCTGGGGCTAAGGACATACCTGGGGGCACTTGGCAGCACTGTAGCAGTCCCCGGCGGTGGCAAAAGGGACGGGATGTCCTTCACTTGTCCTTGCAAACTGTAGGTCGGTAGCTGTGGGGTGGGGAGAGGGTTAAAGAGAAAGGGAGAAGGAGGCAAGGAAAGGTCAGAATATTCACAAGAGACGCAGGAAAAAGAATAGGAGAAATAAGAAATGAGAGAGAGAGAAAGAAACAATTTGAAGTATTAGTGAGCAAGTGGATCCAGATGTGTGCTTACATTTTCCTCATTATATCTGTGACTCTGAGAGCTCCTTTCTCTGGGTTTTATCAGTACTGTCTCCTCACAATTTGCAAGCCAAAAGGAGGTTAGCGTGACTCTGGAATCAGTTCCTACATAAATAAATACATAAATTGCCTCCTGTAAGTGAGGTGTAATTGGGATGATAGTGGACCTCCTGTTACGTAGCCTCGTGGGTGGAGAATGGGAGTGGAAACCAGGGAAGCTACTTAGCAGTCCCTGAGGTCCATCTGTCCTCCTGTGGCCTAGGCACTGTTACTGCCAAAATGCAGAGCACTTAGAAGCCACATCTTGAAATTATTAATGGCAGTTTCTCAAGTTTGGGGTGAGCATGAAAAAAAAAACCCCGAAAGCCAGTAAGAATGATGCTGGCCCAAAGCTCCTGGCCTTAGCTCCACTGTGGGGTGGTGAGAGCAGTGTAGATACACAGCTGTGGCCCTGAGGTGCTGCAAAGCCATCTGAGGTCTGGGCTGGGGCCCTCTGTCCATTCTCTGGGGGTGGCTGGGCCCTTGGTCTTCCTGCAGTGACCTACACTTGGGTGGTAACCCCGCCATGCTGCAATCCTAAGTGCCTCCCTGTCCACCAGAGGGGCTGAGCTGGGGTGGAGCTGGTGTTTCCTAAGTAGAGAACTGCAGCCCCTCTGCCTTTAACCCTAATCAGCCTCGCCAAAGGCAATTAAAGTATCTTGGTACAGATCAAGTTTAAGCTTCCTCAAGAGGAAAAGGATGTTAATGAGGAAAAATTAATTATGCATTATTTCTGTTTCTCTTCTACTCAGGGAAACATGCTGATATTTTAGTGTCTGTAACTGCTCCCATGATTAATGTCCCCAACAGAAAGGCAGAGTTTTGTGGAGTGCAGAAGCAGCCCCGTGTGGGCTTGTGGGAGAGAGAGCTCTGGGCTCCATTTTTCTTCTGTAATCAGCAGTCAGATAAAATTAGTTTTTCCCCAAAGTGGGTGGTGTTGAGGGTGCTGAGGGGGCTGAGGGGGGCTTGCTCTGCGAATTGCTTAGCTTTGGAGTTTCCTGTCTGCTGTTTTCTCTGTCCTAGAAACCTTCACTTCTATCTTTGTTCCCAGTCCTGGGCTGACACCCTTGCTGGTTTACCCTTTCTGGGCCTTAAGGTCCCAGTGTCACTGTAGTGTTTTCTGGGGGTGCTGCGCAGACCGCACACCACAGAGATGTCTTCCTTCATCCGCCTGTCCTAAGCAGAGGCAGCACCTGCCCTGTGCAGGTGCTTGACAGGTACTGGGGACACCGAGGTGGACACAAAGTCAGGGCCCTGCCTGTGAATACCATTGCAGGACCCTGAGCTCCTCACCCGCTCCTCTTAGCACCATCACACCTCGTCCCTGGGGATGTGCAGAGCTCATGTGCAGACTGAGTAGACAGAAAGAAGAACTCACTTATGATCTGCATGCTGCTCAGGTCTATCCTGATCTTCTGGAAGCTGGAAAACCCAGCCGCGGTGTAATCCTTCCGACACTGGCAGTCGTCACGACGGCTTCCGTTGTACGGACATTCTGTTGGATTGTGCAACCTGAGTGATGGAGAGTGTTTGATAAAGATGGCGAAGTTTTCCTAGGAATCTCCAGATGTCTGCACGCTCCCAGCTGGGCCTACCTGTGTCCATAAACCTCAGAGAAATTCTCAGAGTCACCATGAATGAGTGTCACATATTCCTTGGGGCGGTTGGATTGCATCCCTGCACAGAATATCTGAAAGACAGACTGGGAGTCACTGAGGAACAGTGCCTGGACAATTATGGGAGCAATGATCACTTGGTTTCAAAATAACAATTGCTAGGTGACAGTCACCTTTAGGAGCTTTCCTCTAACGATCAGGAAATATTCACCATCCTCACTGGCCCCGTTGAGGCCTCTGACCTCCTTGCAGTTCTGAGGCAGCTCGCCTGGAAGACACCAACCACAGTGACAAGGAATGGCTTATACTGTTCATTCTACAGGTTTTAGTGAGGGGGAGGACTTCTGAAAAACTCTGCTACATGTTTAAAGATGGCAGGCAAATAAACGAACCAAGAAATGCAGTTCTTTGGGTGGGTTACTTACAGTTGTAAGTATTGTGGCAGGTTTTTTGTTCTTCTGGCTTCAAATCAGGGGGACATAAGTGGCTGGGTTGGTCCTCATTGGTTAAACACTGCACGGATCTGTGTGTCACTCCGACACCGCAAGACACGGAACACTGCAAAGCAAGGCAAGATCAACAGGCAGTCCTGGGCTCACAGAGAGGGTGACAGTCCTGATCACTCGCTGCTGACAACACAGAGCTGCTATCGGGAGCACTCGCCATGGGCCAGTCTCTAAGACAAGCTTCTCCAAAGGTAAATGCTCTGAATTGATTCAGGAGACCAAAGCAGCCATGACAGTGCAGTAATGACACTCCTGAGCAAGGACTCCCAGAACTGCTTCAGAAAGCAGCAGGAACAGTGGCCTCAGTGTGTCTGAAACCCGGAGGTGGATTCTGAGGGAGATTAGTGGCAACGTAGCTCTTATTATACATTTCTTAAAAATCTAAACATTCACTATATATTTCTATCATACCTTATAACACAATTTTTTTTTTTTCCAAGCTGTACCATGCTCCTCTGAGAACTCTCGGTCTCTTATTTTGCAGATAAGGAGACTAAGGCTAGCTCCTTAAGAAATTTGCTCAGGGTCATGACAGAAAGGAATCTATTAACACCCTATTCACTTTCAACCATTGCTTGCTGTTCACTGTTCAAGACTGAGACCCTCAGAGTCCAAAGCCAGGAGGCTGTGGCAACTTTTGGAGCAGATTCACTTCGAATTATTCTGTCTTGTTTTACCCCTAATTCAGTGATGTTCTTCCAACACAGGAAGATGAGAACATATGGGGCTCTTTAACCACAGAAGCAGCAAAAACTCATCCTGCACAATTCTTATTAAGCAGTAGATTTTCAATACTTTTAAAACTGGAGGTAAAATCTCTGCAGTGTACAATCTGCCCTTATGACCAAAGCGCTGAGTTCCACAGTGCACATTTTTAGATGAAGACCCTGGGGCAGAAAGGTTGTGCGGCTCTCCCCAGACCTCACCCGGAGATGTGTGCACACCAGGGCCAGCTCCGGCTGTAGCTTTGGAGCCTGTGCTCTGCTCAAGCACTGGGTCACCTGTCCCTTCTCTTCCTGTCACTGGGTCAATGCTGATAACCACACAGCACAGGCATTGACTTACGCTGCCCCAGTTGCCGACTCTCCAAGTGGCAGAGACAGGACATTCTGGCAGGTAGCAAGGCTGGACTCTGGGGGGCTGTATGCCTGGACAGTGGACTGTGGTCTGGTAACTGTATTCGTAGTTCTCCTTCCCGGTGTAAATCTCACTGCAGGAGACCAGTCTTTGTTTGTAGCCCTTTCCGCAGGTCACTGAGCACTGGAAAGGGAGAGACCAAAAGGGTTGGTTCACGCAGCTCTGGGACAGGCAGACTGGACTGCTGCCCTGCGTGTACCCGGGCGCCCACAACAGCCAGTTGGGCAGTAGCCATCTGGGCAGCTCCCGTGGTAGAGGCCCCGGAGCCCTTCTCCGGGTGGGTGTGTAGGGCAGCAGGACGGGAAGGGCCCTGGCGGTCAGCACAGTGCTATTCCAAACCTATGAGGCCCAGAGCAGGAGGTCACTGCAGGTGTGGTGGAAGAGGGTCCCCGCTCCCAGCCTGGGGCAGCACTTTGCTGTGGATCTAGACACTTAGTCCAAGGGGACCCTGGGGTGGGGGTGGGGGCCCTCCCCCGCCCCCCCTCGCTTCTGGGGTATTTGATTTTGTTGTTGTTGTTCTTTTATTTTTGCAAAGCAAACAAAAATTTATTCAGTGTGAAGGTCTGCCTTTTATTGTGATGTTCTAGCTCTCTGATGTTTTGTTAGTGTCTTTTTTTGTATAAAAAAATCAGCAAACATTTGGTACACAGAATAATGGGTTTGTTTTGTCATACTGGCACATCTGCATAAACACTTCGGTCTGTTTACCCCCTTTCTCCTTCCCTCACCCTCCCTTGAATCCTCTTCTTCCCTCTAATAGTCTTCTTCCTTCTACTTTCCCATCATCTCTCCTGTTATACAAATTCCACATGGGAAAAAACTATGCCGAATCCGACCTTTTGATGCTGGCTTATTTTGCTAACTGCCATCCCTCTTTCTGCAAATGACAGGATTACATTCTTTCTTATGGCTGAATAGTACTCCATTGTGTATGTGTGCCACATTTTCCTCGCCCATTTACCTGTTGCCAGGTACCTGGGCACTCCCATAACCTAGCTATTGTGCTATGTGCTGCCATCAACGTGGGTGGGTGTGAGAGTGTCGCTATGTGTTAATTCATTGAGGAATCTATCAAGGAGTGGCTAGCTGAGCCAATGGTACCTTACTTTAGTTTTTTGAGGAGCCTCCACGCTGATTTCCTCAGTGCTGTACTAATACACATTCCTACCCACAGTGGAAGGGTTCCTCCCCACTTGCACCCCACGCTGTCACCAGTGTTTATTGTTTTTTTTGTTTTGTTTTCCTGATGTCAGCCATTCTGACAGGGGTGAGATGGAATCTCAGGGTAGTTTGATTTGTATTTCCCTGACAGTTACAGAGTCAAGATTTCTCCCATTCTGTATGCTGCATGGTTCTTTCCTTTGTCATGAAGAAACTTTTTAATAGGATGCAGTCCTGTTTGTTGATTCTTGCTGTTTTTTCCTGTGCTCCTGGAGTCTTAGTCAGGAAGTCTTTGCCAATGCTTTTGGCTTCAAGTGTTTGCCCTGTGTTTCCTTCTAGCGGTTCCAAAGTTTCAGGTCTTATACTTAGGTCTTTGATCCACTTTGAATTAATTTTTGTACAAAGATTCAGTTCCAGTCTTTTGCATCAGGGCATTGCACCACTGAAAGAGGCTGTCTTCTCTCCAGTGGAGGCTTGTGGTCCTCTGTCCAGAGGTAGATGGCTGGGCTTGTATGGGCTCTCCTCTGTGTGTTGTGTTCCACTATATTGGTCTGCAGGCTGTTTTGGGGGCTGGCTTAGCATCTTGACCAGCCTGTCACTTTTGTGCTTTCCTGTCTTGCTCTCTATTTAAACCACATGATCATATAACCCTTGTACCATGACTATACCTCACTTCAAAATATGCAACCTATACAGAAATGGCGAAGAAGTGATGCGACACTGAGTTATTGATAAAGTTTGACCATATGTCTCATCTCCCTATCAAAGTATTTTATATCGTTACTATTTCAAAATAAAACTGAGTTATAATTCATATAGTTACAGTAAGTTATTAAGTCATTCCTGAGTAAAATCTGGTGCATTTGAGCATCTTCTAGACCCCAAGCTCTTTGGGGATGGCCAGGCAAATTCCCAGAAGCAGCACCCCCCAAAGTGTCATGCATGCCCCAGAATAAGGGACCACAACTTTGCTCAGACCTCAAGGGTGGTTAGAAGCCCAGGCTCCTGCCTTATTGTTTTAAGCCACATGGTTTTCCTCTCCCGAGGCACTGCCAGGGAGAAGGTCTGCCTTGACGAAACCCTAGAGACGGGAGGGAACGCGCTGAGCCTGAGGCATGCAGAGCAGCTCCAGGCTGTCCTTTCCAGCTGGCTCCAGCCCTGGAAACGTTATGTGGACATTTCTTCCTTCTTTGGCTGCTGCTGTTCAAATGCCCGAAGGCTCAGCTGATGCTGGGCCAAGGAAGTGCAGGCGAGCCTAAGGCCCTTGTGTGGACAGATGCTGAGGTGCTATCTGTCCCTGCCGTGGGTGCCCTGCAGGGCCTGGCCCAGCACATGTATGCACTGACCTCAGGCAGAAGTGACTTCAGTGAGTGGTATGCTTCAGAAGCCAGAGGCCAAGACCCTGACTCTGCTCCACTGGAGCAAAAGTGGTCTGCTGGCCATTTATGTGGGGGACATCATGCGGAGGGGCATCTGCTAATGAACCTGAGCCCCAAATATGGTCTGCTTGATTCAGAGGCCTCTCCATCTCTGAAAAGCAGCTGGAAAGCACAGATCCTCCTGGAAAGAACAGATCCTCCCAGCTGGCCACAGTGAGAACACACAGTCACTACCTGTGACCTCCTTTGGCCATTTCCTACCAGACTGAAGTGTGTGAGCAGCTCCTCCTGGGAGGCAAGCTCCAATAACAGATGCTAGGTCTTATGTGCATGATTCTTGGTGAGCTCTTATTACTTTTCATCTTAAAATAATAGCAGAGCAAAGTAAAACACTCAGCATGTGAGGTCCGAGCACTATTGGTACCCACTGGGCCTCATTTGGCACATGCAGACATTGCTGGGGGGTGGCACAGCCTCTCTAGGTCAGGCCCAGGCCTCCACAAACTCAGGCAACACAAAGGTCTCTGCAGTAGTGCAGGTCCCAGGAAGAAGGCGTGCTGTGCCTGGCAGCTGCACCTTGTAGATTTCCAGCTTGGACTCGGTGCCAGTGCCCCTGCATCTCTCCCTTCTCGGGCTCCCTTCCCTGTAATCCTTGCTTGTGATAGTGCCTAGTACTGCCTCCAGCCCTCTAGAGTGCCAAAAAAAATTTGCAGATTTTTTTTAAAGTACTAACGGTTAAATCCAGGGTGTTTGCACTAAGCAATATCCCTAGTACCCTGCCCTCATTTATTTTGGAGATGGAGTCTCATTAAGCCACTAAGTTGCCCAGCCTGGGCTCGAACCTGCCACCCTGCTGTCTCAGCCTCCCACAGCACGAAGACTATAGTCATGCACTACTACACCTGAGTAAATTTGCAGATTTTTCAGGCTATAGTGCGCCTGTAAATCTGTGGCAGTATGGGAGCGTTTCTGACAGGTTCCTTCTATCTTCTGTGTCACGGACTCAGTTTACATCAAACCTGGGGAAGCAGTGTGACCCAAGTCACAAAAGATCACAACTCCTTCCACATAATGAGCATAACACAAGAACATGGCAGAGAGGGCACCAGTCTTGGCTGGGTGAGCAGTGTAGCAACTCCAGCCACATAAGAATCCAGCGACAGCCAAGAAGACAATGTCCCCAGGAGTTAAGGGCCAAAGAGCCACAGGGCAGAGGCCTGAGGAAGGACAGCAAGAGTACAGATGGAGAGCTCTTGCTAGTTAGAGCCATGGGTGCTGCAGCCCTGAACCAGAATTAGGGGCCAGGCTGATGCACAAGAGGGGCCGAGGGAAGCAAAGAGGAGCTGAGCCAGGCAACTGGCTCCCATCTAGATAGGAAACCCATGTCAAGGCATCCACGTGACCCCAGTGGGCAGGCCTGTTTTTTAGTGGTCTGGCTCTCTTTGTCCTTTAAGTGACCTTGGTACTCTCCAGACTGCCCTGTGGGATGGCAGGCTCCTCGTCTCGGAGCCACACACATTCAGGCAGGTGTTAATTTGTCTACGGGGGCAGCTCTGTGCACTGCAGGAGGGTTAGCAGCCTCCCTGGCTCCACCCACAAGGTGACTGGTCCACCTCTCATCCCTTCTGGGATAACTTACATGTGCCAGTGCTGCCAAACACCCCTGGGGAACAAAATCACTGGCACAGAGTGCAGGATGGAGAGCCACGGCTGACACAGACTTTAGGACCAGCATCAGGACAGACACATTGAACACCAGCAAACACACCGGCTGGAACAAATACTCATCCTGCTTAAAGGTGTAGCTGTTACACTGTCCAGCTTCGGCAAGACCCTGTGGTAAGCAGCATCTTCCTGAAAATCGTCAGAACCTTTTCTGTGAGCCCAGCCACTTCCCTTTAGATGTTCTGCATTTCTTTGGGATAAAGGGAAATTGTTTTTGCTATGACATATCTTTTAGTTGTTGAAGACTTCATGAGAACGGAAAATAAGACAATCATGCTATCATTACCTTTTTCAATTAATAAAAGGTCTCCAGGCATCTATAGGGAGGATATGAGAAAAACGAGATGCTTGAGATTCTTTGGATAGACAAAGACTCTTAGTTAAGTGGGCAACCACATCTCATCAATAGTCTGTGGTTTTTGCCTACAGAGTTTTAAACAGAAAATCAGAGCCACATTTTCAAGCGAGGAGAGTTTGCATTCTCTTGAAGAACCGGGTTGGGGCCAGCAATTCTGCCTGCCTTCTGCAGGACAGGATGAGCCTCTCCTGTATAGCACATACTGCTAGGTTCCACCCTGCCTCTCCCTACTGTCTCCCTGACATCCAGTGCCTTCTGGTACTAACCCTCTGTAGTCACCTATAGGCAGCCATGAATGCTCCATGGTGACTTGAGGTTATCATATGGCCAGGACAGGGCAGGGCAGGCAACTGCTGCCCTGAGCCAGCTCACTGGAGGCAGCGCAGCCTCCTGGGCCCGCCCTGGGACTTACCTCCGACCATTCTCCCGTGATCCAGACATACTCGCAGGGTTGCAAGCTGCAGCTCTCACGGTCTGGGGGCCGCTGGCTGGCACTGCAGAGACTGCTGTGGACCTCAGCCTGCTTCTCGTTCATGCACACCACCTGGCGGAACCGGGAGCCCTCGCCACAGGTCTTGGAGCACTGTGGAAGGAAGGGGCAGCTGGAGAGGGGCACTTCCCATGCCGCAGTGCCACCGGCATGCATTCTCCAGTTCAAAGGTCTCTGGGACAGTGGCACTGGGGCAGGGCCTGGCAGAGAGTGCCTTACTTTACCCAGTATGGGACACAGTAGAGTCTTCTGGACGTGGTTGGCTGGATGAAGTGCAGAAAGCACAGAGGAGTGAGTCTTACATTGGGAAGGACCTTCAAGCTTATAGATGCCACATTCACCCAGATAGAGTATTAAATTAAATTAAAACATGGGGTTCAGCTGGGCATGGTAGCACATACCTGGAGGCTGAAGCAGGAGGGTTACAAGTTTGAGTACCGCTTGGGCAACTTAATGAGATCTTATCTCAATTGGAAAAAGGCTGGGGATATAGCTCAATGGTTGAGTCCCCAGTATTACACACACACACACACACACACAAAAAAAAAAAAAAAAAAAAAAAAAAAAAAAAAAAAAACCTGTGTTTACCATCTAAATCCCGCTAGTGCCAGAAACATCATCACATGTCCATCTCACACACAGAGCTAGACAGGTCTCTCTGCAGACTCCAGCCTTTTATCCTGTTTTCTCTCCAGAAGCATAACAGGCAAGTTCTCCTCTCATAAGCAGCCCCTCCCCTGCAGGAATGAAGAGGGGTCTCCTGCCTGGCCTCTGGTCTCCCATTACCCAGCAGCTGCTTGCCACGTTCATTTCCCGGGCCAGAGCCTGGGTGGGTCCCGGTGGGCCAGAATGCACATGAGCAGTATGTTCTGTGTCTCAGACAGCAGCTCACATGCGAGCCCCAAGGACAGCAAAGGAGATCTGGGAATCACTATGATCTGCATTTTTCTCATGCAGAGACCAGGGCTTTGGGAGCCTCCGTACTGTCCCTTGCCACACACCCTTATTCCCATAAACCACAAGAGGACAGAGGGCAAGAGGGACAGAGGACAGCTGCTCCCTTCCCCTTTGCCCTCCTCTCTGCTGCCCTCAAAGTGCTGGTACTTTTTCCTTTCCCCAATACAAAGCCCCCTTAGAAGCCCGACCTGCTCTGCGCTGAGAGGTCAGCGGGCTGGCAGACCGCAGAGCTCCACTCAGTCCAGCACAGGGCCCTTAGCAGTCTTGTTTTCCTGGAGTAAGCTGGCAACTACTGAGAGGTGATACCATCTCTGTCTTTCCAATGAAAAAATGAGCTAGAGGGCTGCTGAATGTTAGCAACAAAACAAAAGGTTACTCTGTGACCTGTAGATATCCACAGAAGAAATACTTGGCTCTAACTACCAGAGGAAAAGTAATTGCTTATAACAGTTAACTCTGTCCACTCTGAAGGTTAGCCAGCAGTTAAACCTGGACTGGATCTTCCAGGTCCCTGCCCCTGTCACTTACCCCCTGCCTGTCCTCTGGGTCAATAAATAACCACTCCAAGCAGAAATGCTGTGATTCTTGAAAGAATTTCTCCTTGCTAAGTGTTTTCTCCTTCAGCCTTGGAGAATGGTTAACTACCAGAAAAATTATTTTTCCAACAGTGGGAAGGACCTGGGAAAACTTAGCTCAAATATAACTTTGGAGAATTAAAAGGTAAACTAGGTAAATAAGTGTCTTACCCCATGCTTTGAGAGTAGTTAACAGCAGCTCTGAAAATCACATGGCCAGAGCTCTCTCCCAGGTCTTAAATCCTAAGCAGTCTGTGTGGGTTGGGCAATCAGAAAACAAACCCAGCCTATGAGCTTGCAGTACCTCTTTTTCCCTGTCCCTTGTGATTTATGACTCTTTCCCCAGTCCCGGAATGTAATCCAGAATGTTCTGGAAAAGTCAAGAAGTTCAAAGTAGTCTTGTTTTAATTTCAAAAAGTTTTTCTCAAGTGACACGATGGCTCTTAGGGGAAAACCTCACCAAATATAGAAGTCACACATGGCCTCTGTGAATTTCCACAGGTACTGTAAGTCAAGATGTAAATAACCATGGTGCTGGGCTGACTTGGTTACCATGGCACAGTCCTTCATGGTGCAGGTACTTTTAATTACCCTGAAGTTTAAAGGGGTGAGGAGGCATGATTTTCCAAATTTGAGGGTGAAGACTATCTAAAATAAACGCTGAAGGTACGTACTCCTTTATTCACCATGGTAGGCTGGCCACAGGGTGACGGCCTAAACAGAATCATTTAATGTAATAGGTAGAAACTGTCTTCCCTTAAAGATTGTAATCAGAGTGCTTTATACTTTCAAACGTATCTTTTGGTGCAATTTCCTAACCTTGCGGCGGGGGAAATCACTTGATACTCACAGGCTCTACCTGTTAAGGTTATTGATTTTTTCCAAGGATGAGCTTGTCATTTGTACTCAGCTTACCCTGCTGGACAGTCTATCCATGGACAAGTCCCAGAACCCATCAGGGAACTGGACAACACAGCGTACCATATGCTGTGTTAAAGTTTTACTTGTAAGGAATGGCAAGGATAGATCATTCTTTTGTTTTTAACTGTTGCTTTAGCTTATAAACAACCCTGCCCCCAGTGCTTAAATTACCAACACAGTCTACTCTCAGAGTTCATTGGAAAGTCAGGTATGTGGAATTTGGACATTCCTGCTCCCAAATATTATACTTCTAATAGAAAAAGGAGGCAGAGACATTTTTGTTTCAACCAATATTTAGGATGGGTCTTGTTCTGTGCTAGGGACTGGGAATCAGTCAACTTCACACCTTGGCATGACATGGGGGGGGGGAGCTCTCTCAGCTAACAGTCTCCAGGGTTCTTCACGCAGCTCACTGAGGACCCCTGGGGTTCGACACCTAGGGCTGACTTGCACAGTAAGCAGCTGTGGGTTCCTTGACAGTCAAATGGTAAGAAGTTATCGGGGAAGAAGAGACAGGATGGGGACCCCTAGGGTGCTGAAAGGTTCAGGCAGCAGCCATAGAGCCTATAAATGAGTTACAGTGAGGATGGCAAGAGAGGTTGGAGGTGAGAAACACCAGCACTTGGGGTCATTGAGAGCACATGATTTGAGGTTTGGAGTTTCAAATACATTCCTAATACCTAGTGTGTGGCACTTTGGAAAAGTGATCAATATACATTTTTTAATAAGCTAATGAGGAAATGAATCCTAAAGAGTGAATATCTTGCCCTGTGTGCACACTGAACTCTGAACACTCTCTGTGGTGAACTTCATGAAAAGCTTTTCAGTCAACCAACCAAGGACCTGCTGTTTATTCTCACTTTTCTGTGCTACGGAGACTTGGGACTCATTCCCCAGCTGATTTTGATAAAATCCCTCCAAATACAAACATGTAGGAGAGAGGCCCAAGGGCCCAAGTACCTCACCTGGCCAGACAGCCACAGGGTGAGCAGCATGCAAAGGACAGGCCAAGCTGAGGACAGTGTGTCTATGGCCCTGTGACAGCAAAACCCCACAGCTGTTCTTGCTGCCCAGACAGTGCGAACATCCAGAAGTCACTCCAGGATGTCAGATTCTAAAGAGGCAGAGGGGCAGGCACAGTTCTGTGTCCTCCCCGCAGCCCCGTCTGTCTTTCTCTCTGTCCTGTCAGTCATGTGTCCCTCCATTCATTTGCATCTTCCAGGCTGGAAGGTGTGTGCTCAGCGCTGGAGTGAACTCTAGGGAGCAAACTCCTTGCCTTGATTGCTGATGACAGGGACAGCGGGAGAGGCAAGGCTGACCCGGGGTGCGCATCACTAGGGTGCAGTGATTACAGGGGGCAGCTGAGCTGCTAGTGGGGAAGCCTGGTCAGCAGAGGCTTCTGAGCAAAAGTGACCCCTCACCGGGGTCCCAAAGGACGAGCAAGGGAGACTGAGATGAGGACAGAGGTGGCCTTGAGGTGCACAGATGCGAGGGAAGGAACCGAGCTCTTTTGTTAAAGCGAGAAAAAGAAATAATAAAAACACTCACAAAACTCAGGACATTTAGCCCTCAACGCTGAAAGGGAATGACTCTTCGTATTCGCAATTGGAATTGGACTGAAAGGGTGCCTACAGCTCTATGTGAGTTTATATATCAGATTAAAACCTTATAAGTAAATCTTAGGTGAAGAGGGTTCTCAAAAGAATTGAAAGTCTTTTCATATTGTTCCCCAGCACTGCTGCACAGCATCGTAATTCTAAAATTGGCAAGCCTGACAGCCAAGTGGACACAGTCACAGCCTGAAGTTGGCAGGGGTACCAAAGGCCGAGTTGGCAAAGTACTGGCTCCACAGAACACTCCACGGGGGAGGCCCAGGCTAGCCGGGCGCCATGCTGAATCCTTGTCCCATTCTACTCATCCTCACCAGGACTCTCCGGCAGCACCTGCTGTGCAATCCCCCGCTGCAGATGCAATCACTGGAGTCCTGCGATTTACAGCCAACCTGGGTGCAATGGGCAGGCCTGCATGTCCTGCATTCGGGGAGACTGAGGCAGGAGGCCTGGGCAATCTGGTGACTTAGTGAGACTGTCTCAAGACTTCAAGCAAGCACGCAAGCAAGCAAGCAAACAAACAAGGGTCAGGAATGAAGCTGAGTGTAAAGGCCCTGATTTCAAATGCCATTACAACAGCCAAACTTCAGAAAATAGGAACAAAGTCAGCTTCCCAAACCGCACATCAAGTGGTCATTTGTTTACAATCTGTCACATCCAGGACATAAACAAAATGAGACATAAAGCCGACCAGAGCACTCTTCTCCTCTGCAGTTATCTTGCCCCGTAAGAGCACAGGCCCTGCCCGCCTGGCATCTGAAGGCGGGTTCCTGCAGCCTGACACAGAGACACGCCCATGTCACCCAGCCCTTTGGCAATGAGGCTGAAATTCTATCCATGCCCCAAATGCGCCACGAATGGCATCTGCAGATGTTGGGCAGGGCTTGTGGCCCAGTAAATGGAACAGCATTCAACGGAAATTCTCCACGGAGAGTCCTGAGAGGTCAAGGAGAAGAAACAGACAGGACATGCTGATGGGGGGAGCGCATGGACATCAGCATTCAGAGTGCGTGGTCCAGCGGTTGGGGCACTGGGCTCCAAATTCCAGCCTTATTACCAAATGCGTCAGCTAAGGCTCTGGCACCCTCATGTCAACGCATCTCAAAGTGAACTACTGCATCCATGAGTTACGGAAAAGGTTAAGTGAGGTTTTTCAAGTACACATAACCTGGTGCCTGGCCCACAGTTCTGTGAATTCTTACAGTCAGTGCACAGGAGAATCACCGTCTGTGTGAATGACACTCCGGGAGTTGTGCAGTGTGCAACCTGTATGGCCATATGAAACGACCCTGACCATCAGGCCTTGACGAAAGTGCAGAACTTGTGCCTTTCAAGGCAGAAGTACTCCATGAAGGGGAGAAAAAGGACACACACAAGACACACCTGACTCTGAGGTGGCTGCCAAGCCCTGCAGAGGAGGAGAGGGACTTGCTGAGTAGGCTGGGCAGCTGCAGCTCAGCCTGGAGTCAAGGTCACTGAGCTGGGGAGCAGAGAGATTTGCTACACACAGTGGCACTCAGGGAAAAGGGCAGCCAACCAGAGGGTGAGGGAAGAGATGAAAGCAAGGCAAGGCTGGGACTCAGGGGGTCTGGAGGTTACAGGGGTCACCAGGTACTATTTAACAGGACACCTTTGATCAAAAAAGTAAGGACAATAATTACACCAAAGCTGCCCCAGGCAGACAGGACTGTGATCTGGCTGGGCAAAGCTATCACCAGTTAATGACCTTCAGGGGTTAGATAAGGTGATACTCTCCAAGAGCCTTGCTGTGGTAGAGGTTCTAAGCCCTCCACAGCTGGCCAGCTGACTCCCTCCTCCCCACCTGGACACACTCTTCCAGTCTGGTGTCCCTCCAGGGCCTCCCACAAGGATGCAGCCATCTCCATCCCCAAGTCCTCCTCAGCCTCCCTATCTTGGGGCAAGGAGAGAAGAAATCACTCTTAGGAGGGTAACTATGAGAACCTGCTTTCCGGTTGCTACTGAGCTCTCTTCTCCTGAGGATGATTAACCTCTGATAAACTTCTTAAGTACAGGGCCTGGGCAGACCCGCAGCTACCATCTTGGCTTCTTATTGTGTTGCAGAGCAGAATCGAAGGAAGGATTTTAAACAATCCATCCGTATGGCACATGAGAAGACCTGAACTTTTTGGCATGCTCGGTGAGATCAGAGAAGAGGAATTTCATCAGTGCCTGTATGGCAAGGACTTTTCATTCTTTGGGATTAAAAGGGAATTATAAATGGAGCTTGCAGTCTGTGACTGGCTCTCGTGTGTTGGAAAGCTGGCTCAAGTGCCAGCAGTCAGCTGCAATTCATTTCCAAATGCCCTGTCCCTGCCCACTCCTGGGAGCACCGTGAGGAGGAGGCAGCGAGTCTGTCATGAGAGAAAGAGGGCGCGGGAGGAAAGGGGCAGTTTTAAGTTGGGGGGAGGGCTCCAAAACAGGAGGCAGGAAGGTTCCGAGAGACCCGCTGAGGGAAGGAGATGGAAACTCTCCTCCCTTTGCCTTCTGTATCCGACGCCGCCACACCTGAACCATAGCGGACAAGAGGTGACTCTCCCTGAGGATCTCACAACAACTCTGTGGAGGTGCCATGAGAGCCCATCCTACAGATGGTGAATCAAGGCTCAGGAAAATTAAAAGCCCAGCTCCAAGTCACTTGGCTAATGAGAGGGAGGCCACGCTGGGATTTCAACAGGCCTGCATTATTCTAAGTATCCTGATACCTAAGAGTATGCAACTCATTTACTGGAAATGCAACTACGTTTTCTCATGGAAGAAAAGAATCTAGAAGAAAAACAAAGCAAAAAGACTGAGCAGACAGGGGGCAAGGTGAGAGCCCTAAGGAAATCGATGACTATTAATTCAGTGGAATTAATCTATGGGGGCAGGCTAGGAGACGGATGCCAGGGGGAAGAGTGCAGGTGGCCTCTCTCATGACAGTTTAAGACAGCACACTTAGCATTGGTTCATTTCTCTCACTTGCTATGTATGTATCACTTGGATAGAAGACACAGATTCCCAGAACCTCAGTTTTCTCATCTGAAAAATGGGATGATGATGATGATGATACTTTTCATGTCATCCAGGGGCTAAAAGAATGAACTAAGATGATGCCCAGCATGCTGGCAAGTCCAGGACAGTGAGGCCAACACTGCACACTTCCACTATGTCCTGAAAGCTACTCTGGTGCAGGGAACGCCGCCTTGTGACTCAGATCTTTTTTTTCACGTCAGATAGCACACACTTTATTTCATTCCAGTGTCAGTGGGAATGGCTTTCCACAGTGGAACATTCTGTCCTGGAAACTGAGTCTACCTCAGGCTAACAACTCCTGTTCCACGGGAGACTGCTTCAGGGATGCTCGGTATTTCTTCTAGTCAAACATTAACTTGGAGTGAGGGCTGGGGGGGGGGTAGGAGGATGAGTCTAGTTTATTTCTGCATTAAATAAGCAGTTTCTTGAGATGCCATCATTTTTTAAAATCCTGAGAACTCCTTCACTGATTAATCTGGGTTTCACACTAGTAGCTAGCTTTTACCTGACAGCCAAAATACAGAAAGAGGAAAAACACAAAGGAGGTCCTGCCTACATTCTGTCTTCTGGTATCTATACTAACATGACCAAATCCAGATGCACGGCTCTCAAATACCCTTCCCAGCTCCCTTTCTTCTGCGAAAGTTATCCACATGCATTTGGCCCAAGGTCTGTCAAATGTCACCCTCAGGAATACAGCAGGCAGAGGAAGCGTCCGATGCCAGGCACCCCTCGCCATCGGAGTGTGCGTGGGGGCCCCAGCACACCTCCTGAGAAGGAGGTAGCAATGCCGCTGTGCTCCCCGGGGGACGGATGTGATGCTGGCCAGGGGGTGGAGCCACACGCCCCGCAGGTGTGTACTTCACGGTTCTACTTACCTCTTGCCATTGCTCTGCCCTCCAAGTGTGGACAGGGCACGGTGGGGCTTGGCAGACACGCTGCGCCTCTGGCCTGACAACCGGGTTGCACTCGCTCTCTCTGGCTGCTTTCTGTGTTCCGATCTGACAGGCCACCTGCCGCTGCTGTACACCTTGGCCGCAAGACACCGAGCACTGCAGAGACAGAGTTTGTAAGTGGGTGCTTGGCTCTGGAGGTGGGAGGTGCAGGGGTCACAGACGAGGGGCAGCACGCGCCTACTTAATCCCTGAACGCTCACAGCTCTCGAGATTTCTAACTTCCCACGAATGAACCAGGGTAAGGTCCGCAATCTGGGACTCACTGCTCATCGGTGCTGCGGAGCGAGGGAGGTAAGATGACTGGAGGACTCTCTAGAGTTAACGAGAGTCCTGGAGGGTGAAGGGGTTGGGAGAGACCGCAATGAAATGCTCAGCACAACCTGGAAATAACGCTGCCATATGAAAGGAAAATTCTGAATCGTTTCTATCCTGGAGAATGTGAACTTCTTGAAAACGGGGAGACACAGTACTGCATAAGAAAATTCCTTGGCAAACTAAAGGTATAATCAAGAAGATTAAACCACTAGAGGTATTAGGACTGTGGAAGTAGAATTAATTTCTCTAGCCTGTTCCTTGTTTTTTATTTTTTATTTTTTGGTCCTGTTTTTGGAGACACGAGGATTCTTTGATTGTTTGTTTTTTTAAGCCACTAAAGTATTTAGATTTATTTACAGCCTCAGATAAAAATACAAAGAATAAAAACCAATAAGAAAAACTGTTTCCTTGGGGCTTTCTGGGTTCAGCTCTTGAAAAATACTGTTAGTCATGCCGAAATATTTTGTTGACCAACTTGTAAAGCACCATTGAAATCTTTAATTAACTTACCTCTAAATTAATTTTTTATTGGTTTCCTTGTTGCTGGGTTTCATAATCTCATGGGCAGGCCTAGAATTACTGTCTTTATTAAGGTTTTGACAGTAAGAGACCAAAAGCAACCTTTGATTAGAGAAAAGAACATGTTATAACACTTAACTATAAAGAAATATTGCCCAATTTTTGTGATAACTGAACTTTGTTAATTTGTCCAGTGTTAAGAAGGCAAGTTTAGCATACATTTAAAGCTGTATTCCTAAAAGGAAATCTTCTTAAAGAACAGAATGAAGCTCTTTCAAATGAGAAAGACATTCTTGTCCTATCCGCAGCAGTACTGGGCTCCCCTGGGGATCATGGAAATTCCCTATCAAAAAGCACCCCCAAATGGATTTTGCTGGGTTGGAAGCTTTTCTTTACCTCCAGTTTTGAGGATACAGGTGATACTTTTTAGAAAGTGGCTTAAAAAATTATATTGCTTCAGATGAATCTAAGCTGGGGTGGGGGGTGCTCACAGTTCACATCAAAGCTTAGTGGAAGAGAAGAAAATATTTTGGATCAACATCGCCATATTGTTTGGCTTTAATTATATTAATTGGATTGAATGAGTCTGTGACCCACAAGAAACCAGACTTCTAAAGAGATTATGTCCTAGGTGGAAGGGGAGGGTCTCTGTTCTCCAGTGACTGCTCTGGCTCTAGAGAACGACTATTTGGTGGCCCTGAGAGTGTCATGGACAATATTTCTCACTGGTTGCACTTGGGGAAAAAAAAGCAAACTGTAACATGGTAGTTACCTCACAAATGACAGTAATGCTTAACACCTACTACCCTCAAACAGATGAGCTACCACCACCACTTTGGCTATTTGGTCTCATAAATGCAGGAGTACATTTCTATAATAGCATTGTCCACACAGAAACACAAAGAAAGAATAACAGTATTGCAAACACATTGGAATTTGGCATGGAGCTGACATATATCCAAAATTTCCTAATATTTTAGTAACCTGAAGAAAAAATTTAAAATTTAAATGTTTTTACTGTGTATATTGTTATTTAGGTCATTAAGTAAATGAAACCTCTGATTATGGAGTAAATTACCTGTAGTTCAATGAAGGTAAGGTATAAGAGTTGTCATAAGTATCTACAATTTTAGCAAATCACTGCTTATAGCATTCAATAATTTTTCAAAAGACAAATTAAGACACAGGAAGCTTCAATTATGTAATATGCTGTTCTAATTTCTGGCATTTATGTCAGAGCCAGCTTTGAGCTACCATATTCAGGAGTTGTAACACAAGTTAAATGCACAACAAGGTGCAAACCCTGCCTTTCTGAATAGTCCACCTACAGTACTCGGCTCAAAATGCATCTGAATTTTTGTTCCTGCTCTGTGTTCATGGCGTCTTCCTCATGGAAGGCAGCGATTTGCATATAGCACCAGGCAACCTTGCTAGGCATATCTAGAGAGATCTGTGCTGAAACCCAGGAATGAAACAGCACCAGAAGGACTTCTTACTGACCCTGGAGCTGGTGCTTATGTTTATTCATGTGTGTTTAATTTTTTTCCTTCTGCTGGTTGTGCCTTTTGGGTGTGCCGTTAGCCGCCACTAATATGGTCCCCAGCATCCTTGCACAGTGCATTTGTGCTGTGCTGAAGGGAGATGACATCAGTTCTGAACTACTGAGAACTAGGTTTCGTCTCTGGCTGTGCAGAACTCGCCGACCTACCGAGAATTTGATGCTTATTTCCATAGCAAAGAGAGGCTCTATAGGACTTGTGATATGTGGGAAATAATACACACTTGGAAACTTGGGAAAGAATTTTACATACTTTCTTTTGGTGTTACTGCTGGGATTATGGTGGTGGCACTATTTCAAAACAGGAATTAACTTGAAAAACAGTTATATAAACTCATTTTTATAAATAATAATAGAAAACATTTACTAAACACTTGCTAAGCCAGACTCGATGCAGGAGCTCCTCACCTGAGTAATTCTTTGTTGTGGGGACCATTCCCTGAATGGTTAAGATGTTTAGCTGTATCTCTAGTTTGTATCAACTGGATGTCACTTACATCTCCTCTCACCCCAAGCTGTGACAGCCTATCTGTCTCAGATACTGCCCAGTGTCCCATGGGGTATGCAGTTACTCCCAGGTCAAAGTTTAGCTCTACACTAAGCATTTCTCTTAAAATATTTTCGGTATCTCCTAATATGCCTTTTAGGTAGACAGGCCATAAATAAACAAAATGAAGAACACAGATAATCACCTTACTGTATACAACAACAAAGAGAAACAATCAAATGAAAATTTTTTTAGGAAATGAAGCACAGTTACTGTGCATTAAAATTTGGCTCCCAGTTTTAAAATGTGGTGCTAATCTGATACAATTGTCTGAACTCCATCAGCAAGAGAGTGGTATGAAGGCTGTATTCAAACAGTGCCCCACTGCTGCTCACGACTCAAATACAAACTGAATAAACGGCAAGCAAAAGTCACTATAGCAGCTCTAGTTCTCAGCACTGCCCACGTGACTACAGTTTCCTTAAGTTCTCCAAGGACACGAGCTACATGTTTGCCACATTTCTGCACTGAATGTTAGAAGAAGACTTCAGCATCGGACCCACAACCAAGCAGGCTTCATTGCCATGAAAGGTCACGACCAACTCACCAGAGTCCATTTCCATATTAGCACTGAAGAGCTTCACAAAATTAATTCTTATTTCATTGAATCTAAGACACCACTGCAAGACATATCATTACCTTTGTGTGAGGAAGAAGGGAACCATCCTCGTTTAATTAAATCATGAATTTCATTGTTTGTAAGGCCCCTGCTTGTCACAAAGGCATTAAACTGTGAGGAAGATCTGTGTTCCATGCCTGATGAATGAGTTGATGGAGAGAACGCCTGACTGATGAACAATGGAGTGTTATCCTTATCCTAATCTGATCATTTAATTTGTTTTATTACTCATCTTCAGTAATAATATAAAAGCAAACCAGGACTAACCTTTCTTATAGGAACAGGGTAAGCATAAAAAATTGTACCCTTGGAAAGCTTTTGTATTATGAGAATACAGAACCTTCAAGTTTATCAGGCTGAATCAACAATCTGATGGTGATTTTTTGTCTGAAAACTCCATGGGCATCCTTTACCTCTTGATCAAAATTACCCAAACAAATTGAACATGAACTTTGGAGGGAATAAAAAAAAAAACTACTTAGGAAGCCTCCCGAGAATTGGCCATGCTGGCCTGGGAGGATCCAACAAGAAGCCAATCAGCCACCCTTTCTGGTAAGCTGTGCAAACCATGCAGCTTCCAGGAAGAGAAAAGTCAGTGAGCCTACCAGTGCACTGACTGAGAATCAACCACCCTCCCCTCCAGCAACCTGCTGGTTAGGAGGACAGGCTGAGTTGATAGCAACTAAGGTACATAAAGCAACTAAATGCTTTTACTGTCTGTTGATTTTGCAGGCTTGGGTATCTCTTGAGAGGATGACCATATGCAATAGCAAATATAGGGTTTTCTTCTGTCTTGCCTTTGAAATCCAATATTGTTCTCACTGCTTTGCTTTGTTCTGATTAGCTTTCATTTAATATTCTGTTTTGATTGGTTTTATTCTGTTTTGGTTTTGGTTTGACTTTGCTATACCTGATGGAATGGACAACTAGTGTGAGGATGAGAAGATATACTATGATAGCTATTGTTGTTTCCCTGGTATCCTGCTTTGAAGTTCTGAATCAATTTTGCTGCTTTGTTTTAATTGGCTTTGTTCTGTTTAGTTTTGCTGGATTTTACTATCTTACAACAAAAAAGTTAGTGAGGATGTTCAAAAAAACCCCAGCTAATTTTCTGTAGAACATCCAAGATTTCAAAAGATTTGAAATTTAACATTGCACCGTAAACCTCAAAAACCAAATTTTAGAGGCTATTAAGATTAGCCTTCTATCTCACATTCCACATATCACCAGGGATTTGGATGTTGTAAGAAAATGCATTAATTACTCCTCTTCCCATGAAGATAGGCTGGCTAGAATACAGCTATTAGAGGAAACCAGAAAGTCTAAATACAGAAGTATTTCTACAATAAGCAATCACTGCTCTTGCTTAATATCACTGCCTTGTAGTTATTTCTGTTGTCACTGGCTCATTAGTAAGTGGACAATCTTTAATCGTGCAGATTGTTTTTGTCTACCAATTATTGGGTCTAAAGTATCTTCAGGTATGCTTCTAAATTACACAAATCTTGTTTTCCCTATTTAGGAAAAACACGATTTGTGTAATTTATAATTCATTTCTACAGACCAAATCAGGACATTCTAAAGCTAGCCATAGACTGTTACATAATTGATTACTCACATCTTTTGTGGAGATGGTGACTTTCCTAGGGAATCATTTTGAACAGGTGTGGTTCTTTCTGGAGAGACATTCTGAGAATCCTATTACCTTCTGTTTGCAAAAACTCCCAGAGTTTAAACCTAATCATCCTAGTTTTGTAAGTAATTTTAGGGTTCCCCAGAAGATCACAGGGTGCTGGAGTTAAAACTCATTCTGTGTTTATTAATAAAGTGCAGAAGGTTCTTTTGTTACTTTAGTAAATAAATTTCCTTTTAAAATAAGCACTGATGCATTCTCTGAGGATAATATTCAGGAGGAAATGCAACTAGGTAAGTAGAGACCGAGGAACACAACATAAAATAACAGAACTAAAGTCTGCTAGAGGATGAGCTAATTAGGGTGGCAAGGTAAATAATGGTAGCTGCAGAATTCTGCATGAACTGAACAGCTCCCAAAATAAAAGGGCTGCAAGTTTCCACAGCAGCAGTTACCCAGAAGCCATTAAAAAGCATGAGCACGAAGACACACTGCCTCGAAAGTGAACCACAGTAACCCAGAGAGAGAATGCACCTTGAGGGGTAGAGTCCTTGATCATTACAGAAAATGAACCCCAACCTCACTGCACTGTGACGAGGGTCTTAGGAGGGAGGAGTAGCCTGTGCCCACGCACCTCCTTTCACACCCTGGGAGGAGGACAGGACAAAGCCAGGAATGTCAGCTCTGGACAGAGCAGAAAGACTCAGGCTGGGTAAAGAATGTTTGTTAACTGCATTGGAATGGCGTTTTGTGGAACCCTCCCTGAGTCACCATGGCCATATCCGGTGCCCTTACAAATGAAGATCCAGGTTCTGAAAGAATGGATTCTAGAGGCGCCCACCTTGAATCTGGTTTTCCACTGATTCTCAAGGAATCATTGGCATGATGTTCCATGGCCCAGGAGAACAGAAATACATAGAGCCTTACTGAGTCAGAGAAGGACCTGAACTACCAGCACTAAAACACTCAGTATTTTAGAAAAAAAAAAAAAAAAATGAGCCTTGCTATTCTCAGGCTAGCACCTTTGACCAAGGTGAGCAAATGTTCCAGTGTGAAGTTACCAGGTCCCGCCACACACTAATGATTCAGATGGCACTCAAATACCAAATGCTTATTTATAAACAGCAGCTTTCAAAGTTCCTCCTTAAAGTTCAAGAGGGAAACTCACACCTCCTCAGGTCTAAATTAGCAAATGTTTAACTAAAAATCTAACTGTAATCCAGGTCTTAGGTCCTTCCACGCCCCATGAGACAGACATGTCACACGCATCCAAACAAAATAGCCTCTTCCACCAAAAAGCCCTAAGCAAAGCACTTGGCATTCATTATTGCGTTAAATCCTCATAGGAGCCATATGAAGCAAGCTGGGGAAGGTTACACAAACCACACAAGGACGCCTAGCTCTTGACAGCTCTCCCTCTCCACCCTCCTGTCTCTGTTGTAAACAAGCAAATGGGCAGACAAATACTTTCTGCTACTTTTTCTTTGAGGAGCTCCAAGTTCCCACTCGGCGCCTACCAGGGGGCCACCGTCAGCTTCAGTGTGATGGGAATGAGGGGCTTTTCCAGTAGTGAACAACAGTGCCAGGCACAGCCAAGTTTTGAGGAGCTACCCTGCTGCAGCTGTCTCATGCCTATTACCACAGAGCATTTGTCCTCGAAACCACCTCACTGTGGGTATTATGCATAGCTCCAGGGGCTGAAGCCGCTCGTTCAAGGTCACACAGCTGTCCTGACTGTCTAGCTGCACATCCTTCCCTCCCCGTCTGCAGCTCTCCTGGGTGAAGCCAAAACCATGCAGAAGAAACACAAGCGAAGACACTGGCATGGGCCACGTGGCTGGAGGGGAAAAGCGGTGGGGAGGGGAGAAGCATCGCTCACCTGACTCCATGCGCCAGCCTTCCATCTGGGGCACCGTCCTCCTCGGCACCTCCTGTGCCCATGTGGCTTAGCAAGGTGCTTACAGTAATCACTTTCTAAATGGCTTCCATCTTTTGCCATGCAGTAAACATTTCGCTGCTTATGCCCTCGACCACAAGAGACAGAGCACTGCAATATAAAGCAATGGCAAGGTTGTTGTTGTTTTTTAATCACACGGAGTTTGATTAAAAACCTGCGTTGTGAGATGTTAAGATCATGTCTAACGAGAGTCAACATTCCTTCTTTTCTAGTGCCATTTTGGATAATATCTCAAGGCTTGACAGAGCAGGAAGGTGGCACAGGAAAAAATGTCCAGGGGCAATCCCGTATGGCGTCACTCAAGCGTATGGGTAAATTCTGACAATTTAGCTCAAATAAAAAGCTCATGAGCCTGAAATTACCATGGAATTTTGACTGAAAGAAGCCTGACTAGCAAACAGTAAGATAAATGTTCAACAAAATGCCTTGTGATTCACTTTTTGGGATAAAGTTTCATTTCTAAAATGCAACTGTGTTCAACTTTTTTTTTAACCAAACAATTTAAGAAAACTCTGCAGGTGTTTTCTAGGAGAAAGTTCTTATTTTCCTAGTCCATCAGGAAAGAGGTGAAAAAGGCACATTAGAAACTGAAAGGTAAGCTAGCAGGTAAGTCTGCCAATTTTGGGGGAAGGCATTACCTTTCAACTCTGATCTGCAGGTTCGCTGGACTGTTTTAAATGTGACCTTGTCTGACCACATCTAAGATATTTGACTTTGATTTCAGATTAGGTTTCTCAGAAAGGTTTAGAAATCAAAGTGCCCATGGAGTGTGGACAAAAATTTGATATGACAGTTTTTTGTAGAACAGGCAAGAGGCCGGCCCCAAGGAGTGCACGTTCAGCATCCACTGCTCATTAGTGATTACAGAAGGATTTCCCACTCGGATGCTAAGCTGCTGGCTTGGGCTTCCAGACACATTATTTCCCAATATAATGGTCTTCGCTTTGAGAAGGAAATGAATTTAAGAATGAAGAACAAAATGGGAAAATACAATGCAAATAGATTTCAAGTGTCATTTCCCTCTGTGCAGTATTTATTTCCCCCACTAACTTTGTGATTTTGTTAGCCTAGATCACCAAAGTACCCTTTTATGCCTAACAGAGCTATTTAAGCTCCATGTGAAAAAAGGAGCCTCATATTAATTCAACCATGGTTACCAAGCATGCTCAAAGTTATACCATTCAGAAATGTGCCAGACACATTTTGCTGGTAAATGTAAAGCATTATAAAAAGTTTAAGAGTAGATGGTAGAGCAATCTAAAGTATGAATATTAACACATTTGACTTTAATTTTTTATTTTATAAAAAGGAAACATTCCTTTGAGCCCTTGTCTAACAAATACTATGGTTTGCAGTACTTATTCCAGAAAGCTTAACAGTATATATTATGGACTGAAAGAGCCAATTTGAGCATCTTCACCAAAACAAAACTATTCATCATTTAACTTACAGTGTTTTGATGTACACAAAGACTTTGGGCATACTTTTCCTAGGTTTTCTGAATGAAGTTCTTACAAGTATTCCTATAAATTACTGAGTGGCCTAGTGACTTGCACAAAGATAATTCTTATTATTTGTGACCAATTTTAGTATTAAAAATGTTACTTCAACAAGAAACTAATATAATCATTATCACAATTTGAAATTGGGATAATGTCATCTGTTTATCAACAAACACTTATTAATACCTACCACGTTCCAGGAATTATGCAAAACACTGGTGATAAAGTGATAATAATAAAACTGACATAGTCCCTGTCTCACGGAGCTTACAGACCCGTGACGGAAATCAACATTAATCGAGTGGTGACCAAAGTAGTTCTTGATATGGTTACTCACTGAGATGAGTCCTGTAAAGCACAGGGGCCACAGAGGTGGACAGAGGGCTCCCTGAGGCAGACCTCGGGGTCAGACTAGCCGAGGCCGCAGGCCATGATGAAGACTTTGGATTTCATTTTGCAGAAGTTAGAAAATCACTGAAGAGTTTGAATTCAGGGTAAGGCATGGTCTGATTTCTGTTTCAAGCCTCTGCTTGACTACTGAGCAGAAACTAAACACGAGTACAGTGTGAGTGGAAATAAGGAAACTCTCCCAGCAAGTGACCGTATTTGTGCAGGCAAGAGGCAGAGGTTGTGCAGATCTGGCTGCAGTTTTTAAGCAGAGAGGCTGGTAAAGACGTATGCTTTTGAAGTAGAGATGATAAATCTGATAGGCTAACTGTAGGTTATGGGGGAAAGGGCAAAATCAAGGATGGCTTCCAGGTTTCTGGTTTGGGCAGCTGAAGAGATGGGATAACACGAGACAGGAAATACTGGGAAAACAGCATTAGAAGTGAAAAATATGTTTGTTTGTAGAAAATGGATTGGACATAAAGAAGATAGTAGTATAGGTGGCGATACTTGCTTGGTCAGAGTGAAGGAATACGGTGTCTAACAGTAATCAAATGAACCTGGTTGAACTTAAAACAAGGAATCCCCAGAGATAGTCATTTCAATACACAAACAGTTCAAACAAGCTGTCCCTTGATAGGAAGGGGTAAAAGAGAGTTGATGGAAAGACTGAATTAGTAATCGGGTGTGGGTATGGTTTAAAAGAAGCCCACCATCTGACAGAGGCAGAATTAGAAAGGGCTAAACTCATGCAGGGTCTGGCCGTATTCCAAGGCTTTGCATAGTTATCTCATTTAACCATCCCAGTAAATCAACAAAGCTGAACAGTGGGCCTGGGAATTATGAACAGAGACAGGTGGCTTCAAAATGGCACAACCACAGGCACACCGCTGTCCACCTGCTGCAGCAAAGGTGATGTTCCTGTTGGGAACAGTAACAGCACAACAGAACAACACAACCTCCCTGCAGTCATCCACCCGCGGTGGTCACTGCTATCCCCAACTTCTACTGCTAATGAAACGGAGACTGATTAAGTACTTTCTACACAGGATACCTTAAAAGCCTTGTTAATGTCTGGGTTGGCAGCATCCTACCTAGTGATAGGTGTCTTTTGTTTATTCAAGGACTTGAATGGAACTGGCTTAAAGATTCACCACACATATTCTTCTCTTGAAATTATTAAGATTTAAAAATGATCAGGGAATTCTCAAGGTAACGAATCTGACAGCAAACAGTCTTCTTGTTATGCTTTCTAAATTATCAATGAAGAAAAGCAGCTGTTAGTTGAAATGTTCAAACCTCAGAGGTTTATTAATGGGTCTATTATCTCTTTATGAAGAAGGTGACATTTTGATACTCAAATAAATACAGATTTCTGCTGTTTCATTCTGGGGGAAATTTCCATCTTTTCATTTCCAGTCTTTTGCCAGGCAAAAGAGGATTTTTACATCATCATGCATCATTAAGATGTGATAGTTAAGGGGGATTTAGTTGAGCAGCATAAGCACATGCCTGGCAAGCATGAAGTCATGAGTTTGATCCCCAGTATCAGGAAAAAAAAAAGATACAATAGTTATGTTTAGTGTGTCTCATTTAGTGGCTATATATCTGAGAGGTCTTGCTTTTGGGAACATTTAATTCCTTAAATTTGCAGATGAAATCACTTTTCTAGTTTGCACATAGGACTCTTGACTTTTTCCTCTTGGACAGCAACTCAATTTACTTCAGAGACTGATTTTTTGCCCCCCATCTTTGAGCAAAACTCCCAAACAATGTAAATCTCTGCTGACTTAGAAGCCCAAGGTCAGCTTCCCAAATGCCTGGACTTTAAAGTTATTGTCCCTGCAAGGCCCACTGCAGAGATGTTGGAACATAGAGCTGTGTTCAGACACAGTGCTGAAGCTTGCCACGAGGCCTTAAAACTTCTCTCATTTCAACTCACTCCAGACGTGGGCAGTGTGACCTTATCCTCTTTCAAGGATTTGATAGCTCTTTACCTGGATGAGGAAATTTGGAGACTCAACAAAAATGAGTCTCAGATTCCTGACATTCAAGACATCCCAATGAAGTTCTGCCGAGCTGCTAAGTTCTCTAGAAGGAACCCAGAAGACCAAAGGGGAAGGACAGAATTTGGCTAGGAAGCTTCCTGGTGGGACTAAGATGCTGATCTTAGAGGAAGCCCTGAAGGTTGGAGGCTGGGAAGACCAGAGCTGCAGCAAATGCTTATTGGGCAGGTGATCTGGCAGGGTAGCCTCTGACTCAAGTGTAGACACAGGAGACTCACAACCTGGATGGATGGGCTTCTGTAGGTATGGCAGGGGCAGGGGTGTTGACCAACTGGTACATCTTTCCCAACCTAGGATTTTTCTCTTGACCACACTGAAGGAATGTTAACCCTTTGGGCTCTGCCCGATGCCCTTTAGGCAAGCATCATTTCTGGCTCCAGGTGAATGGCTCGTCCATGGCCATGAGTGGATGGCTGCAGGTTGTATACCCGGGCTCGCCGATTCGTTCCATGCTAACTGCTGACAGTTGAGCCAGTGGGACCCTCAGAGACGCCCTCACAGACCTCCTCAATCTTTCTGTTTTAATCTAGCATCACACCTGGAGCTAGCATGATGGGCATGGAGGCAAAAAGGCAGGTGGCGACTGTGCCCTTCTGGCTCTGAGGACCCACATCCACGAGAACAAGAGCTGACAGCAGCTCCAAGGCACAGTCAACCCTGAGACCAAGGGACAACAGCAGCTGGCTGCAGGATGCTGGCTCTCACTGTGCTGAACGGCAGCAGAAGGCTTGGTGTCAGACCGAACTAGGCTCCCATGTGCCATTTTACCCCAGTGTTGGGGGGGGGGGCGGCACAAGTGACTTGGGGCTCTGTCTGTTCTCTGTAGGAGCAGGGCTAAGAAGCTCTTATGTTCACACAACATGAAAATAATAACTCAGTTCAACATCATCACCACTACTGCTTCTACTCAATGTGTTTTTTACAGGAATATTTCCAAAAAGATGCGCACTTAGAAGTATTAACTTACTGTAGTCAAAGAGGAACTTTCTAGCAGAGATCTCGATGGTAAAGGTGGGATCAAGTCTGGCAAAATCTTACCTTTGTGAATAAGTAAAGTGCTTTCCTTTCTAAAGGGCACAGAGAAATCCAGAGCAGACATTTAAATGTTAAAGTTGTTTTTCTGCTGTGCTTTCCTCTCCTATAGTCTATTACTTATTTTATGCTCTTTTTCTTACCAAAGTAAGAGAAAGAAAGATATCACATTCACATGCCACATCTCTTTTCTGCTCCATCATTTCCTGCTCACACCTTCCATCTCCAGGACTACTTCCGTTTCCTCTTTGTTTTTTGGGATGCCAGGTCTCAAGTGTCCTGGGACAGACTTGCTCCAGTGAGGGCCATTAGGGAGTCCACAGTCACTCCCTTCCCTGCTCTGCAGGGTCCTGGGGGGAGTGGACACAGTCCTTTGTCCAAAAGCCTGTCTCTTATTGGCCATGGGAACCCATGTAGGGATACTTTTGTAGGGCTTCTCACAAAACAAGAACAGCTCTAAAAAGGGCCACCAAAACCAAACTCTGAGGAGGAAGGCAGAGAAAGCTTCAGTAGAAAACAAGGGCTGTGACTTTAGGGCGTGAAGCCAGTGTTGACAGGCCTGCCTGATGGCTGTCTGTGCCTAGGACCACCCTGGTACTTATTACCATGAGAAGGAGCTGAGAAAGCATGAGACTGTCAGGAAACACCATAGGAGAAAGCGGATGTGAGGATGTGAGAAGTAAGCCGGACAGGGCACTGGGCCATCCTCCTGTCCCCATGGCTCCACAACAGCCCCGCCTTTGCAACGCCACAAAGACTAAGAAAAGGACTGAGATTCACATGTCAGCTCCTGGAGCACGCTCAAGGCTGCAGTCAGTACGATGCCAAGTAGGTGGCCCAGCCTAATAAGGGCAACACAGGCCCCCAAAGTAGGGAAACAGAACAGGGAGCTTCCACTCTCCACCCCCTGCTGTCTCCTGGGGATTGTGGAGCACAGGGCCCTCCAGGGGTGCTGCCCCTCCTCCACTCTCACAGTGTAGCAAGACAATGCCCAAGGGAGAAGACGGTCAGCAGAAAGCACACATGAAATCAGCCACTCAGGCTGTGATCCATTACTTTTGCTTTGCAAGAACAGAACTTAGCCAGTTTTTCTTCCCATGAAGGAACGAACAAAAGCCAAAAGAATCTGCAGATGCTGTACCTGCTGAATCTGATTCAGGGCTGTGCTACATTACCAGGCCCTGAGCCCCGTATTTCCAAGCACACTGATTACTTTTATAGGAACTCTTTCTTTTCGAAATTATGATTATCTGTCACCTGACTTCAGCTAAATTGTGACATCAGCATTTTTCAGGGACGAGGTGGACGAGGTGGTGCAATGAGGACCCACTCTGTGCCTGTCACAGGGGCATTTATGAAAGCAGTCTGGGTGGCAGGGAGGACAGCGGATGAGGCCTACGTCCTAGTACCCTCATAGTCAGCTGTGAGGCCTGGAGGTGAGGTAAGCAGTGGCGGAGAAAGTCGCCAATGGAAAGCTATGACTGGTCAAGAACAGTGGCCCAAGATTTTGGCACTCACAGGTGGAGATGATCAGAGGTCTGGGCTGGGGTCCTCAAGGTTACCCAGAGGCATTGGTCTGCAAGCAGATGAGAGTGCAGTGATAGTCCCACTTGATGTGACCTGTTACTACCCAAGGCAGTCAGGGACAGATCTGGGAGCTCAAGTCACCATCAGGAATGTTCTTGCAGGAAAGCAACCAGTGTAGTCTGTTCCTGTACTCTCCCATGCTGGCTCGGTGTCTGCTCATAAAGCTTATCCTCCCTCCAAGGTTAATCAGTCACTCAAGGTCAGTGGGACAGAATGCATTCCACTGCCACCTCTAGCCCTGCTCATGGTCAGTCTGGCTTCTCTTCCATTACCTCCAAATGGAAGAGCCATCTCACAGACCACTGTCACACAGACATCCAGCTGGCCCTGTGCATCCCCAGGTGGGTTCCACATCCATGGATCCAACCAACCTGGGACCCAGTTATTTACGAGCACTGACTGAAAACTGTGTTAGGTATTCTAAGGAACCCGGAGATAACTTCAGATATCTGCAAGGGACTTAAGCGTCCCCATATCTGGGAGATGAAATGTGTTAGGAGTCCTGGGACCAATTACTCACTGGGCCCAAGGATTGAACATTTGCAACTGTTTTTGGTTAACCAGCTGCGCTTGGGGTAAAAACTGTCATCCTAGGACTGAGATGTGCGTGAGTACCTGAACCTACATCCAGAGTCACTGGAAGTTCAGAAGACAGAGCGACTCTCAGTCTGCATTATTCGAGAGCTTCCTGTCTTTTCTTGTGCCCTTTCCTACACCTCCTGGTACAGAAAAGTCAAAAGCACCACCACAAAAGTAATATGAAAAGAAGACACAAAAACCAGTGAATGTGTCAGCGGCTCACAACATGAAGACTTGTAATTAAAAGTGACAATTATGTTCAGTAGTTTTCTGCGAATTTAAATGACCCTATACTGCTCTGAGCTACAAGAGTGGCTATAAGGTGGGGTTTTTTTTTTCCCTTTGAAGACCAGCATGTGCTCAATTAGCATTTTAGAATCACTGTTAGGATTATATTTAATCACTGACTTCCACGAGAACATGGCAGATAGATAACAGCAGCTACGGAGGTTCTCTGAAATAGCCAGCTTAGATTCCAGGAATGGTGTGGTGTGGGTAGTCCTAAGAAAGGGAAGATATCCCTGCTGACCCAGGAACGAATAATTAGAAATGCAATCCCGCTGCTATGTCGGAAACAGCTAAAGTCTCAGTGCTGAAGCTGGAACCCGCGCCTCTGGAAACCACGGCTTGGATTTCCTGCTGCCGCTGCTGCATCTGAATCGGCACAGCAGGGATAGAGACTCGAAAGCTCTAAGAGCAGGAATCCGCGAACCGAGTTGAGAGTAGAGCTGGTGGAGAGCCTTGCATCGACCTGTGGTGAGTGAGAGGAACGGGGACCCTTCCATAGACTAGGAGGCTACAGCAGAGGACATTGTGGGACTGGGCAGACTAGCCGGAACAGGACAGTGCAGTGACTTCAGTCACATATTCCCCTCTCAAGCAGGATTGGTGGGGAGAGCTTGACCTGGGTGACACCGCGAACTATGACTCATTAGGCTAGCCCAAACCAGGTCCCTGTGCCTGGCAGTGCACCCTAATGCAGTGAGGCCTTCAGCAGGTTGACTGACCTGGAGGGGCAGGCCCAGCATACGCTGCCCAGGTCTGTGTCTCCCTAGTATACTGCAGTGGGTGGGAACACCTAGCTGGTGTGATTCAAACAAACTGTAACTGACAAAGGAAGAAACTGGGCCTCCTATTTATGCTTGTATGGAAGGAACAAAAAGAATGGGAAGAGGGAGCCACAAGAAAGGGTTCTCGGTCCCCAATCCTGAGAACACTGATCCAGGAAAGGTAAATGCAAAGGAGAATGAAGACAGAAAACATGCAATATCAGGCACGGCACCAATAGACATAAAGCAATATCTCCGGGACCTCATAGATGAGTTCAAAAGTGAAGTATTTAACCAAGTAAAGCAAGGTATAAGTAGAATAGTTAAAGAAATGCTAAGCACCTCCCAAGAAAAAACAGATGGTGGAATGGAAGAACAGAAAAAAAAGGGGAGAATTGTTTAATGGAGAAAATAGAGAAAATGGAGAATACATGAAACAGGTTCAAAGAGATTACCAGGAAACTAAAAACTCTATTGAAAGATGGCATAACAGCTTGAAAGAAACTAAGGATAGATTATCTGAATGGAGGACAGATTTGTAATGTGAGAGCATGAAAGGAAAAACTTCTTAAAAATAACAAGGAAACAAGCAGTAACAATACAAAGGCTAGAAGATGATAAGAGGATCTATAACTAAGAATTAAGAATGTAAAGGAAGAAGCAGGGATACAAACAAATGAACGATAAAGGCTATTCACAGAAATAATCAAGGAGAACTTCCCTAATATGGGAAAAGGTAAAGATACTCAGATGTATGAGGCATACAGGACCCCAGCCACCTACAACCCAAACAGAACTACACCCAGGCATATAATAATCAAAATTCCAGAAATCCAATATAAGAACAGAATATTAAAAGCTGTCAGAGAAAGACAGATCACTTACAAGGGAACACCCATCAGAATTACAGCAGACTTCTCAGCACAAACCATCAAATAACAAAGAGCATGGGGCAAAATAATTCAAGCTTTGAAAGGCAATGACCTCCAGCCAAGATTGATATATCTTGCACAACTGTCCCTAGAAATTAATGGAGAAACAAGGTTCTTCCAGGATAAAAAGTAGGGGAATTTGCAACCACCAATTCAACTCTACAGAGAATACTGCAGGACATTCTAAAAGAGAAACATACCAAGATTCCAGAAACAGTGGCAGAGAGGCCACAATGAATGGAGCAAAAAGCGAAATGAAGACAAACTGACAACTAATAACGAAAAAGAGCTCAACAGAAATGAGGCAGAGAAGATTGGAGGATATGAACAGCTATTTTGGAGAAAACAAGACATCATAATAGCTAGTGCTGATTTAATATCATCTTGTTTTGAAGTCCCATTAAGCTTTTGTTCTACTGTCTCCATCGGTCTTAACATATTATATCTTAATGGATTTTATTATATGTGATAATATAAACAAAAATTTTTATAGACAAGGAGATAATACAGAAACCATTGTTTATTTTCTGTTAGTTGATTCTAAATAACCTGTAACACTGTCATTCTCTTGAATGGTTTTACATTGTCTTGATATGTTTGATGCTACAGTATATGAAGTTATACTCAAAGATTTCAAGGAAAGAGACACTATGGTAACTACTTTTATGTCGGGATATCTTGTGGTGAAACACTATTTTGCTTAAATGGTTATGTTCTGACCTGTGCTGTTTTGTTGTTAAGTCCTCTTTTATCTCAATCTTTTTATTATTTATTTATTTATTTATTTATTTATTTTTATTTAAGGGAAAAAATAAAAAATAGCACGATATATTATAGTAACCCACTTTGATTTCCTATTAACTTGATTTGAAACCCTGTATTGCTCTCACCATCTTGTTTTGACTGATTTTACTCTATTCTGTTTTGCTTGATAGTACCAAGTTTGAGTATAGGCAACAACTGATAAGACAATAAGACTCACTATGATGCCCATTCTGGTTTGACTATTGTCTTCTTTTAAAGTCCTGTAATGTCTCTAATGTTTTGGTTTTATTGGTTTTGTTCTGTACCGTTTTCTTCAATTTTATTATAACTGATGATATAGGCAATCTTTTTAAGATAGCAAGAGGCATTATGGCAACCATTGTTGATCACCTTGGATTCTGTTTTTACATCATGTACTACATCCATCCTTTTGATTTGACTGACTCTGTTTTGTTATGTCACATTTGGTTTTATTCTCTTCAAAAAAAGGTAATAAGAACTGTGGGAGTAATAAAATGCAAAATGTGTAATTGTCATTGTAAAAAAGAGAGGAAAAGAAAGTGCTCTAAAGGATGTAACTGCACATATATTTAAGTGTATAAGATAAGATAACCATATTACTGAGTTTTTGTGGATCATTGAACAGAACTGTTTGCAGTCTTACTGTTTGAAGGTCCATTTTATATGCTTTAATTTTGTAACTTGAACAACTATTTCTAAGATGATAATATGTAATCTATTAACTAGTGATTTCCTACTGTTTTTGTGAAATTCTGTATAACTTGTACCTTTTTGTTTTTTTCTCCTTAAATAAAATTTTTAAAAAAGATTATATTTAATCAAAAGTCAAAATCCTAATTATAATTCTGAAGGACTTTTGATAGAGTCCATTAGTAATTTAACATTCTAATTAGTTCTGGAAGATGGCATTAGTCACCTTATGGAAAACAGATTATCTCTTTAATATTGGACACCAGTGAGAACTACTATATTTTTGTGGTCTTTGTCAAGTAAAGTTTAGATGTGATAGAGAAACTGGTTATTTCATTAGCACACAGGTCTCACCACGGAACTTCTGATGCCCCTGCAGTGTTGGGGTTTAGTTTGTGTGGCTTTCTTCAAAAATAGACTTCCTGACCACTCTCTAAGTTCTGGAGTCACTCTGGTATTATTGCCATTGTTTGTGACCTTTTTCAAGAAGATTTAAGATTGATCTGCCTTCTAGAATCCTGAGCTGTGTCATGCTCTTTACTCCTCTGATGTTGGGCTTATGTCTGCATGTTGAGTGTGTGGCATGGGGTTGGAAAGTCATAAACACACAGCATTTTCCACCTGATAAGGCAGGAAAGATATGCCAAGAGGAAATGTGACACTGAGAGGTAGAACTTGGGAATTTCTTCTTCAGAAGTTCACTCACAGAAAAGCCAAGTCAACACCACCCATGTGGAAAAGCTGACCACCCGAGTACTGTCTTCTCTGATGTGTCAGAAAATGAAACTAAAAACTGGGGGCCAGGGGATTTAGCTCAGTAGCATAAGTTCCTGCCTGGTAAGTATGCGGTAGTAAATTCAATTCTTGGTATAAAAAAGAAAAAGAAAGAGAAAGAAAAGAAAGGAAGGAAGGAAGGAAGGGAGGGAGGAAGAAAGAAAGAAAGAAAGAAAGAAAGAAAGAAAGAAAGAAAGAAAGAAAGAAAGAAAAGAAAAGAAAAGAAAGAAAGAAAAGGAAAAGTGATTGACAGGTAACTCGCATAAAAATTTGGTGATGTCTACAAGTTTCTCTTCCTTGAGAGGAGGGAGAGAACTATTTTATAACTATAAAGACTTCTTTGCCCTCAAATACAGCAATCTGGTATCAAGTATATTTCACACATGCTACAGATTACACCTAATTTTTGTAAGAATATAAAAAGATAAAAATTCTGCTGTGAGAAATGCATAGAACTGAGGGAGAGAGATGGATTCCCCATACACCAGCAGACATCAGGCAATGACTGGGACATTCTAGTTGGCACAGCTGAGAGGGTACAGTGCTGACATCTACTGTGCACAGACCGAGGATACTGATAATTATACCACAATGCCTGCTTCAGTCAGCTGTGATGAGGAAGGCTGGACCCAAAAGTTGAAATGCCCACAGTACTGAAGCTGGGAAACCCTGGTTCATACTTGAAGTCCACCGAATGCTCTGGGGATCACTATCCGTGTCTCCAATTAGAAATTCAGTCTCTCACTTCCCAGATAAAAGAGTGTCCCAAGGAGAAACCTAAGTATTCTGGTGCTCAAGCTTGACCAATTGCTATTTATTGCTGGACTGTTACATACCCGCATATTCTACCACCGATGATTAAAGTTAAAACTAAAAAAGGCCCTGTATCACATGCATTGTCAGAGCTACAGGAACAACCCTAATGTCATGTGTATGGTGAAGAGCAACCTTTGCTTTCTTAGAAATGCCCACCTACATTCACGTCACCCTTTACAAATTGTTTGCGTAACCAAAGCTGTCATGAAGGTCTGTGGATCCTACTGGGCATGTCTGTTCACAATGACCACACTTCCGGCTCTCCCCAACATCCTCAAGAGGATAGTGCTGCATCATAGTGTGCAAATTCATGGCCTGGAGAGCCAGCCTGGACACCAGACAGTGCTGGACCTACAGGCCTAGACAGCTTCTTATCTACTGGGAAAGTCAATGCTCTAGAGAGAAGAGCTTCTGCTACCTCTGCGATTCCCTGCAACTTTGACTTCTGAACAGGATGTGTTCTTCTCTTCAGCAAATTTCTCAACTATTGCATTGTTCTGAAATTTCACATGGAACTATTTTTGTTGTCAGAAACTGTCCTAGCACTTTGCATGGTAGCAGCATCCCTAGCATCTGCTCCCTGGACCCTAATAAGACCTCCATTCCTATTTGTAATAATCCAAACTGTCTCCAAACATTACCAAAGGCCGGAGTAGGGAGTGCTGGTGTTGCTGGTAAACAAAACAAAACACCCTGTATTTAAGAACCACTAAGCTCTTCCAACGTAGCTTGGGCAAGGAAAGCTTATCAAGTTCTCAGAAGTGACTTGATTTTAATCAAATGTGCACAGGAGGGGCACACAAAGCTTCTTTATGGATAGAAGTTGGAGAGATTCTCACATCCCCTCAGCAAGCCAAAGGTGGAAAGCCTGGTGTACCGAGAACGTGATATGTGCAACGTGAAATCAATTCCCACGCGTAACAACAGGGATCCCAAATACAATGAATAGCATTTCCTCCCTGATGTCATGTCCCTGACCCCATGGGGTTCCTGGACATGTCATGTCTGATTCAAAGATGACCAAGGAGATGGAAATGACTTCATTCATGATTTCTGCCAACAATCAGGCAGGAATAGGTGAGGTGGCTAGGTGAGCCTGTTTTGTTTTGCTTTGGGCTCAAGAAAAACAAACACAAACAGCACACAGTTTGGGAAAAAATCTTTCATTTTCAAAGGAATCTGGACTCTTGGTAGCAGTGGATTAAAATGAGCAATTGGATATGGTCTGCTATCTAGTGGAACTTAATTTCAAGACTTGCAACAAAAGTCAGGGTTTCTCTGAGAAAAGGGAAGTAAAAACTCCTCACTATTCCCAAAAAGGGTTTTATTTCAGTTGCGGAGTGAGGGGGGATACAGGGAAGAGAGGAGAATACCAGGAAGGACCCAAAATGGTTAACAGTAGGAAAGACCACATCTGCTGAGCTATGACTGTAATACCTACTGCTTTTATTATCATTTTATTAGGGTACAAATCTGGATTAGAAACAGCTCCTTAAAATGTGTCATCCTTTTTAAAGTCTTGAGATAAATCCAGATCTACTCTTTAGTCTCTTGTGAAAGAAAACACATACTCCAGACATATTTGTACTTTTGAAAGAAATGCAAAACAATATATTTTGAACATTTTCAGACTTTCAAAAATATCTTTTATTCTCCTATCTAGAATCCCAAACTACCAACTTTTTACAAGTGTTCCTCCTCCTCTATATACCATTATTTTGTCTTTTCCCTGAAGAGTTTGAGAACAAATCAAAGACAGAATGCCCCATCATCACTAAATCTCTATTTTCCCACATTGAGGGGACCATTCTACATAAATATCATCTAATTCTCTAAATCAGGACATCACTATTGACACAACACCACAGAACAATTCCGTGTCTCTTCATTTTTGCATTTCTAGATCAGTCTAGTGAGAGTTCAACCTGTGAGGAGCTGGGTCCATTCACTCATTCCAACACTGTCTGCAGCCCCCGTGCAGAAGGCACCATGTTTGTCAGCCTCTTCATCCAAGAGGAAATAAAGGTTGAAGGATCAAACAGTCACTTGAGAAACCAGTTTTTCACTTGATACACGGTGTTTCTGTCTACATTTCTTGTCCAGTCTTTGCTAAGCAACAGGAAACAAAGCTATTCTGGTTTGTCCTGTTAGATTCTCTCCTCTTCATTTTAGCAGGTTCCCCAAACTGTCTACCTGCCACATGGATCAAGGAACACAGTGATGGATGGAAAAATGAGGGGCAAAGAGAAGAGAGAATGAAACACAGAACCAAAAGCCACCGACTGTTCCACCTGTGGAGATGACAAGCTACCCAGTGACACAGTGCAAAGGCAGAGTCTGATTCCTGTTACTAGTTTTAGCTCAGGAAATGGTTTGAAGACACTGCAAGACATTTAGTATGTTTCATCTCAACCAGAGAGGAGTTAGTGTGGGGTCATTTTCAATAAATTTTAATGTCATTTTTCATAACTCACTTGTAGTGCACTTACTCTTTGCAAACAACCTCATCACTGTCAACATCTGTAAAGTCTCCTAAATAGTAACATCTGATTTAGCAGCCTAATTATCTACTGGACACAGACTTTGATTTACTGTCTCAAGGTGTTTTTTTAATGTTTTTTTTTTTTTTCAAAGACAAGGTCTCTCTGTGCAGTCCAGGCTGGCCTCAAACTCCTCCCACCTCTTAACCTCCTGAGTGGTGGCTTACTGGTGTGCACTGCCACACTTGGCTTTCATTTCTCTTTAGAAATGAAAAGAAAAATCACCCAAAGTGTGCTTAACAAATACTGGGTGAATTTTTTGAAAGTCTGAAAATTCAGTCTTCAAACCTATCAGTTACTTCCTAGCTATGTGGCTTGGTGTCAGTCAGTTCACTTGTCTTATGGTGCTGAATTCAACAAGTAGGAGAGGAGTAACCCAGGCAATACAGGTGAATTGCTTAGGGCAATGCTTAATCAGAGTAAATGCTCCACAACATAAGCCATTATTAAAAAATCAAAGTCCTCCCTACAACTATGGAAGGAAATACACAATGCAAAATCAGTTTTTTGTGAGTCTAGACTAAAGATATCTATTCATTCACTTTCTGAGACACTTCAGAAGAAAATGACTTAGGGAGAAGTAATTACCACAATTACTTCTCATTTTAGTGGTTAGTCTGAGAATAGCCTTAACAGTCTTGCAAGTGCCTCTGGGAAACAAAGCACTTGCCAGCTTATAGTTTAAAGCAGAATGTTGCTTTGTAGGGAAAAAAGTCTCTATCTGGTCACCAGGAAAAATAACTGATGACACCATCAGTCTTTACAGCCAAAGCTGTTGCATACATTTAAATTTCTAGACTGCTGTAGTACAAGGTATGTTTTAATGAATTCATAAGTTTTATTAACACTGCAGAGGACAAGGTTTGCCAAGTTAAATGACAATTACAGTAATGGAGGAGACTGCCTCAACTCTGATCCTTATGAAATGTCTTTTAAACAGAGCCCTGTGAAGCTAATTTGTTTGTCAACCTACTGGCTTTGTTGAATATGAAAAGTTGCCTCCCTAAAACTTTTCCTTCAAAGAGAGAATGATCCCTTGGCATTCCAGGGTCTGCAAGGTGGTCATCTGGTGTTTTCCACTTTTGCCTTCTCCCAAAAACCATCAATCAAGCCTTGCCTTTCAACCCACTTCACACATAAATATGCCTTCTCCTTAAGTGAACTTGCTGCCATGATGAACCCTGAGACACACAAAAGGAGAGTTTGTTTTAACAGCTGTTTTTACACTGAAGTCCTGGAGTGACTACTCTCAAGCCAGCTGGTTCTGGAAAACTGTCCTGTTTTTGCTAATGCCCAGCTGTTAGGGAACACCCACTGTAGTTTTGCAAAACAAAGGCACAAAACACAAGAAGGGGTAGAGAATGCCAATTGTTGGTTGGGAGAGAGTTCTACACAGGGACCTCTTAAGTGCTGACACAGTGTTTTTCTCCTCATTTGAGTAGTTTATGATTCACTGTTAAAGATAATACTGTTGCCTATGGTTGTCCTGTCCAATATGGAGCCACTTGTTTCAGGCAGCTACTTAAAATTTAAGATGACTACTACTTAAAATTTAAAATGCAGTTTCATGGTCACTTAGCCACATTTTAAGTGTTTAGAATTAGCAAATATATTGGCTTCCATTTGGGAAGTAGTGGTGTTGGCTTCCATACTGGAAAGCAAAGGCACGGAACATTTCTGCCATGGTAGAAATCTGGGGACTGTTCCGACCTCTTTTGTATAGGGATGCGGGTCTTGGTAAGAATGATGGCTTTCCGGGTTTGACCTGCATGGGTTATCTTCCATACTGTTCAGTGGACATACTCATCACAGCTGCCAATTTTCTATGTCAGAAGTTTCTGCAAAAGGGGGTCCTGGCATTTAAACCCAGCCATAACAAGGATTCCACATGTGAGAAAACAACAAGAAGCAAAGAAGATGGTGTGGCAACCCACACATTCCAGATGTTTTTATTGATATACATTAAATAACAAATGGGAAATGGACCCTCTGAGCACAGTTTCCCACACGTTTGCAGAGCCTGAGGACCCCAGCAAGAAGAAGGCAAAAAATCAGGTTTCCCCTGATCCTGGCTCTCAATGGGCTCATCACTGGGGCTCTAATGTCAAGCTGAACAGAAACACAGATACTGGTAGGTTTTTAAAGTTTCTAGGCCACCAACTAGGAAGCCTTTATCACCCCGGCCCCACAACAAATGAGACAGCTGTACACTTACAATACAGACAGGGTTGCTAATTAATATTTATTGAACAAACATTATCAGTTACCATGAAGCCAAACACTCTAATGGCAATTTTCTACTTTTAGGCTGGTAGTGGGGCTGTCAGGAGAAAGAAGGACCAGTTCCTTAGTTTTCTTCACTTAATATTAAATTTTTCTTTTGTCCATTAAAATGATTGGCTCTGGCTTGTTCGTTGCTGGATTCTTAGCACCTAGAAGAGGGGCTCGCAGTAGGTACTTTGAAAGTGTTTGCTGAATGCTGGGATGCCTTTTATTTTTAAAGGAACGGTGCAGCGATTTGTACTTCTCCACCCCATCCCCCATAAATAAATCTCCCCAAGCTGCCTTTGCTAATCTCCGGGATTCCCTCCCAGCCAATTATGCTTGGACACAACCTCTGCCTCCCACTCTACATTCCAAAGTTTTCATTCCTTCCAGTCCCAGAAAGGTGACTCTACACTACCAGTCAGGGAGAGGTCACAGTCCTCCTCAGAGTCTAAAACCTCTCTGGCCCTAGCATTTGTCATCTTTGGGGTTTTTAAATCCACAAAAACAGAAATTTGTCAAGCCACCATGAGACAGCTACCCAAAGGAGGCAAAGACAGAGTCCCTCCTACACATAAAATCACTGTAAAAACTGCAAAAACTGCTAAGCTTTGCCTCCGATTCTAGAGAAATGTAGGCAAATATTTTGATTTCTCTGGATACACTGGAGATTAACAGTTCAGTACTTTTTTTTTTTTGGGTACCAGGGATTGAACTCACAACCTTGCATTTGCCATGCAGGTGCTTATGCTACTGAGCTAACCCCCGAGCCCTATTCAGAGTACTGATCTGTACTGAGCTCTATAATTTCATGTCATCCTGTTGTGATATTTTGAAGTTGTTTTTACATTATATATGGATAAAACCAAATAATGTGGCTTTTACTTCATTTTTAAGAGACACACATGCACTTAAATGTGATTATTTTTCACAGTGAAATCTAGAGGTTTTTCCAAAATTGTATCTACTCTGGCCAAAACTGTACCTTTAACATGAGAGGGGTATTCTCTCATCCCATAAACTTAAACAGTTGTTGAAAATTTTCTTAACTGTTAGTCATGAGAATTTATCTAAAGCAGTAATAAGTCTGAATTTTCTGTTAGAGTCAAATATAGAATGTCAAAACTAGGTCAATACTAGAGACACTAAATAATGTTGATTTTAGGAATATCTTTTATTGAATATAAAAAAGAGCCTGGAGATTCATCCTGACCTAGGCTGTTTCTGCCTACCACAACAGGATTAATTCAGTTGGCCCACTGGCATGAGTCCTTATCAATGGAGCAAGCGTCACAGCCATTCTCATGGGTCCCTTCCAGCACTCCGTGGTATGCATTCGCTCAGTATGGTACATGTTAACGCAGTAAAAGTTAGCTACTGGTACCATCAGCTGCTGTGGGACGCTATCTTTTTTTGGTATCTTTTTAAGAAAAAACAAATTGCACAACTAAAGGGATGTCCTTATTTTGATCCTTTCATTCACAAATACCACAAAATAAATTACAAGGCAGAATGGAAACTTCAGGGAACAAAGCATCAATAGGTCTTCGAGATCATTTTCATGATTTTCATTTTCTACAAAGGGAGACTGTCTTCAAACTCCCAAGTTTATTGGTATGATACTTTATTGGTCCTAAATATGCAGTGTTTTCTGAAATGTATTTCAGGTAAACAATAAGTTGATAAAGGTAAATCCTTTGCAGTTATCTGAACAAAAGATTAAGGTGTAATAAAATTTATGCACATTAGGTTTACTTTTTCTAGCTTTTTTTAGGTGTTCAAAATCATTTCTTCTAATAACTCTTTTGTCTGCTGGCTATTTTGTCATTATTTACAAATTTAATAGAACGTATTCATATTTTAAAGTGAAACTCAACAAATCAGGATAACAGTATTAAGAAAGAAAAAAATACCCAACAAAATGTTAAGACTCATATATTTTTGTTTATATGACTAAGCATCATTTCCAATTCAGAAATATTTTTTAAAGTATCCCTTTAAAATACATGCTTTAACTACCCACCCAGACAAACTTGATACTTAGCTACTCAGCTTTGGGGAATGGGTAGTACAGTTTGGAGCAGATTTACAAAATTAAAATGCATCTTTTTAAAACCAAAAAGAAACATATACATTCATTTCTAACTCACATAGCCTAGTTGCCTTTACAGTCCACTGATAAACACTGACTTTTAAACATTGTATACAAAATTAAATAACATGAAAAAATAAATATGCTTTATTATATAAACACAGACATCTGTACTGCTCAAAATATTCTGAAAATATCAGTGGTGGCTGCTTTAAACTGTTCAGAAAATGTAGTAATGATCCTTATAATATTTACTTTTCTAAAGACAAATGTAGTGAGGTTATGAGACACCAATATCCAACATTTTCTCTTCCTACCTATGGAAGACGCAAACTTAATATGATAATGAGGTAGATACAGATCTGTAAGTTGGCCAGACAGAAAGCTCAGAGTTTCATTATTCAGGTAGACAAGTGTTATCCTAAAGCACCTAATGCAAGGCTCAGAGAACACTTTTAGGTTTGCCGTGAAAAGCACAAAGAACAATTTCCACTAAGAAAAGCTGCAGGCTCCAGGCTGATGGGCAAGCAGACGCACAGGGTAATGTGCAAAGAAATGCCACAGCGCTGTGCTGGCACGGCACCGTTGGCAGACCTGGTTCCTGTAATCACCTCGACGGGGCTGATTACCCTGGAATGCGCTCAAGTTTTGCCTGCTTTCTGCTTTCAGCACAGTGCACTCCTTCCATTTGCCTTTCTAGTCATGGGATGTGAGAATTTGATACAGGACACACTCCCCAGATTGGCAGGAGGTCACCTACTGGTGGGGCTGGTGGGTGTGCTGAAGATCCTTGTTCCAAAAACAAAACAAAACCAAGAAAGAGTCCAAGGACACATTTTTAAAAGGAGGGAAAAGGTTGGATTTTCGGATGCTGTCTTTCACGGCTATAATTTTTAGATCTGCAATGATTTGAGCCAGAATCAGTGGTGTCTTTAAACTGAATATTTGAACTTTTAAGTTCACAGAAGCTTTGTTTAGACTTTGGAAGCCAGATCAACAGTAGTCTTGCATTTCTTTCCTAAAAACTGTTCTTTGGTAACAAAGTGAAGTAGACTATCTCCACTGTGACCTTGGAGAAGGCTGCCTTTGACCTTGAAGAAAGCTGGTTTGCAGGGCAGTAGCCTCTTGATAAGCAGCATCTCTGTGTGCAAGTCCTTGGGAACAGAAAGCGGCTGGCAGGCTGGCAGGTGGAATGACCGCCACCCTGACTTCTAGTCAATTTAAGCTGCTTTCTCTTGAAAGCAACATGCTAGCACCTCAAATGTACTTTTCATTGTGGTTAATTTCACTGTCAGTTACAAAGCTAAAGCACCACAGAAGTTACTTTATGGCTGTTAAAACAATTCACTGAGGTATGCTTAATTTAGAATTACAAAAATACTGTACCACAGCATCAACAGAAATAAACTGAAAATCAAAATCCTACAGTGAGGCTCTGAAAGGCTGCTTTATCACACATAGGTTTTGGCAAAAATAATGTATTTCCGATGGATCTATTTAAATAAAAAGTGTTTGATATAATTTTTTACATCATAATTTAAAGGCCTTGCAGAGGCATTTAAATACGTATATAGTCAAATAATGATCATTTCACAAAGGAAACATCAAAATCACATTGTCAGTCAAAAAATAGTTTTTAAAGCCCATGCCCTTGCTTCTGTGGGTACCAGAGTATTGGAATGTTACTGTCTCTCTCTTCCCTCCTTTCCTGTGTTTCAGAATATTGTATGTGGGGCCAAGAACAGCTATAAACATAAACTTCATGTCTTCCATTAGAAGTAGCAATTCATATTTTAAAATTTAGGCTCTTAAAATACAGGGTAGGGTGGTGTTTCTGAATGAAAACAAATAAAAAACTCAGGTAAACTGAGAATATAGATATACACACATATATGTGTATATATAATTAAAATTATATATCATATGTTTATCATTAAAAATTATATGTCATTTTTCTCAGTTAAGGATTCCATAATGCTGAACGTAACTCTGATGTTGCTGTTACACTTAATTTAATGAACAGAGTGTAACTTAAGGGGCTCAAGGAAAACTCTGAAAAATCCAGGGGACTAAAGGAACTTGGGAATGTCCTACTAAGCCTAACGTTCTCTTTGGTCTCTTCCAAGGGTTCATTTGGAAAGGTGCCACTCTTCTAGACAAAACATCTGAGGGAACTGCATTGGCACAGAGTGACATTTCTTAAGCTCATGAATAAAATTCTTACAGTCTAGCCCCATAGTGACAGTGGAAACAATGCTCTAAATGTTTACAGATCTCTGTGTACTACAAAGTGCAGTGATGACCAGTCAGGTCTCTGAGCCTGCGGATGCCACCTCAGACACTGAAACAAGCATCAGCAGCCATATCTCAGGGGATCTGCTCTTCAGCCGGTGTGGACATAGTGTGATTTTTCTTCAGAATCACACTGAGTACACAGGCTTCTGGATGTGACTGCATAGAACACTGAGTTCAGCCACAGTGGATTTGTAGGAACACTTGCACTAGTTCCACAGAATAGAGCTAAGATTGCCCTGGCCTATGGGACAACTTATCCACGCTATTGTCTGGACATAGTTGCGCCTTCTGTTTTTGCCAAGAGCAGCCCCAAAACTCTGCAGAGTATTTACAGTGGCAAGCTCTCACCACGTTAGCTGCTGGCCAAGCAGTTAGCAAAGGAAGTCTAGGGCCAGAGCAAAAAGGGTCTCAAGCCAGCTTCTGTGTGGGCGGAAGAACATTTCAGACACCTTGACAGGCATCACGTCACTGATTTCACGGCTGCTCATTTGTATTTTCAAAATGATTTCAGCCCCTCTGGGCGCAGCCTTTGTGGTTATTGTATTGAGTCCCACTCAAGTTACACAGAGGAAAACCATCGTCAAGGAGGAAGAACTTGCTTCGGCCTCAAAAAGCAGGACTCTCCCCTGGAAAGCCCCAACCACCCCAGCTTTGCACAGGAGAGACCCCGCCATCGAGCTGTCTGCTTCGAAGGCTGGCTAGCTACACAAGTCAGTCTGGTAGGAAGGAAGCTACTTCTCGGCACCGGGTCCTGTGTGAGGCACACAGATTCTGCAGTGTCACTTTGGGCCACGTCACACTCCTACCAGGCGACCCTCACGAGAAAGTGGTAAGACCACGCGCGGCAGTTTGCAGAGCCCCTCCTGCGCAAGGTTAGGCTCCGGGCGGAGGCACCAGGCAGCGGAGGGAATGGACAGGGTGGGGGGGACGGGACAGCGGAGGGACCGGACAGGGGAGGGGACACAAGAGGAGGCACACTCAGTGTCGTACCGAGCTCCAGGCGCCGGCGCTCCAGGCTGCGTCCGGGCACGCGTGCGCGCCACACGGCTCGCGGTCCGGGGGCCTCTCCAGCACATCACAGCTCAGGTCCGGCACACGCTGCCCGCCGGCCCGCTGGCAGACCACCTGCCGGGACCTCACACCGCCCCCGCAAGGCCTCGAGCACTGTGGAAGGAGAGGAGATTGCCATTACTTTCATTGCCGGCCAGGGTGGGGAAGTCTGTGGAACCACACAGCCTGCCAGCGGGACACTCAAAAGACCAAGCCTTCCTACCTGAAGGGGGGGTGTGGTTCACAGGGCACCCCCTACACCTGCACCCTGGGCTCCACACACATCATCTCATCTAGAGGACGGGATCATTGCTTGCCCTATTTTATGTGAGGAGCAAATGAGGTTAGGAGGAGGTGACTAACTCGATCAAGGTCATTCCATGCATGAACCTGTAACTACGGTAAATTCTTTAAAACAGTAACAACAAAAAATTAACACAAAACCATACCAAGCAAACAAAAACCACCCCATGTCAAATAAAGGAGGTAATTAATTGGTCAATTTTCTTTTCAGGCAACTTTTTAAAAAAATTAATGGTGCTGGGAAGGGAAACCATACTATAGGCAAGGACCCTAATATGACCTACATCGCCAGGCACATTTTCTGGAAATTTCTGAGGATTCACCACCAATCTTTGGCAACTCTCTGACTTCAGTATCTATTGACCTTCATGATGCTCAACTATTTTTACAGCAGCTCTGAGCTTTAGGATAGCTACAGCTTGCTTCTAGGGTGAATAATCAGTGAAGTGGGAATGTTCGACAAAACGCTGACTTCTGGCAAGATTCACACTTCTGAGGCAGGAACAAGCTGTATTTCTTGGACAGCACGGCTGCGCTCGCATCCAGGAACAGTGACACTCCATTTCCCTGCTGTGTCAAGGCCAGATCTTTCACGAAATCTGGAAAGATCAGTCCTTGCCGAAAGCCAGCACCCCAGCAGCGCCGCGTAATCCCCTGGCATGGAGCCAGCCACAGAAGCTTAATCATGGGTCCCCCAGAACCACCAGGGAGAGCACTCTGAGAAACCGAACCAGGCGTGAGTCTTCGCACTTCCGCCCCCTCAGCAGAGCTCTCTGGCATGATGGAACTGTCGCTGACAGGAAACCAACACTTGGAGACACTGCTGGGACTGCTGGGCTAGGGTGTGGAACCACGGTCAAGGACACTGTTTCCATAGCCAGGAGTGTGGACTCTGGCCATGCAGTCTCATCTGCCTTTCTTCGGCCCAGTGCTGGGGTCTCCCCGGTGTTTAACTGTCATATTTTTTATCTGGTAAATGTTACAGTCAAGATAGGACAGCTCAACAAGCTTTTAGCATGTGCTATCTTTGTCGATTCAACAACAGAGAGCTCTATTCTTGCCGAAACATAAAACTGAAGCATATGAGTCCTATTATTAAGTAAAATAGGAGCTCAATATTGCATAGAATAATAATAGCATTACCAATGATCATAATTACTCCTAGCCCTGACAGTGTAAGTTACTGCAGCTTTACAATAGCAATGGATCAGAAGGCAGGTGCAGGGCATCTGACAGGCACAGTCTCATCTGACAGTCACAGGCAGTGTGGTGCTGCGATTATTATTCTCATTTAGACATAAGGATATAAAAATCTGGCAAAGTTATGTGACTGAGCAGGGTCACAAAGCTGACAACAGCCAGAAGCTGGGAACTGGACCCAGCTTTGTGTGCTGCAGAACAGACCACTGCTTTTTATGGCATTTTTCCTGAAAATAAGACTGAACTGGAAAGCAAACCTTAGCATGATTTTTCAGGATGCTCATAATATAAGTCCTACCCCCCAAAATAAATCTTAGTTAAGACTGTCAGCCAGATGGAGGCAGTTAGTATATTTGTTGCAATATACACTGTAGGACTGAATTATTAAAAAATTATATATTATTAGATATAAATAAAATTAAGTATAAATATTTATAAATATAAAAATATATAATTAAATATAAATTATATCTTACTAAATTAGTACTTAAATGATAACACAAATTGCAGTAAGTATTTGTAAATGCCCAAGTGGGTGGTTCTGAATGAGAGGCAAACACTTATGTAAAAAGATGAACTCAAGACTTGCTGCCAAATGCCCAATGAGAGCACAGCCACAACATATAAATAATGTAAACACTTGATAATGGACAGATATATTTGTGTCTAATATGAATTTCCATAATTCAACATGCTGTGGATTGTAACAGACACACAATGCATTGATGTGAAATAAAGAAACATTTTCTGAACTTTCGTGCCTATAATTTTTTGTTGCTTTTGTAACATTTTTGTAATCATTTTTGTTGCTGCTCCTGTCCTATAAATATTCTTTTAACATCTGATGCAATGATAACTTTGGGAAGCACAGCCTGTAAGAGGTCCTGCCTTGGTTGAAGAACTCATGTGATAAAATCGCTGACAGTTGTGTTGTCAACACACTAAGAACGGGCTACAGAGACAAGAGGTACGCATTTAAAGAGAGCTCCGCTGCTGGAGATCAGAGATTGGGGACAATGGTTCCACAGGAAGTGGAGTTGCATGACATTCAGACTGAAATTTGGGATTTGGAGAGTGATTAAGACGTTCCAGAAGAAGATGACATGACTTATTAAGTGCAGGTTTTTGTATGTGAATAAATGGATAAATGTAGATTACTGTCCATGAAAAAATAAGACAGTCCCTGAAAATAAGCCCTTTCGTATCTTTTAGAGCAAGCATAATGTAAGACCCAGTCTTACCTTTGGAGAAATATGGTATTAGCCATAGATGGCAACTTGGAAAAGCTAATGGCTTAAGAGTTTCATTATTTGAGAATACATAGCTAATGACTCACTTCTATGGTTGGAACATGCCATCTGTGATAGAGAATAATGACATGCATTCCTTCTGGCTTGAGTTAGAATTTGGAGAGTATCAGGAGACATTGTGCCATAGGAAGAGGGGCTCGTACAGACACCCCAAACCATGCAGAAGATACCAAGGCTTTTATGCACTGATGCTACATGTATTTCCTGTCACTGTAAAAACATTCATTTTTAATCATCAGAGGTTACTTTATAAACTTAGAGCAGTAGTTTTCGACATTCATTCCTAATTTTCCTTTCCTGTGAATTCAAACTGTTTTTGTTGGTACTAGGTGAATTTTTAAAATAGTTCAGAATTAATGTGAGTCTCCTAGTGAATCACAAATGTAGAAGCTTCTACTAGATCTAGTTGCTCCTCCTTAAATAAGATATGAGTAAGATACACACAACAACACACCTGAGTCAGTAGACTATTTTTCCCAGAGGACAGACAGACAGACAGACACTCCTTACCTCTCCCCAGCTGCCAAACACCCACTGAGGACATGGGCCAGACTCGCACGCTCTCTGCTCATCGGGTTTGATCCTCTCCACGCAGTCCCTCGCTGGGTACCCGTTTTCGTCCTGACACACCACGACCCGCCGCTGGGACCCGCCAGCACATGTACTGGAACACTGAGAACATCATAAAACGAGTCACCCTCAGCTCCAGCAAGTCACAGTCACATGCAGGTAGGCTAGTCCCCATCCGGGGGAAAGAGGGAGCCAGGGCTGACACTGGCCTCTGTTGGGCAGTCTGTGGGGTGTAGGGCCCTTCTCTCAGGGCTCATAGGCCTCAGTGGGTGACATCAAGACCTGGCACTCAGATCTGTGTCCAGATCTCCACAGTGTCTGTCTCCTTCTCCTCTCTGCAATGGGAGGACAGTGGTGTGGATGGACTGGACACCATTGTTTATATGGAAAATCTCATCAAAATTGCAAGGGCTTATTTAAAACCAACATCTGCTTTCCCTGTTGGCACAGAGGTGAGATTACAGGCCCAGGGGGGCAACAGGTGCTAGAATTGAGCCTCAGATACATTCAGTCAACAGCTCTGGAAAGCACTGGCTTGCCACTCGGGAGCTGGATGCCTGAATCCAACATTCTTGTCCTGCCCTGGTGAGGGCTTATGCTCCAGTGGCTAAGGGTAGCCGAATAGAATTTGCATTATTTATTCTTTGCCTTCCCAGGAAATGTAACTAAATTCCACCTCACCAGACCCCTGCCCAGCTGCCTTCCAGCCTAACTCTCTGATGGCTGTCCCTGTGCCATTCATGACTCTTCATCTTCCAGGTGATCCCCTTCAAGCTTTCTAAGGTATCCATACCTACGTGCTTTCGCTTTTCCTAATTGCCTATCTTCTTAGCCCAGTGTGTTTGCTATAAAATCAGTTTGCTCATAAAGTAACCATCTGGTCCCCAAAGCAATGTCATTCCCAAGGATCATCAAGCTTCGAGTATATTTGCATGTTTTGTTTTTAGTTCCAGATAGTATTGTAGGCTGATTTGTGCTTTCAACTCTAGCTCAAACCCATGTTATCTTAAAACGTGCCCAGATATTGCTGCTTGCTGGTCAGCTTCTGCCCTATCAAAATGGAAATGTATTTTGTTGCTAACTGCATGAACCATAGTTTAATTTCCCCGCCTGTGCTGATCAAATTACAAGTGACTCTGAAGTGTATCTTATCGGTATTTACACTTGCCATTTATATTAAACTAGAGAAGAATAATTAATTCATTAGTTCTGAGAAAATACTCACATATTGTCTTGGTTATTTTCTTATTGCTGAGAAAAACACCCAACACCTGAAGCTAAAGCGGAAAGGTTTATTTTGGTTCACAGTTACCGAGGTTTCAGTTCCTTGCTGGCTGGTTCCAAGGCAGGGTTGCATGGCAGAGGGACATCACAGGAGAAACAGTTCAAGGCAAGCAGGAGGCAGCAAAGCAACAAGCAAAGGCAGGGGCCCTCTTTCTGCCCCTTACACCCTATCCAGGCTACACACTCCCAAGGCAGGGAGGACTCACATCTAGGGCTGAGTCTTCCCACTGTCAGTCCCAGTACTATGCCAAACCAATCAGTGGACTGATTCAGCATCACACACTCTAGATCCAGTCACCTCTGAAAAGCCCCACATAAGACTACATGAGGCTTTAGGGGGACATCTAGATACAAGCCATAACAGATATGTTTAGATTTAAAACATTTCTACCTCTGTTTACTTAATCTTAACCTAGCTAAGACTTGTCCCCCTCCCTGCCTTGTCACATGCAATGGAAAGATGCACATGCAAACCTCACCCTCCTGGGAGGTCGGGCAGTCAGCACAGGACAGGATAAACAAAACAAAACAGAACACATTGTCCAGTTAGAGTCAAATTTAACTTAGGGACAAAAATCCTCCATACCAAAATGAGGCACAATGAAGAAAACAAAGGTATTTCTTAGGTGGCAAAAAGCTTATCTAATCCTCCCTAATTGGGTATTCTGCCTAAAGGCAGAATCATTCAACCTTAAAGGAATACATCTTTCTCAAATGTAGTCTTAAACCAGAATAGCTCTAAGAGGTTTAGAAAAAAATCCAAACAAAGCAAAAACTTTCTAGTACTATCATTAGACTACAATTGCGTGTGCTTTAAATTCTTTCACCAAGAAAAACCACAAGGCACTCGTAATTATTTTCCCTGACCAATTTTTAATTTCTCAGAACCCTAATTTTTTTCTAACCCAAGCAAGAGAAGCCTTGAAGTAGGGAGCTTGTGAGGAGCTGCAATGGGGAGAGGCCATAGGAGGCTGCAGTACGCACGTCCCACCCGGGCAGGAGCAAGACTCACAGCAGATAGTTAGCATTCACAGACCAGGACAGCTAATTCCTTGAAACGGCACCAGGGTGGGAGACAGGCAGCCTCTTTCTAATTCTTTTTAGTTCATAAATAATTAAACACAATTAGCAGTGGCAGAAGGAATTGGATAGCAATGAAAAGGAAGAGCCCTGGGTGGACCGAGTACCTCTTCTGACAGCATGGCCATGTAGGCGTCCTTGTTACCCTGTCCCCCTGAATTCCACTAACCGTGTCAGCATCCCACAACAGAAAATTGTCTCTGCATAATTATTCGATGAAAGAATTTAAAACATACAAGTGCACCTTTTTCTTTTGAGGTCAGGTATTTCTCATTTGAAACACAGTAATAATGGCCATGATGAAGACAAAATGAACACATCTGTCTGCGTTTGTGTCTCACGCCATGGTAGGCAGAGGGCAAAGTATTTTATTGGCATCCTCTTATTTAATTCTTACACCCAAAGAAAGTGGGAACTAACTCATCCTCTTTAACCTGAGTAAACCAAGGTTCACAGATGCGAAGGGACTGTCTCAGCCCCGTGATTTCAAAGTGTTAAGTCTTGGGCTCTAATGGAGGCCTTTCCTTCAGGTCCTTGATAACCAATCATGATACTCTGTCCAAGACATAAACTGTACCTACAAGAGCAGGTCACCTAACCAAGGATGATGACTTAGTACCTCACAGTGCACAGCAGCCGCACAACCGTGAGACTGTACTCATCTGGGGCGAGAAGGAAGGCAAGCCTCCCTGACAGAGAAGCCTCCAGCCTCTTCCCTCCAGGCAGTGCCTTCCCATGCCCCCAGGTCAGTCACCTTGGCTTTCACAATGTCTTGCAGGAGGTGCTGAATTATGTCACCCACAGGGACATACCTCTGCCCAGTCTGGCAGTCCTCAGATACATGCAAACAGTAAGTACCACATAGACATCTCGCCAAGGACTGTTATTAACCCATAACATTCACCCCAAATGACTGAAAATGACAGCCAAAGAAGCAATGCTATGGGGCCGATTCCAGCCCTTTTCCCAGAATCCACACCCCAAGGGAAAGCAGATGTGAGCAGATGAAGGGACCCCAGAAGACACTCACCGCTCCCCAGGGGCCTGTTCTCCACTGATTTCCGCCAAGCACATGGGTACGGCTGGGACTGGAGCCCCTGGGCCGGAAGTCCTCGTTTGGCAAAGGGTACATAGCCAAGTCTCTGTCAGGAGTCCACCGTGGGCAGGGTGACATGGAGCAGTCCTGTTCAGTCTCTGGGATGTAATCCAGGTCACATTCACTCTGATCAACGACGTGGTCACTGTAGTTGACACATACCACTTGCCGAGTTGCCCTACCTTGCCCACACGTCACGGAGCACTGTGTTCAATGTTTAAAAAGAAAAAGGGCTCATCATCTGCAAGTTGGTTTTAAGTTCCTGAATATTCATTTCCACAAATGGCCCACCACTTCCCAGTGGCACTAGTCAAAATTCTTGGAGCCATCCTGGACCACCTCCTCCCATACCCATTTCATCAAGGAAGCCTGTCAACTTCTTGTCCAAAATATACCCCCCATCACCTCTCTCATGCCAATCATCACCTTCCCTTGCCAGGATTACAGAGTTGGCTTTAAGCTGGGTTGATTCTTACAACCTGACACTTCCTGCCCAAGTCTCCTGTCTGCATACCACAAAATTTGACCTTTTAAAACAAGAGTGGAATTGTGTGTGCCCCCAGTGACTTCCCAGTCCACTGAGAATAACATCCCAAGCCCTTATGCTGAGCTGCTGGGCCCTTTCTGATGGTCACTGACAGCCGACTGCTCTCCTGTCATTCTCCACTATCCCTTCTGCTACACTGGCCTTAAGGATGCTACTTGAACACAGCAAGCCACTCTCATAATGGGGGCTTCAGATCCCTGGGGATTTTGCTGCCATGCAGCCCACCTTTTTGCAATGCCGAGGTCCCACTCAACGTCAGGACTTTTTAAACCACCCTATCAAAATGCACACCATCGCTTTTCCTATGTCATTCCTCTGCTTCACTTTTGTCCAGAGCTTATTAGCACCTGTTGTTCTAGCACAAATTTCTTTATTGGTTCATTAACTGGATCCTCCATTGCAAAGAACACCACAAAGCCAGGGGCTTTATTATCAGATGTACCCTGTGCTTTCTCTAGTAGCTTCCATAATGATCTGGTGAACAGACAGGTAGAACTAACAGAAATGTGAACTGACGGCTGGATGGGCTGACAGACAGACAGACGAATGTGTGGAGGTTTAAGGTACAAATGAGACCATCTTCTGTTTGCAGAGGACCTACTTTCTATAAACATTTAATATATATAATTGCATATAACCCTCAGAAGTCACCAAAAGGCAAAAAGCTTATTCATTTTTACACAAACCCACAGATGGTGCTTGGTATGAATAATAGGCTACATTCACAGCTCAGAGGGAGGATTCCCACTTCTTGCTCTTAACGGGGAACCAAGATCTACTTGACTTCAGGGGATCACAGGATGCAGGAGGCACCCAGTGTCAAAGTAAGAGTGTGTTCCTGCATCCTGTATCTTCCCCACTGCTTAGGTGTTCTACAAACCTAGCACACTGTCAACTCAATGTACACCAGCATTTCCAACCAGCCCAGAAGGATGGACACCCAAGCAGACTGTAATTTGATTTACACATTTTAAAAATGCACACTAAAAAATACACATCCCTGCATCTTTAATCCCTTGCACACTTGACCAGTTGCACATATGTGATACAGAATAATTGAAATCACAAACTGAGTGTGACTCAGAAATACCACTCACTGACGTGTATGACCCCAACTCTTCACTCCTCATAGTGTCCCCCGAACACTTTCCCAGTTCCACAGAACTGGCTTGCTTACAGCGCTCCAGTCCGAAGCCTTCCACTGCCCACAAGGTGTCACTGAGCACTCCTCCTTTGCCACGGGTCTGGGCAGGCTAGCACAGGCGCTCTCATCGGCAACTGAGCCATCCTCATCCCGGCAGCTGACGTATCTCATCCGGATGCCTTTCCCACAGGTGGCCGAGCACTGGGTGTTGGAGTGAAATAACACAGACTTGCAGTGTGAAGCAGCAGCAGCCTGCTCCCCTCAGCTGTGCAGGAAGATGGCGGCTTCCCCTCCACCCTCCCACTTCTCCCAGCCAGTGCCTTACAGAAGTCCAGGACCCAAATCTCCACTGGGTCCTTGGCATGCTGTGTGAGTTTCTCCTGGGTTGTGGGGCCACTGGGGGAGAATGACAAGGTGACAACTCACAGTCCTAGAGGTGAACAGGGAAGATGGATACTCAAGTCAGCTCCCATTCAAAGGGCCACAGAGCATAAGCAGACAGAAGTACGACGCTAGAGAGCCTAGATCTGTGCATCTCTACAAGTCACATGACACCTCTCAGCCTTGGTTTCCTTAATTATAAAATGTGGTATCATCTTTAATACAGACCTGGAGTCTACTTAATGATTTTTAAAGCCCTATTTATTCATCTGTTAATGTGAAAAGAGAGGAAAGTATTATGAAGAGGTCATGTATGAAAAGAACAGGGTAAATTAAAAAATTATTGTTAGTGTTTTAAAATTATCAAGGCTAGATTCTGTTCTTACATTTCAGTTTGTTCTCTAATCAAAATATGCTAATCATGAACTTGTTTCCAGTTACCTAAGATAACATCTACAGTCCTGAAGGTCAAATCTGGAAATAAAAAGTGTATTCAATAGGCCACTGCCTGGAATTCACAAGGGTCCCTCAGTCACTCAGAGAAAAGCCCTACGCTGAATTAAGTCATTGGGGTGTGGATAATGTTCTCACATTTACGCATCTGATCACAATGATCTCCAACCACAATGATGAGCAATTGTACCTTGATTTAATTCATTTCCACCAAATGCCTGCAACAGGGATTGTGCCACAGTGCCAGGCTTGGTGCCAACTCACTAATGCCTTTCTTACAACCAAGCTCAAGGAAGTATGCTCCTAGGTACCCACAGCAGGTACCTGAGCTGCACAAGAGACTCACCTGGGTGTCAGTCGGTCTCGTGGCTGCATTGCAGTCATTGTCATCCACCACCGCCATGTAAGTCCCCATGATGCACTTCACTGCTCTCAGCTGGTGGCCCTGTCCACAAGTGACACTGCACTGGGGGAAGGAAATGAGACAAGAAATTCATCTTCTCCTCCCCATCCTCTCACCGTAACATTTGGCAAAGGATAAATATTTCCAGCATGAGTCAGAAGGTTGGCACCAACAAAGTTACGTAAAAGGCAATTAACCCTGCTCTGTGAAAATTATACTGACCAATCATTATGAGGACATGGGGAATTATATTTGCTTGGGTTCAATTCCTTGACTGAGCTCTAGGGAAGGAGAGGTGCACCTCTGTCATTTTTATATTTGTCACTCTATTTAACAAAGTACTAGGCTAACGTAAGTTTTAAGCAGAGCGCTATGACCTCATTCTGAGGATAAAACTGACAAATTTAACTAAGTTAAACTAAGTTTACTAAGTTTAACTAAGAACAAAGAAGAAAAGATTCCAATTTCTAAAACCAGAAGTAAAAGAGGGAACATTACTACAAACACTACAGTAATCAAAAGGCTGATCACAGAGGTCCTTGAACAATTTTATGACCACAAATAGATAGTCTAGACGAACATGAAAACAAACTCAAATAGTCTAGAAACACACAAATTACAAGAACTGACAAAAGAAGACACAAAAGGCTGGGAGTATAGGTCAGGGGTAAGCATGAGATGTGCGTGCATGAGGCTGTGGGTTTGAATCCTCAGCTCCAAGCCTAACCAAATGGAACAGAATAAATGAAAACACAAAGCTAGAAAGGAAAAAGGGAAAGAGGATTAGATCAGTAATCAAAAACCTCCCAACAAAGTATAGTCTAGGATGACTTTATGGTGAATTCTAGCAAATATTTAAAGCAATAGTCCCACTGATTTTTTTCTAAATGCTTCAAGATTTATAAGGAGGGAGTATTTCCTAACTCATTCCATGAGGTTAGCCATCACTTTGGTACCAAAGCCAAAGGAAAAAAGAAAACTACAAACCAATATTTCATCTAAAGATAGGTGCAAAATCCTCAATAGACCACATCCAGTAAAATATTCAAAGGATTATTCATCTCGGCCAAGTGAGTATGCGTGGTTTAATAAGAACAGAAATAAACCACATAAATAGAGGAAAGGGAAAAAAAGACATTTGGCCATCTCATCTGATAAAGGGCACTTCATTAAAACCACTCAGAAAAACATGAGTAGTAGGATGTCTTTAAAATGTTTAGAGGCATTTCAGAAAAGCCCGTATCTACTGTCATATGCAGCTGTGCCAAACTGAAATCTTTCTCCAGGATCAGCAATATGGCAGGGATGTGTGCTGTCGTCTCTGCCGTCTAATATCATACTGGAGATTCTAACCAGAGAAAGCTGGCAAGGAAAAGAAAATCAGGCAAATGGGACAGGGAGAAGTACAACTCTCCTCTTCACAGGTCCCACCATACTATGTTTATAGGAACCTCAAAGAACATACATAAAAACTACTGCAGTTAATAACTTCAGAAAGCTGCAGGGCACAAGTTAAAGAAAAGTCAGTTGTTTTTATACACTAACAATGAGCAATCCCAAAATGAAATAAAGAAAACAAGTGCATTTTCCATAATATCCAAAAGAATAAAATATCTAGAAAAATTTAATCAAGAAGGGAAGAGACTACTGCATTAAAAGTTATAAAACATTGCTGAAAAATATTAGAGACCTAAATAAATGTAAAGACACTCCATGTTCTCGAGTGGTAAGATCTGACACTGCCACACTGGTGATATTCTTCAAATAGAGCCACAGACTCAATGCAACCCCAACTGAAATCCTAATGACCTCTTAAAAGAAGTGGAAAAGCTGATCTTTAAATTCATACAAAAGGACAAAAGGCCCCAAAGAGACAATACTAAAAAAGAACAAAGTTACAAGACTCATCTTTTCCAATTTCAAAATCTTTAACAGTGATCAAGGCGTGTTTCTGGCAGAAGGGACACACAGACGAATGGACAGAACTCAGAGTCCAGAAAAAACCATACATCTAGGACCAAGTAATTTCTGACAAGGATGCCAACACCACTCGACTCGATGAAGAAGGAATAGTCTCTTGAATAAATGGTGCTAGAATACCAGATGTCTACACGTGAAAGCAAGAATTCAGACTTAAGCTTCACACTATCGGCAAATATTCACTCAGGAAGGATAAGCAATTACATACCATAGTACAAACCTTGAAACTCTTAAACAACAAGGAAAAACGTCATACCATTAGATTAGCAATGAATTCTTCAATATCACAAGTGAATAACAAGTTATGCTCATGAAATGTCTGTGTTTATGAACAACCTGAATTTTGTCAAGCTCTGCTTACGATGTCACAAACAAAAGCGACCAAAGAATAGATAAACTGGTCCTCATAAAAGTTAAACTAGGTGAGTCGATACCATGCATGGGCTGACTGGGGGAGAGCCAAATGCTAGTGCCTTCAGATAGGTGGGCGGGAAGACAAGAAGAGCCAAGATTCCTCCCTCACCCCACCCTCCAAGCGATCGGCTGATCAGGAGAAACACAGGCTGTGATGAGGTAAAATACAATTTAATGCTTGTAGCATCTTTGGGGGAATCTCCTTCTGGAGGTGGTAGCCATTGTTAATTCCCTGTTATCTTGTTTTGAAATCCTGTATTATTCTCATTGTTTTGTTTGGTTGGGTTTTATTCTGTCTTGTTTGATTTTATTGTATCTAATGGCATAAGCAGCTAAAATAAGATATGTTGTGGTAGCCAGTTTGGATTGACTATGATCTTGTTTTGAAGTCCTGTATCATGCTGTTTGTTTTAATTGATTATATTCTGTTATGTTTTGTTTGATTTTCCTATATCTGATGGTATGGGCAGCTATTTTGAAGACAGTAAGAGACATTATGGTAGCCATTGATTTCCTATTATCTTGTTTTGAAATCCTGTGTCTTGTTTTATTTAGTTTGGTGTTATTCTCTCTAAAATAAAATTTAAAAAATAAAAAATAAAGTGAAAAACTATACATGAATGAACACCACGAACAGAGTGAAAAATAGCCCATGGGATGAGGGAGAACATGTGTGAATCATCCATCTGAATGATATGCAGACAGGTGTGGTAGCACAGGCATGCAATCCCAGCACCCCGGAGGCTGTAAGCAGAAGGATCCCAAATTCAAGCCCAGCCCAGGCAACTTAGCAAGACCCTTTCCCAAATTAAAAAAAAAAAAAAAATAAGAGGGTTGGGAATATAGATCAGTGCAAAGGTCATGAGTTCAATATCCAGCACCACCAGTAAGAGAACCAGACGGCTCTTCCAGGTTCTCTGGCTTCCAGTCTCGCCCTGGGATTTTTCTCACACGTGATCCCACCATGATAGCATCTGCCATGCTGAGACGACAGAGCTAGCAACAGTGCAACCAGAGCTGGTCTTGCTATTTACAGCCTATGGCCTTGGAAACTTGGAGCTAAACAGATCGCTTTTCATTATTTATGTATTAACTAGCTTTAGGTACCTTGTTTTGGCAGTGAGAAAACTACTAATTTACTAGAGCAATAAAGGAAGCAAAAATATCTCCGAAACATACCTAATACCACCCCCCAAAAAAAGGATAAAAAAACAAATTCAGAACATATGAAGAACTCCTATAACTCAAAATTAAAATACCTCAAACAATTAGATAAAAACTGACAAAAGGAGCATTATTTAAGCTAATAGGGTAAATTGATAAGAGAATATATAGTTCAGAGAGTGTCTTTTGCCACAATGAATTTTTTTAAATGGGCAAAATACTATTGGGGGTGGAGGGGGTACTATAGAGAATTGAACTCAGGACCTCATACTTGCCAAGTAGGCTCAGTACCACTGAGCTAAATCCTCAGCCCCAGGAAAAAATTTTAAATAGATATGTTTCCCAAGAGGATACACAAATGGCCAACAAGCACATTAAGAGATGTTTATTGTCTTTTACTATTAGAAAAATACAAGTAAAAACCATAGCGAGATGCCATTTCAAACCCGTTTCTATGATGCATCTGACATAGGTAAATCCACAGAGAAAAGGAAAACTGGTGGCTGCCAGGTGCTAGGGGAAGAGGAAAATGAAGGAAAACTGTTCGATGTACACAAGGCCTCTTTCCAGGGTAATGTGAATGTTTGGCAAGTACATTATAAATACACTAAATGCCTCTGATGCGTTTACTTTAAAATAGTTAATTTTATGCTAGTTTCAATTTTTTTTTTTAAAAAGTGGAAAATAATCCTAATATTCATTTTAAAAATATTAAAAGAAATTCATAACCCCATCAGCATGAACAGGCACAGCTAGGTACAGTTAGCATGCATTTGGTTTTCTTCTTGCTAAATTACGTTTGTAAAATTTCTTATGAATATTTATCACTTTTAATAGAGTAATTTAAAAAATAAACTGTTTCCAAATCACATGACAGGTCACAAGAAGGACATATCTTAGATATAAGATATGCTAGCAATGGCCTAGTGTGTCTGTGGATAAAAAAATAGGCCTGTTGAATGTAAAATGTGCTCTCTTCCTCCTATTCCTTGAGACTTACGAAACTGCAGACCAAAAGCAATCAGGCTTTAGGTGTGTGCTTGGGTTCTCTCTGCTGTTGCAGGTTTGATTTGCCACCAGTCTGGGGATCTAAGAAGTGGGAGCGATTCAGAAGCTCGCTGATGGGGATGAGGAAACTGTAGAGGGTGGTAAAAAAGCTGCATGCAAGTTTGGAACAAAGACACAGGCCACAGGACAGAAGCAGCTCGGGCTGGTTAGAGCAGAGGGAGTCACTCTCCAAGAGATTACATAAGAGACAGCAACCAGCTGCTCCACTTCTGCTGGGAACTCAGAGTACTACTTAAATAGTACCTGGAATGCGCTGGCTTCTATATTAGGCAGGACTCAGTCACCACAGGAAACGCAGGCCCAGGGGAGCCTCTGCCTTTCTCCTCTAAGGACAGCTCAATTTAAGAGCGTGTGACCTACCAGCCCCAAGACTGAAACAGGTCCTCTCTGACCAGCCTGACGGGCCCTCATGCTTTGCTGGCATTTGTCACGTCTCAAGAGTCAGACTTGTTTCTGAGAGGTGAGCTCTGCAGCTGTGATGTCAGGCCACAGTTGTGATTACAACGATCCTTCCCAGATTCCAGCCCTGATCCTTCTGCCAACGACATGGTCTGGCTTGTGATCGAGCTGAAATGGGGCCCTAGGGGCACTTGGGAAGACTGCCAGTGGAGTGACGTTTGTGAGACAGCTCCTGTGCAGCTGAAGCTGTGGGTGACGACAACTCACAAGCGTGACCACAGTAACCAGCTCCAGGAGGGCCACGCTGAGGGCCAAGGGATTTCCCATGTCCACTTGCCCTCACTGGCACCTGCGTGCCACAGGGCACCGCTGGGAATCCCATCTGCCTGGGGAGGCCCTATGCAAGCCCTCTCCAGATAAGAAGGAAAGAATGTAGTTAAGAATCTTATCGTTCCGAAGTTCCGAATACCTGTCCCCAGGGACCTGCTTGCCAGGACGCACACTCCGGCTGCTGACACGTCTGCATGGAAGCTGGCTTGGCCTCAGGGTCACAGATCCTATCGCTCACTTGATCTTCACCGAACTGACACCAGACCTGGCGGTGCTTATGCCCTTTGCCACAGGTGACCAAGCACTGTAACAAAAAACAGAACCACCGGGGCGGTGTCTGATCAATGCTCGTGTTTGGCATGGTTATTCATTGATTAGCAGGAGCAGGTGTGCCCTTTCCCAAAGAGTGCCTCCAGCCCAGGGCAACGGGTGAACACACCAGTCCCCCTTTTCTCCCCTCCCCTCCTCCATTTTTGCCTTTTCTCTCTGCATTCCTGGATTCTGAGACAATTACAAATAAAACGTAAAGTCAACAGAGCACCATGCTCTAATGCACTGAAAAACAAATCATGGTTTTCTAGCATTCATGGTGTGAACTCTGATTCACACCAACATGGATTTGGTACCCTAGACACCAAGGTACATGTCTCTCTATGTCTTCATTTCTCATAAAATGGGAATAATTATAATGTCTACTGCAAAGGGCTTTGGAAACTAACTGGAAAAATAAAAAACAAGAAAAATGCTTAACACAAATTCCATTCAAGAAATTGCTGAAAGTAATCATAATTATTGTTCATGATCATTTTAGAAAATTTGCAAAACACAGAAAGAACACAAAAGACAAAATCTCACTACTCAAGGGAGAGTGTTATCAATACTTTGATTTTTCTCTCCAGTCTTTGTATCTAAGAAATCTTGAATCCTGAACCCCACATTTCATCGTTTGTTACTTGACTTGAAATAATACTTCAACTAATGTCAGCTATCCAAGTAAAACTTAAACCTACTTATCCTCTTTTATTTTTTAAAGCCCAATCATGAGATTAACCTAGAACTCAAGCACCAGGGTTTGATAAACTGTCTAAGAATCAGACTGATAGCCACATGAACTGCTACTGCTCCCCAATTCCAACAGCATTAATAGTATCTTCTCAGATACACATGGTACTTGATGATGGAAGCAAAGGGTTACATCCCATTTACATGGGAGAGACACATAGGGGTAGGCTGGGAGCTGAGGCTTACCCACCTTCTCTCTCCCAACCTGGCCACTTAATAATCCCTGGAAGGGAGGTGGAACAGGTCTCATCTGTGCAAGAACCTCACAGGGCTGTGTTAACACTGGGTGTGATAACAGTGAGTGTCACTCTATTCTCCAAGACTGAGGCACAGGCTCTGTATTTCCTTCCTCTTGCTACCCTGGAGTGTAAGTAATACAGGCAATGCCTTGCACTTTAGAAAATCCGGGATGGGAAAGGCATAATCTGGAATGTTCATCCTGGTCTTTTTTCACTATTGTCCAAGTTTTCCTATAGCGACTGGAGTCCTAGGTAACAAGGGTCACTCACTGGGGTCTAACACTCTTATTTTCAAAAGAGGACATAGAAACCCTCACACAGATTTCAAGATAGCATTGCTTTCTGGTCCATAAAGCCTGGTTTCCAATCAGCAACTTAGCTGGGGCTCAGAGAGGCAGCAGGATGAGGCGCCAGTGTGACAGGCAGTGCAGCAGGACCCATAGTGACTCTGGAGTCACTAGTGGGTACAGTCATGTCAAGTATCACATTCATAGTGGGGGAGCAGCTGGGGTTGCTGTTTCCTCGATTGGAGGAGGCAGAAAGGATCAGCAGCTTTACCCTTCAGAGTTGGGGAGACCAGGGAGAGTGTCTGCGCTGACCTCGGGCACAGCCATCCGCCTCTCTCACCTCTGACCAATCTCCTGATTTCCATCGTGGACAGGGGAAGTCGTTGCACCTCTGAGTGGTGACTTTTTCCTGGTAGGTACATTTGCTGTCATCCAGGACATCATTTTGGTTGTTTACACAAATAGCCCGTCTTCTTTGGCTTCCACCATCACAGCTTTTAGAACACTGTAAGAACAAAAAATTAAACAAAACCATCATTGTTTCTTATAAAGTGTATTCAAGATCCTGGCTATGCTGTCTCTCCAAACCTTAGGAACCAGTCCCCATTTCTGATAAACTCTAGTTTTGACTTTGAGATCTTTTCATGCAATTAATTTATTTATCAAGTTTATACTGATGTCAGTATTAGCTCACTGGCACAGGAAAGTAAAGTTGGAATGGCTTGCAGAGTACAGAAAAGCAAAAAGTTGATCTGTTTAATCATTTTTAATTTTCTACACATCAAGTTTGTGTCAGACACTATAAACTGATCGTGGGGTTCTTTCTTGCAGAGGTTGAATGGGCTCAACCATTATAAATCAATTAATGATCTCTTTTCTACAGAGCCTAATAGGGGTGTCTTAACATGATCCTGCAAGGATCATGCTAATCAGACTTAGCATTTGTGAAGACTGAGAACCAGCTTACTTCTGTCCAAGCCGAATAGCGCCAGCCGCCTGTGTTACACTCTCCTGAGCATTTCTCCTGGTTGTTTGGTTTGGGGTGACTGCTGCAAAAACTATCGTCAACCTTCTCAATCTTCCCATCCAGCCTGCTGTACTTGGCACAATAGATGTCTAACGTGCGGTAGCCCAGCCCGCACTGGGCACTGCATTCGCTCCTGCCGGCCACATGCCACCTGGGAGCAAAGGATGGGGAGAAATCAACATTTCTGTTAAACACATTTATGCCTTGTCCACCCGGTGGGACACTTGGGTGTTTTTTTCTTTTTCTTCCTTAACTCAAATGCCATGAAGCTTGAAGCCACAGTGTATATGGAAGTCACAGGGACATGGCTTCAAATATAGAAGGGTTTGGAAACTTAGCCCTAGTGCCCCGTTAAGTGGGCCTGGTCTAGAAGATGCTCAATGAATGTTTTGTGAATTAATGACAGAAGGAATGACTTGGACTGCAGGTGTGCTAAACCCTGGTATAATATTATCTTGGTATAAAGTCTGTAAATTTCCCGAGATTTCTGTAATGTATATGGACTTCTAAAATTAGATTTTACCCTACAAACCCATGTCACTTTTATTACCTTATAACCCACGTAACTATAAGGAAACTTTCTCAGCAGACAGGCAATGCTTAATATCTCCTAGCCAACTCTCTTTTAATGCCCCAGAAACATGGACAGCAATGCTTAAATTTAAAAAGAAAGTAAATAAAATGCTTAAATTGAATTTGAAATATATTGTCAGTTAGATTTACTAATCCATAAAAGATAGTTTCTTATCTTCATTTCATTTCACTCGCTTGTTAATTCACTACTGCTCATAAATTGTATGCTTTTCTGATTTCCAATGTTTTAAGTGGTCTTCCATGCACACCTGTGTGGAGGAGGACCTGGGGGTAAAACGAGGGAGAAAGACCACACAGTTGTCACGGTGTTTCTCAGTAGCACCCAAAAGTAGGTCATAGCTGACCACTGCCAGTGAAGTGAGGTAAGGAGATTTTTCGTTAGAAATGACACAGTATTGGCGGGATTTTGTTCTAACCAGGAACACATACATAAGGACTTGTAAACCAATGCTTTATCTCATCCTGTCACAGTTTAATCAAGGCAAACTCTCACTTCCTGCAGGAAATGAGGCAAAAATATGAACCAATTCAAGAGAGGCATCTGGAACTTTCATCTGCACTTTGATTCTTGCCTACCTTGTTTGTCTTCATCACTTCGGCCCTGTGGAAAGGTTATTTTCCATCCGGGCCAAGAGAGGCAGGCATCCTGCTCACATGAAGACAGACAACACCCTGGCAGGGAGCAGGGCCTGCAGAAGTCATTATTTCCCTAATGTTCACAGAACCCCTGGAATCTAAGCAGAGAACCTAAAAAAGTCAGGGAAGGTCATGGCATTGCCCTAGAAAAAAATCCTCCAAACGTTATTGCCTGTTGTATGTTTCACTTTCAGGACAATGATCTTCAGTGTTTTCAGTTCACTGGGTTCATTTCATGGCAAATAAAATCATGCATGTTTCAATGTATTTATTAGGAAGTGGAAATTGGGGAGACACGTGTGGTTATGTTTGGTTGGGAATAGGCACAGTGCAGTGGGATTAAATGACTTCGAGAACTACGGCATCCAACAGGTTTCATCATCACAGGATCTTCAAAGTCCTGGCCAGCAGCTCGAATCTTCACGAGAGGCAGATGTTTAGTGGGCTTCTCGCGCTGGTTTGCCAATGAAATCTGGCAGAATCACTGAGCCACAAACATGTTTTGGGAAAAATTACTATATATTTGGACCATTAAGTAACAATCTCCTCCCTTGTCTTATTGGTTTGTGTGTGAACTATTGAATAATATTTAAAGGATCGTATTAACGGTCAAAATAACAGTACAAAGACAGGTCAGCTTCTTGAAGCTTGGTTTGTGTCTGTGTACTTTTCAGTGAACAACTTCACATTTTAAACTATCTACAAAAGCCAGTAATATGTGGGTTTGAGTGTTGACAAAATACCATGACCTTCTGTTTAATTTTAGGTATGAGTATCTATTTGTCTAGTTGTGAGGCATTTAGAGGCTAATCCTAAAGTTTTTCTCCTTTCACTTTTTAATTCCTATAGCAGTTGCCTGACTCTTCCAAGAAAAGGCATTGTCACAGTCTCTTCTCCCTCTTGTCTGTTCCTCTGCAGAGGGGCTGTCTCTGAGCTGTCCTCATTTGGCCTCCATAGAGTTAAAGCAAAACAAAACAACAAGTTTTAAAATGTGCTTTCTCTGAAAAGGTGAGTTTTGAGTAGCACATTTGACACAGATGCTATCTTAAGTGAAGAGACTTTAATCCCTGGCTTCAGCCAGGTTTTGAGATGGTATTTAATGAAAACCGGAAGATAAGTAATGGACTCAGAAAGTGCTGTGAACATAGCTGTGAGTTCTCACACATTCTAAATAAGGGCCCCGGTGAGCTGTGCAGCCCCAGAGCCCCAGGTCTCCTCACTGAGGCAAGGGGAACCGCATCGCTCACAGGTTATAGGGCCAGCAGGCAGGGCAAGGCACACAGAGCATTAGACACAAAAGACAAAATGCTCAAGCAAAGCAGCTGTGACTTATTACTGTCCTTGGTGTTTTGTTCTCCAAATGAGTTGGAAATATCTCGTGACTGCACAAGACCCAGCAAGGATAAACCCTCTTAAAACAGGCTTCCAGGGCAGCAGAAGCTTGGGAGGGTCAGATAAATAGCACCAGCCAAACATAAGCATGGTTTGGACTGAATTGTGCTCACAGAGAATGTATTAGGGTCTGCAAGTCCCAGTGAATGGGTTATTAAAGGTTCGTCTGTCTGTTTTAAATGGTCACCTTGTGTTCCTCGAAAGGCTCGGCACAGACTTGCCTCCCTGCCAGCCTAGGCACAGGCCAAACACTGTAGGCAATGGGCCCACAGCACTGGCAGTTGCCATCTGAGACTGGGCCAGCCGATTCGGATTCAGCCCGCACAGAAACACCAGATAAGGAGGTGGTGCTGGAGGTAGGAAACAGGCAAGGTTAAGACTGGTGGAGCCAGGCCTTCCCATGAAAGAGAAAAAGCGACACAGAATGGGATCAGGAGCATCAATCAGCAACACGGTGACTGAGCTACGGGTGCAAATAGCTTGGCTGCAGGTAGCAGTGCACAGGCTGTGGGGTAACGTAGTCTGCTCTTAAATCTCTGCAGGACATCCTAGTGTGACCTTAGCCATTTGCTTAACTTCTGCCAGACCTGTTTCTGTTTTTCAGTTTGTAAAAATGATGGTAATACTTCTATCATGGTGCCATTTGAGAAATTAATAGGACACGAATTATATTAAAAGGATGTATATATAAGACAATAGAATAGCATAGAAGCTATCCTATTAATATGAGAATGGTAAAGAGATAATATGTAACTGTTAAAATCTTAGACAATGTTTGGCTCAATCACTACTTCTACAGTGGTGGGAGATGTGATCCTACATGCATATATCTAAAATGCACCTTCCTCAATTTATGAAGGCTATATCTCAAGGAACCTATTCACCAATTCGGTTTTATTTCATTGAACTTGAGTAATTTATTTTAGTAGTTAATTATTTCTCCTGAAAGAACCTTTAGTTCTAATTTAACTCCCTTGGCTGAAGCGAATGGATTTACACATACACTACCTGGAACAGGAATACTGCCCAGTGTCAGTATGAATGTGTACCATTCAGTATTCTGTTTTTGTTTAAACAGTAACTTTTTATCAATCCAACAATGAAAATGCCAACTTGACAATCACCTGTCGGCAAGCCAATGAGCAGGCAGGTTAGTGACTGAGTAGAGAGGAAGGGTGGTGGGCAGCGGGAAGGCTCTGGTTCGGAGTCTCAGAGGAGACCTGCCCCCTGGATGCCCACACAGATGTGGCTTCAAGTCCAGAACCTAGCTAGCACTCGCCTGTTCTCACAGAGCTCAGAGCCTGAGGATCTGTGCTCCAGCACTATGGGCAGACTGCTCCTGGAGGGGGTTTTCCATCTCAACATATGACCTTCGCACTGTACAGAGACTCTCCCGGTCCCTCACTACTCTGTGCTGACAGCCTGTCCTCTGTAGAAGCTAAACAAAGCAGCACTTCACCCTGATGCATTTCCCTCACGCAGGTCTCACAGTGATCCCCTGCTACACTGTGGCTCCCCATCAGGAACAGAGAAGGCCACTCTATGAGACAAAAAGGCCACCTGGGCAAATTCAGATGACCCCAAGCATTCCTATTCCAGTGCTGTTAGGGATCATTCACTGTTCGTTGTGTGTTTTTAATTAAATATCACAAAAATTACTAAAAAAATAAATAAATAATCATGCCATGGTCAACCCTGCAGGCAATGGGAAAGCACCCACTTGGTACGTCCCACCCCAATCTTCATATTTCTGTTAAACACAGGATTGCTTATCTAGAGATTTGTACCCAAATTTTCTTCTATTCCTTCCACAATGGTACTTTATGCACCACAGCTGTCAAATGCCTGTTAGTCCTTCTATTGGCTGTTGTGCGTGCTGGGCAGATACAGAACACAGTGAGCAATACAGGTATGAGGTTTTCCTCTTTTCTGTTGACTTTCAAACCAAAGTACTGCGTACCATACAACTGAATCATAAGGCTGGTGTCTGCCCTGAGTTGTGAAGATCAAATGATAATGTTTTCTGGTGAGAGCCATACTCTAATGAGCTATTTTTGATTTTTAGGAAAACAAGAAACTAACAGATGCATGTTGTGGCTAACAAGTTCCAGGGCGATGGAGAACTGGCCAAAGCCCATGTCACAGACACCGAAAAAAGTAACCCAAGATGAGCTCCCTCCTTCAGACCCGCACCTGCAGGTCTCCCCCCACGGCCCTCCCGCCTCAGAATGGAAAGCTGAAGCTGCACCTCAAGTCACAGTTCATGCCGCAGGGCTCTGTGATGGGTCCTGGCTGTGGCAGACGATCACATCTTTGATCAGAAACAGGAAGCTGGTCAGATTCCCTGGTGCAAACAGGCTTTCGTTTCCGTTCCCCTAAACAAAGGGGGAAAATTATTCAGAGAAAATAACCTATTCCACAAATTACTTAGAACCAAGCACTGGCAAACACACCCTAAAAAAGTCTAGATAGTGTACACTTTCAGTTTCAGTAGCTATAGTATGTGCATCACACCTCTCAACAATGCCAGCACAGGGCAAAAGCAGCTGCCCAGGAGCAATACACAAACACACACAAGTAGGTGGCATGCTAGTGTGTTTTAGTAACACTATTCGTAGATGAGGGGCAAGCTGGACTTTGACACATAGCTATAGTTTGCTGACTGTAATTTAACTACAGGAAATAAAATAACCTAGAATGGGATGACTAAAACCACATCTCTGGAAAATTAAAAGTGGCACGGATGATTCTGCTTGGCTTCACACATGAGTGCAAACCTCTTAGGAGGAGGAAACTTAGCACAACCTGAACCCATTGACTTGCCAGCCTCAAATGACCAGACAGGGTCAAAGAAAGGACATCAGGGGATCATGCAGATGAAAACCTGTACAGATTACATCTATGTGGCTGTCCTGAAAAAGGAAAGACAGAAAAAGAAAGTTTCAAAACTTTTCCCGCATCCCCCAAACTGAAGCTCCGAGCAGATACCTTGGCAGGGTTTGCTGCAGGCTTGCCAGGGCCCGTAACTGTTCCAGTAAAACTGCTGTGGTTTGTCATCGATGGGAACATTGAAAGAGTAGCGCACATCAGGATTGTATAACTTTCCCACGGAGAGAACCTGGGGTACAGGGAAAGACAGAGAGATGGATATCTTCGGGACTGGCATCTCCAGGGGAGGGAAAGGGGTGAGGGCTCACGGCCACGTTTCTACCTGAAGCAAAAGTTCCTGGTCGATGCGGTCAGTGGCGTTAATCCTCTCCACGACATTGTCAGAGCCGCTGTACTCAATCAATGTGTTCCCGACACGGATTTCCCTTTTGGACATTGTGACAACGAAGTCCCCGTTTAGCAAGAATTCACCTTTACTGCTTGACAAGGCTGCAGATGAAAAAAGAGAGCTCGCTGACCTGCTGCCAGTGACCAGCTGCATGAAACATGAAGGAAGGCAGAGGTGGAAAGGTCAGGGATTCTGAGTCCAGCAGGCCTGGGATCTTTCTTGGTTTGCCCTGTGCCAGCTGTGTTAGTTCAGAAAGTCACTCTCCCTCTCTGTCTCCAGCTCATCAGAGAAAACACGGGGGACTGTAATACAGAGTTATTAGCCTCTTAGCTCGGGGCTCTTTCCAGCCCACAGCTATGGGATTACTGATGCAGGCAAAAGCATTTTAATTTGAAAGTGTGTATCAATCAACTGAATGCTTACATAAGTGGTTCTGGAATAGTGTTCACATATGTTACAGCTAGTTGAGCTACTGAGTCTTGGTTAAGTCTTCCTTGACCAGTGCTGAAATGTGAAACTACATGGTCACTCTGATGCTGTCACCTGCCCCAAGGCCACTATGGGTCTGCACAATGGCTCCACAATCCTTCTCCTGTACTGTCCCCCACTGGCCTCCCCTCCCACGCTGAACAGGCTGACCAGAAGGATGCTGAGGATATGACAGAGGTGACTCCACAGCCAGAGTTAAGGCACTGCAGCTCCGCTAGACCATCAGGGAGTCTCTGGCTGTGGAAAGCTGGGGCCAGCTGCTGGGCTGGGAAGATCCTCATGGAGAGGCCCTGGCAGCCAGGGCTGAGAAAGTGTGGCTTTTCACCCAAAGCTTCTGTGGGAGTTATCGGGAACCGGGTCCTGAACCAGCCGTCAGGTGATACCACAGCCACAACTCCAGTCATGTGACCTTTCACCAGGCCTCCTGCCCAGACGCCCAGGGAGGCCACTCCCAAGTTCCTGACACAAGACACTGACCATTACATATTTGTCACTCTCAGTCACTATGCCTTGAGATAACTTGTTACCCAGTAGAAGCTTAATACTTAAGTCACACAGATCATTCTGCTTAACCTATAATGCCTCCCTTGGCCACCTCGGCTCTCGCCCAGGCGCTCTGCACATAAACCAGAGTGTCCGTGTCGAGAGTGACGCTGCTGACGCTGCTACCTTCGTAACTACATTTGTTTCTCAAGGAGCACAGGTTGTGAAACCAACGTTTCTAGCTTTTAAGACTGAAGAATCTCCTATAAATTTTGCAAAAGATGGAAGCATCAATGCAGATGAAAAAGAAATGTTGGAAAACTGCCTGAAGTAAGTAGGAAACTATTGGCCAAATGAGGACCTGCAAAAGTAGGTAAATTATAATAGAATTTAAAATAATAAAAGTTACAGAACCAGAAGTAAAACGAAGGCCGCCAGGAGCTGAAGGAGAGGAGTGGGTCTAAGGGTACAAAGACTCAGGTATGGGAGATAAATGAGAAAACTCTGGGCTCCGTGTATCTTACAGTGTGATGACAGACAGGAAGAAAGGCAAGTCCATTTCCTGGTTATAGTGATTAATTGCTATGTACAGGTACATCAATATGTTAAGCTGTATATCGTAAATACATAGTTTTCAGTTTTTAAATCCACCTCACCAAAAGTGAAAAAAAATCGAAGAAAGGGAAAGAACTCTGGCATGGAAGGTGAGACAAGAGTTGCTTTTCCTTTTTATTCAGTTTATGTATCAAAAGGATCAAGAACACGAGGGAAATAAAGCCACAGGAACTTATCCAAATCACTCCTTTCAGATCTGACTGTTAAATTCAGACTTTGGGTGAAGAAGTTATTACTGTCCTACTCTATAATACTTGCTGGAATAAGTATGCAAAAGTATTTAATGATGTTTTATTATCCATTCTAAAAACTTTGGCGCGTTCAAAAGTGAAACACAATTTTGCTGAATACAAGGCAAACTAAACCTATTTTTGTACTCTTTGATTATTTTCTCAAGATAAAATCCCAATCACATCCTCTCCCTGGAGTGTTTATTATACACTTCTAGTTTCACTTTAAGAAAGTCCTTCCTCTCTCACTGGGCTCCCTCTCTGTGTACGCATCCTGCCTAGACCACAGTTTCCTATCACACTTCTTTGAGGTTAGGTCCAGTAAAGATGCCTAAGCTCGGGTTGCAAAAGCATGACTTAGAGATTTAAATTAACCTCCCCAGGCCAGGTGCCTTCTAATCGTGCAAATCTGTCTCTCGAGCTCGTAACCACTAACATTTTCCGAGGGATTCAGCAAATGCTTGCTAGATGAAAGAAAGAGTTCATGCATTCTTCCTCTGTATACAAATGCAAGCCGAATATGTTTAGGTTACAGAGTTTTAAAAATTTAAAGACTTTGTTTGCTGGGCTTCAAGAAGCTTTTAGTAAAGGAATCATTTAAAAGTTCACTTTGGTTTGTAAACCCAAGAAAGACCCCAGCCCTTAGATGCTCAGTCAGTGATGTAAAAGGCAAGTGACTGATTGAAGCTGGCATCTGTGACAAGGGGATGGAGGGGTTCTCAGTGTCCCTGACTTTCCCCAGGCCACATGAATCTCAGACAACTCTCTCATGCCTGCAGGTACCATGGCATGAGACCCACCAGCCATGCAGCAGTGGGAGCTTCCGTGGGTCACTGAGGGGGGTGAGGTTGTCTCTGTGGCATAGGACAGCCTGGGCTACTCCCTAAGACTGGTCACTACATAGCAAAAGCTTGACACATTGTCCACAAAACCACCCAATTCTTTCAGGTTAAACTGCATGCTAGCTACCCAGCTGACAAAGGGGGAAGCAAAATGTCACATGATGGCAGGGCTGTGGGTTAAGTGATAATCCAGTTTTGTTCAGATTCACAGAGCAAAGGTCTTTTCTGGGTTAATTCTGGGGTCTGCTCCAGGCTTCTGCTCCTGCTTATGCTCTCTAGGGCCACCTGCCCCTTCCTCTGTTGATGCTTGTTCTCCCAGCTAAAGGTGAGGAGCCAGGGGGAAAGGAGTCCACATGGATGTGAGACTCCTCCCAGAATTTGCTCTGAGAACTAGTGTAGCCCGAGGCATCTACAAAGTCATCAGATGCAAGGAAATTCCTGCTCTTTTGCCCTTGAATCATTCCTATCTTCCCACTGCCACAATGAATCAAGGGTTAAGGACCCTGGGGATAAACAGGCATGGCAGAAATGGCTACTTTTCCTCCGGAAGAGCCAGGAAGATGGCGGCTATGGGATAAGGGGGCTGGAGCCCACTGGAAGGAGGGGATCCTGTGACAGCAGGACCTCTGACAGCAGACTTTCTGCTCCAGTACCTTGTGAAACAAATAGTTTCCTGAAAATGAGAGCCTCTTGCTCAGTCTCCCACTAATGCGATTAGGGGAGCTAATTTCCTGGGTTGCTTTCCCTCCCATTGCACCCATCAGACCTGGGTTCCGCAGGGCCTCTCTCCTGCTCCTTCAGCAAAACACTCCAGAAGAGTATGGCTTGTGGACCTTTATGCAACTACTGGGGATGGAGAAAGATGACTTAGTCCCAGCACCTGGGTGCCAGAACTGTGTAAGGGCTCCTCGGGCCTTTGCCACACCTCCCTCAACTCAGAGTAAACATTTACACACCCCACACTTGAAGACACCCAATTCTTCCCAGTCTCTTGCATAACCACTTTCACACTCAGTCTTCCCTCTCCATGGACTGTGACTTGCTATCTACACTTGGGAACATTCCCTTGTAGAGAGGCCATCTTCGGCAAACAGGTAACTTTCCCATGGCACTCCAGTGAGGAGCCATGAATGGTTCAGACCTCCTGTCCCAGATGACAAATCTCCTTTAATTTTGTTTTCATTCCTTACAAGGAGACTAAGAAACCTCCAGCAAAGAATAAAAGGTTATCAGGAGGCCCACCCTGAATCCAGGTACCTGACAAGGCTTGATTAAATTGAAATGAATTAAGGCGACTACTTAGAGGGAGATTGCTTTCTCAAGGAGAAGAATAGAAATGAATCCTTCTTCCTTTGCGAAGAAGAAAAGCACAACTTGATGTGGCTTCCAGCTCTCAGGAAATTAATTTATCAAGACTGAGTGCACTGCTGCTTGACTTCATCAAGAAGTAGTAAGGCCGTGCAAACACACGCTCAAATTTACAGCCACATACACGGATAAAATGTGTGACCCATTTCACACAGTGGTGGAATGAAATACGGGAGTCACTCCAAATGATGAGAAAATGGTACCCAAGAATTGCATTAATTTTCTTCTTCAGTTCTTCTGAATGTGGCACTGACACCGAAACCAGGGCCCTGTGCTTGCCAAGCACAAGCTCTAACGCTGAGTTTTACTCCAGTCCTATTAATTTTCCTATGAAGTTACCACCTTTGGATATTTAGAGTTGTAGAAAGCCAAGACAGTCATACAGTAACTAATTACAAGTAAGACTGTACCGCCTTTGAAAAAAGGGTCAGTATCTCCAAGGTAACTCCACTCTCTGTGGAGCACACAGTAGGTTCTCAGTAAAGACAGCATGAGTGACATCTGTTTAAAATCCAGCAACTGCTTCTGCAGTGCCCAATTACCTGCAGGGCTTGGGTCAGGAGCTGAAGATGCAAAGATATAGCCCTGACTTTCAAACAACAGCAGTCACACAGATGAATAAATGCCACATAGGGCATGACATAGCCATCCTTTCCATTAATCGGGTCAAAACCTTGGAGTCTTTGACTCTTTCACTCCCAAACACCTTGGACTCCTCTCTTTATGCACTATATCTGTCATAAAATCACGATGGCTCCAGTTTTAAGACATCTGGAGTCTGCCACATATAACCGTCTCCACATTCCCAGGGATACCAGTGCATCAGCTTAGCTCTCCCTTGGGTGCCTGCAATAACTTCCTGAGCAGCACTGCTGCCCTCTCCAACACTCTTCCCATCGCCCGTGGTCAGCATAACACCACAATATTCTTTGAAAACATAATGCGATTGCACTGAGTCCTTCCTTGGCTCAACAGTTGCAGAAGTGCCCCAGCCTCTAGGCATACCAGCCCAGGTGCTTCCAATGGTTGCATAATCCATCCAGTTAGCTGCAAGATACCTGGGAATGTCCTATGTGCTCCAACAGCAACAGCCTTTCTTAGCTTTACCAGCAATCCAGACACGCTGCTGCTTCACAGACTTGGCAATGGCTAATGCCTCCACCCATCATGATCTTCCCAAAGAGCCCATGCTTCCTCTCACTCCGAACACCCTTAGTATCCCAACCTCCTTCACGTTGTTCTGACTTCCAATATCATTTTTCAGCTTCTAACAGAAGAGTTTGCCCATTAAATTATTGTTTCTCTCCTCCCATGAAAAAGGGTTAAGTAGGGTGTGATGGTTCACGCCTGTAATTCCAGCACTCTGGGAGGTTGAGGCAGCAAGATCATAAGTTTGAGCATAGTCTGAGCAACTTAGTGACTTAGTGAGACCCTGTCAAAAGAAAAACGGGCTGGGGGAGCTTAGTGGCAAGGCTCTGAGTGCCAGCTCCAGTCCTAAAAGCAGGTGGTGGTGGCACCGAGAAGACGGAGATTTTTATTATTTTTTTTGTCTGTTTTGTTCGCTATGCAAAAAATAATGCCACTGCATAAATAAGCAAATGAATGGTATCACACAGCACAAAATGTCACAATGGAGCCATGCATAAATATTATAGTTAATTAGCACACTTGGCTACAAGGATCACTCTGTCAATGCACGACTTCATGTGGACATTTCAAACTACAAATGGAGGCTCTAATCTGACTCGACAAATACTCATTAACCAGCTCAGTGTGTCCAAATGCTCGGATTAAGCCTCCACTGAGGGTATATTCAGATGGGTAAACAGAGCTTCCACCTGGACACTTCAAGAGACAGAGTTCTTTAATTTCTTCAGAGACTGACTGCTCATGAAGACTCCCTGATTTCTTCCCAATCCGAATACTAGCCCTTCTTAGAATTCACAGTGAGAAGATGTGTTCAAGATGACAAGCTCGGATGCTTCTCATCCTTCCAGTAGTCCTCATGTCCTTTTTGTAATGGGCAGTTGGATGAATTTCATAATCACTTATGGCAGGTCAGAAAATAATGAACTGAAGTGGGACTGGACCAGGCAAATAAGATGAGGCAAAAATCAACACAGGGTGTTTGGTGTATTGTGGTTTAAACATAAGGAATAGATATGAATTAATTATGTAGTTCAATTTGGGCACTAGATATGAATTAATCCAGGGAGAAGGATGCAGAATTTTTAAAATAACGGAGCAGGCTACTCTACCAATGATTTGAGAAACACAGGCGTCACCATAGACGCTTTCATAATGACCAGGCATAATAAAATACTCAGCAGGCCTGCCAGCGGCCTGCTCCTGGTGAGAACTAATAACTTAAGAATTAAGCCAAGTAATGCCTCCAAGAAAACATTCGCAAGTCGGTTACCACCAGACTGATTTTTTAAAAGATCCATTGAGAGCAATGATTTTATGCTAATCTGTAAGTACTTTGAAAATTTGACTTGGAGCCTTTCTATTTTGTAAAATCCAGAGTGAAGCCCTTCATACTGAATACTGCAATGACATAACCCTTGAATCAATATTCTGAGGGTGTTTTTATAAGAGTGAAATAAAATAATGATTTCCAACATCAGCATCCATGAGAGTCATGATAGCTGAAAGCTTGGCACATGCCAGAGAAAAAGAAGGGCACTGCACAGACAGCTCTGGTAAGTCAGGCTGCCTGCAGGTGGCAGGGACACCTTGACTCACCTAAATAGTTGTCATCCTCTGATTTCCCTGAGAAACTGTGCTGTCGCACATCAATATTGGTAGCACCAGCTGGAATTCGGACCACAGTGTTGTAACCTAGAGGGGATATAGCAGAAGGTCAGCTCTCCATGTCATGGTTCACTCTCTTTTATAGAAAGTAAGCCATAAAGACACACGATTCTCACTGTTAGGTACCTTAGCTAGACGGATAATAGAATGCACATACCAAGGGTGATATTACACTGGATGTTAACACTTTCACATATTACATGCAGCTAACAGATTTTAAATTTTTCATACTTGTGTTACATATAGGCCAATTCTTACCATAATGTACAGTATTAAATGTTCCTGCTACAGTTTTGCATGAAGAATTATCACCACCACAAACACCACACTTATCTCGCCGGGCTTTGGAGTTTAAAATGTGATCACATCCAGCTTGCTTTTTAAAAGAAAACATTTGAAATAAATGATCAGTATTAAAGAGAAAGTAAAATAGTAAGTAGTGTACTTCTTTCAATGCTATGCCCTCAAAATGACAAATAAAGCAATATTCCTTTAACCTTGCAAGGGTTGACAGAGAATGCAAATTATCTACGTCTTTGCTACTTAAAATGTGGTTTTTAGAGCAGCAGCCATGGGCACCCCAAGGCTGGTTAGGAACATAACATCTCAGGACCCACCCAGACCCACTGAAGCAGACTGCAGGCTGAAGCCTGAGAAGCTCTCATCTTTAAATAATCAGAGTAAATGAGAAAAGTTGCTATGGAATAATAGTTTAAAAAAAAAAGGAGTAGAGAGAGTGGTGAGGATGGCATCTAATTAAAGAACTCATGTCTTGTCTTAAGGGAGACAAGCCACTGACCACAACAGTTTCTGCTGGCATTTAGAAGTAGAGACCCAGTATTGATATCTTCCAGTTTTTCAAAGAAGCAGGAAAACACTATTACATGTGTAATCCTCATGTTTCATACTGACTATGTGCTCAGGGAACAGTGTGACTGCAGGTGAAGCCTTCTCTTCATCTCCTGCTTCTGGAATTTCATCATGTATAGTACTAGTGCAATATAGGAAGGCCCAGGAGGACTCGAGCAATGACCAGAAGGCCAAGAGAAGAGTGCCCACATGTTTGTTCATTTTGTTCCTTTGCATGAACTAACAATGTTGGAGGAGAAACCCAGATTGTTCCTATGTACTGGACTGACAAGGACATTGCATGCAGAGCTCCTGCAGTCAAGGGCTCCTCTGACCGGGAGCTCCAATTTGCCTTTGGACCATATGCCAGGAAGACATGTCCACTTAGTCCAGCTGGGTTAACAAATGAATGCTGACAGTGAGAATAGTGGACAGGGTATTAAGCCCTTGAGAAGTCCCTGCTCCCATGCTTTGCTGTTTGTCAGACTTCTCAGTCTACCTTCCAAGAACAATTACCAGGCATGTCTCAAGTCAAAGTTGTTGAAATTTGAGTGAAGACATCTTTCTGGACAGAGCACAGCTGTTCAATCTAGGAACTTGCAGTCAGGAAGCATTTGAGATTAGCTGTGGCACTCAGGTAAGGGAATGTGCGCACGCAGTGGAACAACTAATCTTCAAGAGGAGGTTCTGCACAGATTCTCCCAGAGGCTCAAAATGTCAAGAATTGTCTAGGGCAGTGGTTTTCCAACTCTAGCACAAGATGCATCAGTGCAGGTGACGCTGATGTTAATAATGGTCCAGCAAACATATTTCAAGAACCATCTCCAGGAAAGAGCCCATAGACAATGGCAACAGAAAGTTTATCAAGAAAGTTGCAAGCCCCAGGATAGCAGAGGGACAACAAAGGAAGAGGAGACTCTCTGGAACTTACCCGGCAAAGGCCTTGGACACAGATATCATTTGTGTCCTGGCCACAAGGAGTTCCATCTATCACCCTGTCTCCGAGTTGGTAATAGGCTGTGCTCCCAGCCACTCTGCAGAACAATTTGCACCGGTCCTTCATCAAAACTAGAGAGTAGAAACATGACATTAGGTGACCTTGTGCCTGCCACTGCCTGCCTGCTGCCACTGCTTCCACCCAGTGCACTTACTTCCGCTGTACTTGGGGACCCAGCGCACGGTGGGGAGCACACCATTGATGTTAAAGTGTTTCCCATCGAAGTGAGCACACTGCTCCTCTCTGAAGTCCCGCTTCTGCTTAAAACACGGCTCCGTGTTGCAGGATTTAAATTTCATTCTGCGCCCAACACAGTACTTGCCACCGTTTTTTGGCCTGAGAAAATATACAGAACATACACACTGTATTCTAATGTATTTCTCCACCTAGCACTCTCTACCTCATGACTTTTGGCTTTCCAAGGGCTCCTGCTTCTCAATCTGCTTCTGTCTCCCATTAAGGGCTCCATACGGCTTTGCGTTCTGTACATTAGGGCGCATTCCCACACCTCGGCAACCTCAGCGTCTACCTCTTCACAGTGGGATGCCTGACCCTGTAAGAATCTTTGAAGGTAAACTGTACTGACTTGTACTTTGGGCAAGTGATGCATGTATAGTGCTCATCCCACATTGATCAGTTTTATGTCCCTTACTCAATTTTAAAACCACGGAAGGGAAATGGTAGCATTTAGTAGCTGGTTGGCACCCTGGCTACTGGCCTGTATTAAGCAGCTCTGTGTTTGGGGATGCTCATGGGAGACCAGTGAGACATGTGTCCTTCCACCTCCATTCACTCTGTCCCTCCCCATGCTCTGTCCCAATCACTACTGTTTTGTTTTACAAATAAAAGGGGATAGAAGACATGTGTCCATACATTTGCTAAGAGCATAGGAAAACCACGGGAGGGAACGCTGTCTCACTGCTTTCTTGGCAAAGCGTACGGAGTACACTGTAAGACACCAGAGTGTGGATCTCAGTTTGGCATGAGACTCAGTCTATGAATTCTCCAGAGGGAAGCCAGAGAGTAATTACACAGCACACCTGCCAGCAGGCAGCAGTGGTCAGATCCATTACGTGCATGGGGAGATCCCAGAATCAGAGGACACTGGGGCACAGCCAGCCAGGCAGGGGCAGCTGAGACTCACTGCTACCCTAAGGGTGCTCCTGGAACCAAAAGAAAAACCTCATCTTTTTTCTTTACAATGAATCTTGCAAAGTAAGCCTGGCTATAAGAAGTGGGTTTTGTTTTGTCAAAATTGAGGCTTTAGGGACTGGGTAAGGTATCCATGACCATAATCCATGCAATGAGAGGCTATAAGAGGGTAAGGTGAGACCTCTCTTGCTCCATCCTCACTACATGGACATAGACTCAGTTCTTAACCTCCTTGAGCTTCAATTCTCCCTTCTTTTAAATGAGTGTACACAACAGATGCTAGAAAACACTGGTCACTATATTCTCTGTCAGTACCACCCAATCTGACCTGATTTCACCAAACTGGGCAGGACAGGGCAGAGTGGATACTCCTCTGCAGGGTGCCCATATTAGGAAGGGCCACCAGGCAGACTTTACCTCAGCCCTCATGAGATATGAGTGTTCCTGAGGATAAATGTGTGCAGAGCAAGAGAAAAGCATGGGCCTCACAGTTCCAAGCAGGTGGCTCTATGTAAGCTCCCAGCTCTCAGAGCATCACCTGTCACACAAAAACCAGACTAGACTGGACACGCAGGGCTGCTCATGTGTGTCCTATACATGATGAAGAACACACACGGCATACAACCCTGCAGGGTCTGTGTTTGGCTCCCCAGTAAACAAGGGGAGTCTGTGCTTTGCATCTGGATTCTGCACAGACTTACCAGAACTCTGATTTCTTGCTCAAGGGCAAGTAAAGTAGATGAAATATATTATACTGAGAGCCAGGAAGCAGATTCAGAGAAGTTAAATGTTTTTTTTTTTTTTTTGTTAATGAGAGAGCAGAGTTTAGGGCTTGGTCTTATTTTATTACTCTAGCTTGTGGGTTTTCTTTAATTTTTTTGGTGGTCCCAATTTTAACTTTATTCATATTTTTATGCATCAGGTGCACAGGTAATTAATTATCTATTTGACAATAAGAGCTAACGGTAACCCCCCTGGGGAACAGACAGAAACTGGGACCGTCCCTGCAAACCAGCATGAACAATCCTCTTCCGTGTAGGGCATGGGTCAAAACAGAGATTAAAGACAAAATATTGGGGCCAATCTGTAGCACTACATACCAGTCCAAAAAACTATAAGGTCAAAATTAGAATGCATATGGCTTCCATAGCATGATCAAGCATAATCACACACACAAGGATGCTTTTTGGGTTGGCTTTTTTTGTTGTTGTTTTGTTTGCTTTAGGGATAACATTCTACAAGCATTGCCTCAGATGTCTGCATGCTAACTAAATACACTTACACTAATAGCATGAAAAAACTGAAATAACCCAACAACTTCACTAGAAACATGTCTTGAATCATAAAAACAGAGCATAAACGCTAAGGACCAGTCAAACCTCATGCAGGTGGGTTCTCAGGAATGGGTCCTGCTGCCTCATCTCTTTGAGAAGAATGAGAACAACCACTTACTTCCACTTGCCTTATCAAATATCTGCTTGTGGGCATAGGCCTCAGTACCTTAGCTCTGCGGCCCTTTCCCTTTCCAGATGGCCTTGCAGAACCAGTGTGACCTGTGTTCAGAGCCCATCTCCTTCCTCTGTTAACAAGGACATCCTAAAGGGCAAAAGACTGCAGGCGTCTGAAGGACGTGATGTCAGTGCCCACACTCAGCGGGTGGCACTGTCTTCACCCCTCCCATATAAACTGCAAGGAGAGGATCTTAGGTCTTTAACAAGATCTGCTTCTTTACTTTTGAATGGAAGGATCTTTGCTTCACTTTGAAGCTCAAAGACCCTTTTTGCCCACGGCTTCACACTGGGCCAGTTTCTTTGTCTGGCCTGTCCGATTATGGAGTGATTTATCTCTCTCCACACTGCTTCTAGGACTGATCTAAAACTCTAAAAAGGGAGAAAATCCTCACACAAAAAAAAGTACTAAACACTTCTTTTGAATGGAATATCCCGGAATCAAAATTTAAAAACAATTATAAGGTGTCTCCTACTTGAAATATAATAACACTTGTGATACACTAATAATTTTGCTCAATAGAGATAGCAGTTTTTCAGTGAATAAAGAAATTACCACATTTGCAGTTAGATCAAGAGGCCTGGCTTTAATCTCCAAAGAACTGGGATATACAGTTGAGTTTAGAAGGCAGTATGAGTCTTATTTTACATTAAATAATACTTAGTATCATATAATACGTATTATATCCACACTGTTTTACCGGTCTGAAACGACACACATCAAATCATTTACCAGGGATAATTTCTTATGGGGTGGGTAGGAATAAAGATGTCAAACCATTCTTACATCCTATGCTTGTGGAGCATGTCAACAAATGGCAAAAGCATCCAGTGGTTGACAAACCTAAGAGCAAAGGGTCTGGAAAGAAAAACAGTGCTGGAGGCAGAAGTTGGGGTGCTGTGCAGGAGTCGAGGGAGCCCCACCCATCTCTCCTCTGTGCCACCCTTGTCAGCAGGACTCACTCTGGCCGGTTGCACTCGCGGACAGCTGTTTTGATGCCCCCACCGCAGGTCCTCGAGCAGCTTCCGTAGGGACTCCAACTTCCCCAGGATCCATCGACCACAGGGACCTCCATGTCTTTGGGGACACAAAATCCAAACCTGCAGTGCTGTGTTAAACAAGGGGAACAGTGAGCTAGAGGACGGAGCTATGAACCCTGTCTACAAGCTGCCCTGCCACGACCCAGCCACAGAGTTTTGCCTATGATGGTTTGAAACACTGTGAACTCACCAATGTCACAAATCACGGACACGATGGGCTTTAATCTCACCATTACTGATTTTAGGCTGCGCCTGCCTTTACAGCTGGCTAGAAAAGGCCACGCAGCTGGGGGAGCTGAGGGCCAGGAGTCGACCAGAGGTCTATAGACCAGGGTAGGGCGCAGCCCCTAGACATGCATCTCTGTTAACGAGGCCAGGAGATGCTACGAGGCTGTATACTGGAGTGCTTCACTGGTCCCTGTGGGTTAGGAAAGCTAATTTTAACTCAATCAGGAATAAAAGTTACATGATTTTTAATAAACTCACTCCAAGAAAGCATTTAGGAGCATCTAAACTGCGTTATTTTTTTGTTACTAATGATTTTGGAAACTCCAGCCTGCGTGGCAGGGAAAAGGACACGATGTACAAAAACCAGTAATGATAATAAAACAAAATCAAACCACTCAGCAGGACAGGGCATGGGCAAGCCCACTCCAGCCCCCTGCCATTGTTGGGGTGTGAAGCCATGACACAGAGCGAAGGTCACTGAGCAGCGGACAAAGGAGGAATGGTGGCAGGAGGAGGACACCCGCGGCTCCCTCAGATCTCTGAAGTGGAGCAGGGCGGCTGCGATTCATCCACAGGGAGGACACAGTGAGAGGCAGAAGCTGGGCAGAGGCCAGGGGTGGGGCGCGTGGAGAGAGGGGACAATGAGGGGCAGCACCAGGCTTGCTGGGAAGAGTGACCGCCTCTCAGGCAGGTTGGGGACAAGTCGTTTGAAAAGTGTAATTCAGCTTCCTCCAGCCTTGGGGCCTCCTCCCTGGTAATTACCCTCTGCAGAGCTGGGAGCTGGTGACCAGCCCTTTTGCCCTGGGCTGCACCCACAGTGTGGATGAAGCCTGGAAGGTTCTGCACCCAGATCCCAGGTAGCTGGTAAGCAAGGAGTGTCTGGTGGCAGCAGAGCCACATCCCTCCCTGAAAGTCACTTTATATTTGTCTTTACAGGAGCTGTCACCATCTCTTGGAATAGATGTGCATACAAATAAACAGAGGCACCTGGAGCTTACTTTTCTAGTAGAAATGAAATGCAAGCCACACAAGTGATACTTTTAAAAATTTTTAGGAGCCTCATTTCAAAAAGTAAAAAAAACCTGAAACCGATTTGAATGTATTCTATTTCCTCTAGTATGTCTAAAATATCTTTTCCACCAGTTCTCCATCTGTAAACCACAACAGCGTCCCCCTTAATTGAAATTCTGCTTTCTGAACAGCTGCTAAGAGGTGATTAATCGGCCAGAAGATACCACATAGGAAGTTCCTGAAATAAGTCCGAAATAACGTTGGCTACGGAAGACGGGAGGGTTCTAATTATCTTTGTTTATCTCTTTCTGTGCCAAGCGTATAAATTAAGCTTTAGTCTGGGTGTGTACACACACGTAGGAAGAGACATAACATATATAGATGTCGGTACTATCCAGGATTTCAGGCATCTGCAAAACGTCTCAGGACACATCCAGAGGACAGGATGGGACTGTGGTAGTGAATTTATATACTATTTTTATCCTTAGAACCTAGGGTGTTGTTCACACTTAAACTTGATCAAGTGCCCCATAGCCACCAATAACTAGTGGCTGTCACATAGGAAAAGCAGGTCCAGAGGGACAAAGGTCATCATCAGGTAAACAGTTCTGGCTGTAGTGTAGTGGTGGCTCTTGCAAAAACTAACTCTGGCTTTGGGCAAGTCAGAGAAAGCTGTTTCTACATAGAACATGGAAGCCACCTGTCACAGCTCTGTGTAGTGTGACAGGAGGCACTGGTGTGTAACTCAGCACACAGATGACACACAAAGCAGCAAGGGCAGGAGATCACAGACAGGGGTACTGCACTTCCTATTTGTCACCCCAGCCCAAAAATGCAAAACCAGAAATACTCTAAAATCCAAATTTTTTCAGTGCCAATATCAGTCTCCAAATCAAGTCCCACACCTGACATCAAGTAGTGGGTAGCAGTCAAAACAAAGGCACACTAAAAAATATTGTTGGAAATCCATCTTCCTAATTCTGTGTTTAGATTAGGTCCTATCCCCCGAGATATCCCATTATATATCTGTACATGCAAATTTGCTGAAATCCAAAAGCATCTGAAATCTGTAACACTTCTAGTCTCAAGCACGTCCCATAAGGATTCCTCAACCTGCATTATTACCTTACTCCTCACCACACACTATGAAGTGTGTGCTGTTATCACCCCCATTTCTGCGGAAGAGAAAATGGAGGCGTAGAAGGATCACGGTCAGATATCAGCAACAGGCAGAAATGAGAGCAAAGCGCAGAGGAATGGCCCAGCAAGCACACACTCAGCTCCAGTACATGCTGCCTCCCCATGGTGGACAGAGAGGGTCATTTCCAAAAGGCTGAAATTGTTAACAAAAGTACGTGCACTGTTGGCACCTCACAATTGCATTTCCTAACCTCTCTAGACTACACACTTTACCTCCACACAAGAGCAAACTCTGTATGAACGTTTTCCCCATTAAGCATCACCATTAAGCATCACAGCAAAGCAGGACCCAGGTTATCAGTACAATGGTGCAACATCCCCATGGTCCCTTGTTACATAAAACTTATAATTAAAAACTGGTCTGCAAATTAAACTTTTCCTTGTGGCATAACCAGTAACAAGGATGCCAAGAGAATAACACCCCAGAAAATGCAGTGTACAGGCTGCTAAGGGGGCTGTCTAGAAAACACACACCCTGAGAAATATATTCCACCAGGCACATCTGACGAATCATCATTACCTCTGGAACAGCCACTACATCATAACAACGCATTAAATGGCTGGTGGAACCGGGATCAGAATAAAGTCAGTCTTTCTTAAGTGTCCAAAACCATATAACTGACATTTTATCTAAGTGCATCTTTTAAAAAATTTGGAAAGGGGACTTAAGGCTCAATTTTGTTCCAAGAAGGCTTGAAACAATAAAGTTGAAACTCAGTCTCACAAACTGGGTTAAAACAAAAATATTAATGATTTAACCAGAAAAGGGAAAAAATAAAGAGACATTATTGAGTTACTTGTCAAAATAACACTGTGTCAACAACCCAAGTCAAACTATCAATGAGGGAGCGGGGGCAGAGAGAGAGACAAACCAAACGGCAAAGGCAATCAGACTCTTGCACATAGAAAAAGCCAGAGACTGCCAATTCTTTGAAATCAACATACAACAAAAAAATCACAAAGAAATTCTATGCCAACATATCTATTCTCTGTGGGGGTGGTAAAATGCATAAATACTGTCAAAGTGTTTATGTATGTCTACATCTTTAATATATCCACATCTTTTATGAAAGCTGTTAGCCCTATCTGACCACTTTCCTAAAATACAACTGAAAGCACATCTATCACTTTCTTTTCAGAGCTGCTTTCAGAATTGTCCAGGGCCTGTCCCTTGGAAAGCTTGGGACCTCCTGCTCTGACTGTACACAAATACTTGAGATGGGAGCTTCTGCAATTTCTTTCCATCCTCTCCCTCAAAAGCTGAGATTACCCCATGGTCCCTCCACATGTTCAGATGCACAAATAGATCAGAAAAAGTCACAGCCCACCGCTGCATGCTTCCTGTTCTGCAAGTTGCCAAGAAGCCCACCACTGAAGAGAATGGCAGCCTGCTCAGAACAGTGTCATTAAACATAAGTCACTTCACCACCTTCTCGAGAATCTTTGCTGTGGTTTTTCCAGCAATAACATACATCAGAAATAGACCCAGTCTGTGGGTGTGTCAGGTTGACCAGGAACCACAACAAAATACTAGTGGTTCTGCTTAGATCAGATTCAATCCAAGCCAACTAACCCAACTGTCAAGTAGATGTCAAGCCGATTGTCATCTCCCATCCACTGTTAGCAGCTGCCTTGTCACTATGTCTAGAAGGATTCTGAGGCCCTATCTTGATCTATAAGAGTGAGTTCATAATGTCGATGTGTAATGATTGCCATGGAAACCAGGGAAACAAATGCCTACACACACCTGTGATCCCATGGCCCTCAACACACTAACCAATGTCCTGCAAAAGGTGCAGCTTCACGTCTTTGGGCAAAGATATATATTTCTTTTAAGATAATGCAAATTCTAAAAGCTATCACGCCTATGTAGTTTTGATGGGTTGTTCCTGGGAAAGCAGTACTGTCAACTGTGGCTATCACAGCCTTGAAGAAATTACAATGAGCTGACTTTGTCACTCGTTTAAGCAAAATACAAAATCATCTTCATTATGATTTAACCTAGTAACTCCCACCCCCTCTTACTTCCTGAGCTTTATAACCACCTTCAGAGGCAAGAGAAGAAACCTTGAATCCTCCTGTATGACCAGTAGAAACTCAACAAGCTGTGACCCGAGCTAAGGCCACAGATTTTAGTCAGCTCTGCTGTCCCTTGCAACACTGAATGAGGTCCTGCCCAGGAAGCTGCAGACAGCACTACCCAGACAATTCGAGTGACCTTAGGCCAATCACTTTGTTTGTTTTTCAGTTCCCTACAGAATCAAGAAGCATAAAACTCTGTCACCTCTTAGGACCTCTTCCAAGGAGACCTCTACAAGGTAAAGCAAAGGAAAAGGAGTTGAGATGTGAATAAATTATTATAAGGTATAATAGACAATGGGAAGATAGAAGAATGGAAACTTTCTGAAAATAGATCTCAGATATACAGTCCATAGATTGTACCACTAGTAAATGGCAGAGTGTCATTATCCCTATGGATTCTTTTTTAAAAATCTGGCTTTAAAACTAGAATGTGTGCTCCGATTGTTCTGGGTGATAATGGTGCCAGAATTACTAACCCAACGTCATTGTTTTAGGTGCTGGCTGGGGCAGGTGGTTAAGTAAATCATATTCTTAGCTGCAGGGGATGCTGTCATCATGGCCACAGAAACCACAGACACAATGAGTTAGGGGCGAATCAGTGGGAACCATTCCAAGCAGCTCACGAGAACCTGGTGTGGCTCTGTGTAGCAGGCGACATCACAGGTCCTTACAGCAGTCAACACAGCTTGGGAAAGCTCTGACAACACATTATTAAACACAATAAGCTTATTGTATTTCTGTATTTCCTTGATTCTAAGGTGCTCCATTAACTTCATAATAGCGTCCCAGTGCCACTTGCAAAAGCGAGAGAGAGTAGAAAATAAGAACACTATTACTAGTGCCCACAAGTGTACCCCTCAGTTCAGAAGCACACTGGGAATTTGGGAAAGTTAAAATGAGAGAAAGGCTTACACTGAGAGGTCTCACCATGGAGGCAGTATGAGTACTGTGCCTTCAGGGAGGTTTCACAGTTATCTACAGGAAGCCAAACCCTCCTAAAAATACTGTGCAGCTATGTCAGACCGAATTATCCTGCATCCTGAACAATGGCCGTATCTTGCACATTTCTGCTCCCAAACAGGAGAGAAGGGTGCTACTTGCCTTTCCAGGTTCACACTCTGTCCCGTCAGCCCAGGGGGTGTGCAGTGTCTGGCAACTTTGAGATTTTCGATTCGTATTGCACCACAGCCGTCTACACTGCACCTGCTCCAATTCAGTTGAATGACAAGCAAGATACAGTAAGATTAAGTCAGTAAAAAAACAAAGCAAAAATCACTTTCAATTAAAGTCTTGCCAATGATGTACAGGATAGCTGGGGAAAGGATTTATTTCTTGGTATTACAAATAAGAAAACATTTCATGGAATATAAAGAACAGCCTGGGAGATGTGTTTCTGGGGCTGGTGGGGTGCAGTGGTATAAAAAGGGAGCACTGTACATCCGGGACACACATGGCATCATAGGGTCTTTGGCAATACCTCCCTGTGTCACACATGGGGACATCAAGGCTCAAGAAGACCAGGGACCGTGCTGAATATCACACTGTGTGATCTGAGGTCAGCATTTGCCTTTGGTGTGACCTCAGAACTAGTGTGTGTGTGTGTGTGTGTGTGTGTGTGTGGGTGTGTGTGTGTGTGGTTTTTTTTAGGGCCACATAATATCACAATCATATTATGAATCATTTTTAGGGTCTTAGGGGGTGTTACAGAAAAAAAGACACAAAATACTGTGAAATATTTCAGGCATCAAAAAGTCAAAAAGACAACATAATGGATTCTCAGGTACCCATTACTCCACTAAAGTGGTAATGGAAACTTCACAGGTGAGCCAAGGGCCCTCTCTCAGTCCCCACCTCCCACTCCTCAGTTTCCCTTCCCATTCCCTTCTCCCTAGAGGTGGCCATGCCCTGCTCAGTGCTTTACACCAGCACACTGCAATCCACCAGTCAGGTGGAGGGTTTCAGCTCCCTGCAAACAGGAGACATCAATCTGCCCATACAGCTCACTTCCTTCCTCTCCCAAACAGTCTTGCTTTTAGATTTACCCCAATTGATATCCTTAATCTAATGTAAGGCACATTTTTTAAAGATAATCTATCTTTTTTGTAATTATTACAGTAAGCCATACTCAGAATAGAAAAGTTGAGAAGTTACTAAGTTAATTGAAAAAGTAAGGGAAAAAAAGGCCCCACGTGGAGGTATAGACGGTTTTCCCCCTGCTGTGTGCTCTGACACTAAATGCAGACACTGGTATTTGGTTGACCTTTCTTGTATTAGCCATTTCAATGACCCTGACTTTGTGCTACCATGAGTCACACAGAAATGGATGCTACTCTGGATAAAGTTACTTTAGCTTCTAAAAATTATGCCTATGGACTCACTGGACTCCAGTTCGTCTCTGATGGTGCCACTCCTGGGTGCCCAGTTCTGTTCATCTCCAACCTGATGACATTGAGTGTCTAAACATCCATGCTACCGGGGTGGAAAATCACAGTCCACTCCAGCTAGGCCCACCGGAAGTGACAATCCTCAGGTGGTCACAGGACAAGACTATGACAAGCTGAGGCAGGCCCCCCTGGATGCCCTTTACCCTGGAGGCCCTTTACCAGTTCTATGAAAGTCTCTATAATTTGGGTCACTTGGACACGTACGACAAGTAAGGAGACAGGAGAGAGAGGAGTGGAGCTCTGCCAGGTGCCTTCTAAGCCTCACTTTCGCACTGGTAAATGCTGGTCATGTCCCTGAGGGTGGTCATCAGAGTGGAATGACGAAGTGTAGGCAAATCACCACAGTGCAGTACTCTGTGCACTGTGGATCCTGAAATCACCAGGAGTCTGTTTTATTCCCACCTTTTTCTTGGGTGTATGAGAGACAGAATCCAGTGAGAAACTATGAATAAAAAGAAGCCCAGAATCAACAGACAAGGCAGAAACAAACCCCAAACCTTACCATGTATGGACACAACTCAGATCCTGGTCCAAAAATCAATTCACATTGTGTATTCACGTTGTAAAGGCGGCCTGGCAGTTGAGGAGGAAAAGGGTAGGGTCTGGATTCAGGTTCGTTAAGCAAACATTCACCGTATCCAGTGCTGTGGGAAGCAGAAACAAGCAGATATGAAAAGAGGGAGTCCATGGCTCCCGATAGATGGAAAGGCCACCCCACCCATCTAACAGCAGTGAAGATGGTTTCTTTCTGGACTTTGCTTATTCTCTTCAACCAAGGGTAAGTCTGAAGCTAAAGTCACGTTTTTGGTGTACATTTTATCAAACCACATCCTATGCATATGGCATAGGCAGCAGGAAATCTATATCTGTGACAGCACTGACCATATTTGGGACAACTATCTGTTTGGTTTTCCTCTTTCCCTATAGACTGCCAGCTTCTTAGGGACATGGACAGTGTCTCTTTTCAGCTTGGGGCGTGGTCCATTGCAACAGATGTTTACTAAATGTCTGCCAAAGGGATGAGAGAGTGAGTGAATCAGTGACTCGTAGAAAGAAAACACCTTGCACCACCTGCTTAAGAAGAAAAACAGCAGCCCTCTAGCTCTCTAGCTTCTCTACAAACATCTCTCCTGGAAAATTCACACCCAACAAGTCCTGATTAATAAATCCCGCCACTTGGGAGGACTGCTCAGCCTTCCTACATCTGGGAGAGAAGAACAATACATCTGTGACACACAGGCATTGCATAACATAATTGGATCTTTGAGCAGCCTGGCAGGAAGTTAGAAACAAAATACGAAAAGAAAAGAAAGGAGAGGGGAGAGAGAAAGAGATGAGATCCTTGATTCATCTCCCTTTCTCTCTCCAATTTCTGCCCACCCCTGTAACCTTCCCAGGGACCATCTCAGATCCTAGCCCTTTCCAAACCAAAATTACTAAGTTAAACGTCCACAAATACTTGTGGGTCTTCATCATGGCATCACATCGACTCTTCCAAAGCTGAACAAATTTCAAAGCTTTCCCCAAATCCAGCCACATTTCCACATTCTTTTTGAGATCCAAACCTTTTCTTTCCCTCAGCCTGTAACTTTCTAAACACTGGCGAAGTTTGGAACTGCACAGATGAAAGAGAGGGCCTTTTCCCCTCCTTCAAGGAATGTCAACAAAAATAACAACTCAGAAGGAATGCTGGACTCTGCATTTTCTTTCCCACAACTAGTTCACTCCATGTAGGCCAGATTCTAGAGGTTTGTGCTCAAATAAAGCTCAAGACTTACTCTAAAAACTCAGTGATATATTTTCGACTACACTTTGACCACACCCAGGGGTTGGTGTTGACGGTCAAGGTGGGGGCCATGACATGCTGGATGCTCTTCACGTCTTCCTCTTTACATTTACTGCTGTCATCGTGAGGCATGTTGAACCTAGAGCCAAGGAGACAATGATGAGAATGTCAACAAACGCCCAGGTTTGGTGTTGAAATGACTGCTTCAAGCACACATCTAAGAGAAAAGAAAAATCAATCGGCTATTGGGTTGTGGACAAAAACCTCAGGCAGGTGAGTAGAATACAATTGAAGACAATTCAAGATAGAAAGTATAATAACAACAGCACTGTCATTCAACTTAATATAAAGTGTCTTTAATGCATGAAAAAAAAAAAGAAGAAGAAGCAGCCAGGCATGGTGGCTCATGACTGTAATCCCAGCACTCGGGAGGCTGAGGTGGGAGGATCGTTGCGAGGTCAAGACCAGCCTGACTTACAAAGTGAGTTCAAGGCCAGCCTAAACCGCATAGTGAGACTCCGTCTCCAAAAAAAAAGTGTCTTTAATGAATAAAAAGACACATACCCAGCCACTTTTTGGTGTAAGCACACTTGTTGGAAGTACAGAAACTCTGAATGTGCTGTAGTTGTTGCTACAGTACAGTAGTTAGAATTCCTAACAAACTGTTAAGGGTGTTTTATAGTCAAGAATTTGGCAAGGTGTGACACTGATAATAAGTCATCCAGTTGTGAAATAGGAAGAAAATATTCAAATGGGGAGAGAAACTAGGGGGAGGAGGAGGAAAAGCAGGAAGGGAAAAGGGGGGGGGGGAAGATGAGAAAAGAAGGATAAAGTGGAACAAAGCTTTTGTAAATAAGGAGGGGAAGGGAATTGAAGGGAGAGTGAGAGAGAGAAAAAAAAAAAAAAAACCAGACAGACAGAACCATAGAACCCACAGTGCATTAACCCAGCTGGTTTAACCTGGCTGGGGATGGCAAACAGTTCCACATTTGTGTCCACACTCACTGCCTGGGACTTGCTTCCTGGAGACTTAGGCACACGGGGTTCCTCAGCTCCTCTGGGCTCTGCCCCAGTGGGCTGCGAGGAGCTGCCAGCATCCCCTCCGGCCCAGGCTGGGCAGCAGCCTCAGCACATGCTCTCCATTCTTGGCTGAGCCAGAGGAAGTGGGAAGGAAGTCACAGCTAGCCTTTCTCATCCAGAAGCACTGACCCATGGCCACGAGGCGTTCCCTGTCCATCTGGTTACAAGGCTCCCAGGGAGACCGCTGCCAGTCAGACAGCTGCAGCATGTGGCCAGTTCAGCTTGGAGGAGGGAATTCCCTCCACTAGCTCATCCTGAACGCGGCACTAAGTGAGCCAGGCAGCAGTGTGCAGCCCGCCTCACAGCAAAGCAGCAGCTGTGGCAGCTGGGCGTGACAGCGCACACCAAGACCCCAGCACTCTGCGAGGCTGAGGCAGCAGGATGCAAATTCCAGCCCAGCCTGGGCAAGACAGTGATTTAGCGAGACTCTGTTCTGAGGCAAAGTTGAATGAATAAATCCAAAGGGCTGGGGAGGTAACTAACTCAGTGCAAAGGCCCTGGGTTCAAATCCAGGACTGGGAGGGGGAAGAAAAGGGAAAAGTCATTGGGTCCACTCCAGAATTTATTTAGTTTTCTCTTTCTCTAAAGGAATGTAGGCCCCTCAATTGAATAGGGAAAATCTCTTATCTTCCTCGGTTCTACCTAGTACTTAATAGGTTTTTTTGTTTGTTTTTCTCCCTTTTTGAGGCAGGGTCTCACTATGTGGTTCAGGCTAGCTTTGAGCTCACTTTGTTGCCAAGGTTGGTCTGGAACTTATAATGATCCTTCTGCCTCAGCCTTTCCTCCTGCCTCAGCCTCTCGAGTGCTGGAATTACAGGCATGCACTACCATGCCCAGCAAAGTACTTCATAGTTTTAAATGCACAAGAGTCTATCTTGTTAAAAGAATGACTGTTTGGGTTTCCAGTTGCCAACTGCACAATCACTGCAATATTTATACTAATAAACTCCAAACCAGCACTGTATTCGGACTCTAGCTTACTCTTCTATGCACAATAGAGCTGGCCTGTGTTCCCTACCCCACCATGGCTTGGTAAAATCAGTTTATTTGTTATAGGAAGAAACTGTATTTTCACTCACATGCCAAGTATCTTTATTACAGGAACTAAATAATAAGTATTTACTGAACATTTATTTAAGGAAGGCATACTATTGTTGTTGTCGCTCTGAGGAGTAAATCTGGACCTCACACATACAAGGCAAGGCCTCTACCACCGAGGTATATCCCCAGCCAGGCTGAACCCTTATTGAACAGTAGTAATCCTGATGCACTGGGAAATACACGCAGTGCTATGGATGCTTTATTTCATCTGCTCAGGTCATTTTATTGCTCAGTGGATAATACCGCCAGCCCGTGGCATCTGCAGGTGGAAAATGCTCAGTCTGCTGACTGTTTTATCTCCTTGTCATCATTTTCTAAACCCTATAGAGTGAGAACTCTCTGGGCAGCTTTTACACTGGGTGAGGTATTACAGGTAACAAGAGATGATTTAAACCGGCCAGGAGACTACACACAGGTGCTATGTAGATATTACGCATCTTTAAACAAAGGGCTTGAACATCTTAGGATTTTGGTGTCCATGTGGTTCCCAGAACCAGGCCCCATAGACATCCAGGCTGACTGTACCATTACAATGAAGAACTGAGCCCCAGGGCAGTGTGACCCTTGATAAGGTCACAGGACTACTCAGGTGGGACATCGGGACTAGAACTCTCCTGGCAGCCCTTGCTTCTCATGAAGATGCCTTGGGAGCCAGGGGACAGAGAAGACACTGAGGAAGCAGGTCTGGCTGGGCACAACTGCTAAACGGGAAACCAGGCCTCTTTTGTACTCCACATGTTGGCTTCTGAGAATGCTTCATTGGAGATAAGAAGGGATGTACTCTTAAAATATGGTCAAAGGAATGTTATGGTTTGTGTCTAGATGTCTCCCCAAAGCCTCATGCAGTCATGGAAGCTGGGCTTTTCAGAGGGGGATCAATATAAAGTATGTGATTAAGGGTGTGATTGCCACACCCACCCTAGGGTGGGTAGCTTGAGTACAATATAAGGAACAGAAGGAGGCTTATCTCCTCCCTTGTTGCTTTTGCTGCCTCATGAGTGCCATGAACTGGTCTCCCCACACCACCAGGGGTTACATATTTAATAGCAGTAACAAGAAAAGTAACGAACACAAGATACTAGTTTAAAAATATGTCCATTTTTACAGAACTGACTCGGAGATGCCTCTGGGTGTGTGTGTGTATCTTTACTCTGTGCCTAGCATAGCACACTGCATATAAGGCATCTTCTAAAAATATTTGAGTAAAAATGCTTGTCTAATAAATGCTACCTCTAAATAAAGTTCTGATACACCACTGACATCTGGCTCTATAGCACTAACAACATCTATTCCAAAACTATAAAGTATGAGTGATTTTTTTTTTGTTTAAAAGAAAACAATGCAGTTTAACAATAAGAATAATTTCTAGCAAATTTACACCGATATGCCTCATATCCTTACTGTGCTGTGTCTCTAAAGACACCAAGGGAAAGCTCATTTCCTCTCGGCCACTTAGTGACCAGAACTAGGAAATGTCTCCTGTTCTCTATCTTTGCGCATTCTCTTTTCTCAAAGAGGCTGTAACTTTCCCAGATGCTAAGTGTCTGAATTATAGCTGCTGTCAGGATGGATCTCGATTTGTAAAAATCTCATGGGCCAGGGCAGCATTGGGGGACCCTCCTGGATAGAGATGTTGAGTCAGGAAAGTTCTCTACATTAATGTACCCTCACCTTCAGTGGACGGAGTAGAAAGGCCCTATGCCTCCTGCTTCCAACAGAAAAAAAGAATCCTATTAAGGCTTGCATGTTAAAAAAAAAAAAGCTTTGCATATCAAACATGAGCAGTTTCACCAGAGATACACATGAACCGTGGCTGAAGAGGGCGTGCTGCATTGACTCTGCTTTCTGAAGTCAGTCATTTCTTCCAAGTAGGTCCAAAGCTTCCACTCCTACAAATGCTGCCGTGACTCGGGAAGTATCTAATATCCTCCAAAGTCAAGCAGATGCTCACTGATGCGAAGGAACGAAAGTCGGGTTGCTCAGAACGGAATGAAATTATGCAGCAGAAACTTACACATGGCCCAGCTCATGGGCAATTGTAAAAGCTGTACTCAAGCCGTTATCCTCACTGATAGAACAGCTTCTGTAGGGGTCACAGATGGTCCCCAGCTCAGCCAGACCTATGAGATGGGGGTAAGAACAGCAAGGATTGACTTTAAAAAGCGATTATGGCTTGTGCTGGAAACACGCTGTACACCATTCAGTCATAGAGGACTTGTGCAGAGGACTCACCTAAGGTGTCGCACTTGTCATGAGCTCTGCAGATGTCCTGTCTGAAAACAAAGCAGTGTCAATGCCTTCACGCACCAAAAAGCAAGGAGCAATGCACACAAATACCTCAGAGGTTTTCAGACACCACAGCACACTCATGTGCACGTGCGTGTGGTCACAGCAAACTGACAACGCAACGGCTTCAACACAGAAATGTCTGGGGAGCATTGATTTAAGGGTTAGAGGCTGCAGTAAGAAGTCTGTTTGTGCAGCCAGCAGAGCCACAGAGAAACCAGAATGCTCTCTGACCAGGACTTCCCCCAAGGCCCTACGGTGAGCAACTGGAATTTTACAAAGACTCTTAAAACATTCTTGAGACAGCGCTACATGCCTTGTCCTTCAGTTTATTTAAGAGCAAGGAGAGGGTGGGGGTGTGGCTCAGCAGTAGAACACAAATGCAAGGACCTCTGAAAAACCAAGAGCACAAGAGAAGTGTTTTAGACTATGATCAGAGGCATCTCACCACAGGAGGCGCAAAGACCACTAGCCTTCTTTCTTGTTCTGTTACAAGGTTATAAACAATTTCAAGGTATGAGCTATCTTTAAAAAATTATGAGATTTCACATTTAAAAAAAAAAAAACAACTCCTATTTCTAGCTTCTTGCACACTTAAGCCAGAAACATGGGAATCAGGTGCCAGGAGGCAACAATGACCCTGTAGCAACAGTAGCTGCCCCGTCTCAGCGGTGGGATGGAGAACTATTTTTTTTCGACCTGGCCTAGGGCATTTCTTCTTATCTGGCCTCAGCAGGTCCGGCCAGGACTGACCCTTCTTCCTCCTCTCCTAGGGGACATCTGGAGATAATAAAGGAGTCATGCTCCAGAGAAGGGCCTGCAAATGATGGCAGTGAGCTGGGCCAGGGATGCTGTCAATACCCTGCAACGCTTAGCTCAAGGCAACCCCAGTAGCAGATTTTCTGGTCCACAGGTAGGTTGTAAACTGAGAAACTCCCACTAGGGCTGAGCTATGTGACCACACCCTACCACCTTAGCCCCAGGCGGAGAGGCTGAGAACTGGAAATCTACTTACCTTGTAATAAGCACAGCAGTATCATGCCGGATCCCACCTGGGTAATTCTTCGAATGCTGCCACTGGCAGAAGTTTTTTAATGTTGTCTGGGCATTATAAGATATGAGAGGTCCTTCCTAAATACAGAGGAGAATTATGGTTGGTCTCTGCTACCCACACCAGTCAGAGTTGCCATTTTGTATACAGGTAGAAGGAAAAACAAAACTTTATTACCTGTTCATCATGAATCACAACTAAGTTCACAATAACAATATTAATTAAATTTCCAATACTTGGGTCTTTATAGATAGAGGCTACCTGCAACCGAAATAAATTTTTCAAGTTAATTGTGAAATCTCTGTAAGTAATAAGCAATCATTTCTTAAGTTAAGCTCCATTATTTTGGGGGTTTTTTTTTGATACTAGGAATTGAACTCAGGACCTTGCACTTGCCAGACAGGTGCTGTGCCGCTCCGCTCAGCTATATCCCCGCCTCCATTTCCTTTTTACATTTCACATCACACATGTGTTTTTTCATTCATTCAACAAACATTTATTAAAGTCTTTCTGTAGAACTATAGATGGCAATTTTAGAACATAATGAACTCAAGCAACTTTAAATTGCTGGGCATTTTCCCCTAAAATCACACTGTCATGCATCTTAGCAGTTCTCTGTACCAAAACAATGGATGTGAATTACCGTCAACCTCTGTCCTCCCACCTGAAGTCCTGGGTTGCCGATTTACAGAAGCTCACATAGTTTGTGAATCTTCCAGTGCTCTGGACTTATCACCTGTTTGTACCCCCAAGCCCTTCGAAACCTGTTTTGGGTTTGTTTTGTGTTGCTAAAATCAGTTAGAAGAGCTGACATTCACATTACTGTGGACTAGCTCCTCTCTGAAAACTGCATATGCATTAGCATTTACTCTCAATGGTGAGACTTTAAACCAGGTTTATTACACCTCTATGCAACAAATGAGGACTCTAAGGTTCAGCACAGTTAAGTAACTTTTCCAAGGCTCCACAAAACAGTGGTTAGCAGCGGAGCAGGAACTCTGAGCTGAGGTCATGCACCCCAAAGCTCCTGTTCATAATCCAAATTCTTATAAGAGAAATTATGGGGTGCACACAGAGCTGGGGCTGTGCAAGCCAGAAGGGTTTTCCCTTCCCTCCTTCTGGTCACGAGGGCTGGGCACATGGAACCCAGCAGGGACACAGGGGTGTGAAGGGGAGCGAGTCGGCACGGGGTGCCCGGAGGAAAGGCCCACAGCGGTGAGGGGAAATACAGGAGCAAGGGCACCCCAGGCCAGGGGGGGCATGGAGAAACCCCAAAGCAATATTCCTGAACACAGGCTTTTCACCCTTATCTGGGGGAACTGACAGAAGGGAAATATTGTTCAGGAGAATTAGGTCGTCTATAAGGAGTAACAGTGTGCGAAGGCTAAGAGAGGGAGCAGAGCTCCAGGGGCTGCTGAGGGACACTTTCTATTACTTTTACTTTTGTCTTTGTTGTTTCTTTGTGATACTGGGGATTGAACTCATGGTCTTGTGCATACCAAGCAAGCATTCTGCAACTGAGCTACACCCATAGCCCTCCGATGCTTGTTTTTAAACAGAAAAGTATAAACAGGCTATGAGTGCACTCTCTTTTTGTCTGGAAAAAGACAGCTGTTTCTCCGTGTTCAAAGAGACTGGCTCTGGAACTCCAGAGGATACCGAGCTCTGAGGGTGAGCAAGCTCCATATCTGCGTGGGGTCCACTCTTATCCTCCCAAGAGCTCTAATCATCGCCAGGTTATTAATAATACCTGAAACAACACGGATAGTTGTTATGCTCCAAGAAAAAATATCTGTACCTGGTTGGCAGAGATGAAAGTTCAGTACAGGTAAAGATTCTTTCCAAATACTGCTAACCCATGGGTAGTGGAGTCCACACATGGGACACCCATGGGTAAGAAGGGCCAACTGCATATGCAAACGTATATGCCTAAGAAATGCCTACAGCATTGCCCTTACTGGGACCACTCAGCCCATATGCTACTGCTAAGGACTTTCCATGTGGCTAGTCTACACTGAGATGTGCCATGAACATAAAGCATGCACTGACTTTTGAAAACATAAGTAAAGTCTTTAAGAAGTTGCTTTTGATCTTGTTATGTATATGTAGTCTAGGTTGGCCTTGAGGTTTCTATCCTCCTGTCTCAGCCTGAAGGATTCTGGTGTGCGTCACCACATCCAGCCATCTCATTAAGAAATATTACAACTACAGTATTTAGATATAATTCAGAGCATAGTGTTAAAACTAAAACCTTACCTTTTTCTTGTTACTTTTTTCAAAAAATGTACCTGCTAAAAAATTTAAAATTAACAATGCCATTTGCGTTGTATTTCTGTTGAGTAGTGCTAATTAGAAGCAACAATGTTTTAATAACAGTTGCTTCTGGGAAGTCACTGGGGAATCTGCATAGACAATACTTGCTTTTAATCAGTAATTTTGGCTTCTTTTGGACTTTTTAATTATGCAAATTTATCATGTTTTCAATTCAGTTTAGAAGTACGAAAAGGTGCTTCACTCCAGGGCTGCTTACTGAGAAAACTGTGCAAGATGCTACAGGTGACAACTGCATTTTTTTACAGCTCCCTGGGGGACTGTAGTTGACAACAGTATAATACAGTACCATATTATTGAAAAGCCACACCTGGCTGTGGAAGTTCATAAACCAAAGAGCAGGGATCTGGGGAGTGGACAAGCTGAAGGTCACACACAGAGTTGAAGCACCCTGCCAGCTTCCCGTGACTACTGGCAAGTGACCTAACTCCTTTGAGACTCAGTTCTGTTTTCTACTAAATGAGATCACAATCCAGTCTAGCAGGATTCGAAATTATGCCTTGTAAGTGAGAAACACATTTAAATTTCATATAAAACACAGAACAACCAGTCAGTTTCTATAACCACTATCGATAATCAGTGTTATGAAAAGACAGCAAGTGAATAATCGGAAGTCCCCTTCTTTTGTTGACTGGAACCATTGAAAGGGCAGCCCTGAACGTCTCCAAAGCACTGTGGGAAACCCTTCCCCAGGACACCAAGAGGACAAAGGATTTGCTTGGGAATATACTTACAATGGCCATTAAGGTTAAAACATAGTGCTGAAGGTTCGCTCCGTGGTATAAAACCATTTTCTTGTCCGCCACTACCATGACTTCTACAAATCGTGGGTAGGATAAAAAGCGTTTGGTCCTTCTGTGGGTTCTCTTGTCCCTGGGGCTGTCGGTCTTGTTCCTGGAAGCAGAGACCACCTCGGCTGCCAGCCCGCTGTCCAGTGCTGCCAGATCATCTGCCAGGCTATTTGCACCTCCCCATTTCCTCCGGCCGGTTTTCCTCTTGTCTTTCCTGCGATTGCTTCTGTGTTCTGTAATGAATCAGATGGCATGCATTATGTATCAAGTCACAGCCATTTCCTGTTAGGAATTTAATTTGATATATCCCCAAATAATGCCTCTAGCATCATATTTCATATCAAACAAGGCTGTGGACTCTACAGGTGCAACTCAATCTGCACAACTCATTTTGGTGACCCAGGATTCCAGACTAGCTTCCCTGAGAAGCTTCAATCGATGCATACTTAAGGTATTAGAACAGGATTGCACACAGTTCCTTCCACTGCATGACAAATGGCTTGCTGGGACGCGGGCAGGTCTCACTCAGTGTTTTTTGCTATAGATACCAGCAGGGCTAAGGACACAACTACAAAACCACAGATAACAGAAACGGAGATGATGCACATCTATCATTGTCAGTGCCCAATGACATGCCCTAGAAAGAGATTGGAGGGTCTGGCAGGCAGTGATATAAAGGAATTGTACAGAACACATTATGAGGCATTCTATTACCTTATTAGACCATTATAATACTTAAAATAGGGGCTGGGGGTTTAGCTCAGCGGCATAAGCGCCTGCCTTGAAAGCAGGCAGTTGTGAGTTCGATCCCTGGTACCGATAAAAAGGAAAAACACACACACACAAAAAAAAAAACCCTTAAAATAAAAGAATAGAATCACGTCCCTGAATTCTGATGCCTCTGATTTTTAGTTGATATATTTCAGTGCTCACTTGAGGAAGTGAAGTCAGAGAGCACAAGCAGACAGGACCGGAATATATGCCAGGTCAGCTCACCTCATTTCCAGCTCTGACTGAGGTCTCCTGGCTCCTCCACTATCTTGCCACTCACACACTGTCCAGGACCAGCTGCCCTGGGAGAGCCTGGAAGCTTTCTGCAAGTAAGAATTGTGCACTGCATCTCAGGCCTCACTGCGTGCTTAAACAAGATTCCTAGATGACCAGTATCTACAGTCACACTGAAAATTTTAAGAAGAACCACCATGCAACTTGCCCACCTCCTACCCCCCGCAAAAAAAAAAAACACTGAGCAAGAACAAGACCTAATCAGTCACTTTGCTCGTCAGCTCATTAATGTGCTTTAATGCCACTAACTTGGGAGTCCAAACTGAGTAACAGAAATGCACAAGAGAAGTCTGATTGAGTGACCAAGAACAAAGGCATAGAACACACCAGCAAAAAATACTAACAGAAATAAAAGATTGTGCATAGCTTCTCATCGAAGGGCCCAAATGTTTGGCCATGACAACTAGTTGCTAAAACAATCAATTAGGCCAGGATGTCCACTTTGTTCATCTTGAACATTTAGTAATTTTAAGATAATGAAATCTGCCCACACTGACAGACACTTATAATCTAACTATAGAAAGTATGCTTAGCATGAAGCTTGGTGATAGAGTTCAATATTAAATACTTTTTCTTCCACTCTCTGTGAAGCACATTCATATACGTATATTAATGCAATACTGACAATTAGACTGTTGTTTAATTTTTAAATCATTGAACAAATATGGGATATTAATCAGTTTATCTCTTATAAACCAACAAAGCATGTTCTTTTATGCATATTAATTTTACATGTTCCATATTGGAGAAATTACTTCTACTTTACAGATAAGGAAAATGGGTTTGAAGAATTGGGCAACTGGGAAGTAGAGGCACACGGATTAGACTTGATTAACATCCTGCTGTACCCCTGCCATTAGACAAGGTTGCTCAATAGCTGGGAGTTGACATAGATTTACGGCTTGGTTGAAAATTTCCAAGGGAGTCCTGTACTGGGAAGAAGGTGGCTCGAGGTGGGTATTTCCTCAAAGTTTTGTTTTTTATAACAGAAATGTGGAATACACTGAAAATTTACTGTTGTTTAATATATTAAGAAAATGTCACCTATTTTGTGAAAAATATTCCTGAATTAATAATGTCTTCTGCCAACATTTTAATCCAATGTATTATAATTGGTAAAGCTTTAAAAATTTAAAAAGCATTCAAGTCTTGATTTTTATTTTCTATTGACTTCTGCTCTGGCTCTTCTTTCCTTTCTTCTGCTTCATTTAGGATCAGTTAGCTGTCCCCGTACCCCATACCTTAACGTGGAAGGTCAGCCTATGGAGCTTGCATCTCTCCTCTTTCTTAATATGATGATCTCAGCCAACTCTCCCATTTGATTAACATCCTGCTGTACCCCTGCCATTAGACAAGGTTGCTCAATAGCTGGGAGTTGACATAGATTTACGGCAAAGGAGCTAGTCTTCACTTACTTCTAGTCTTCTAAATTTACTGACTTCCCCCACTTAATCTAACAAGTGGCCTATCCTGCAGAGAACGTACATTACGCTGTCAGTGGACAGAATGTTCAACAACTGTCTGCTGGATGGAGCTGGTTTACAGAGACATTTTTCTCATTCCTTGTTGACCTTCTGGCTAGCTGCGCTGTCCATTACAGCGCAGTACTCAAGCTCCCAACTACGGCTACTCGGTCATCCACTCCATCCCTGCCAGTTTTTACCATGGTGGTTTTGGCTCTGTGTCATGGAGTGTATGCAGGTTTACGACTCATTCCTGATAGATGGGCCCCTGTACCCATAATAAGACATCAGAGAAGTGAAAAAGCCAGCCACGAAGTTGTGCAAGGTTGGGTAACTATGGGGGAATGGGGCAGGATAGCCCAGAGTGAAGAAAAGAGTGGTTTCTCAGAATCATCAACAGGATCCAGGCACGGGAAAACCCTGGAGGAGGCAGCGCCGCTGACCCGAAACGAAACAAGGTGTGCTTGTCCAGATGAAGCTGGAGAAAGTACATTAATCAAAAAAGGTGTGACTGCTAATAGGATAACACGTGTCAGTTCCAGGATTTCTGGAAGACGTGTCATTTACTCAAACTCTATATCCGCGAAATACATTATGTGCGTGAAGGTGCAAAACACAAACCTCTTCACAATCAAAGATGCCTAATACACAAGACTTCTCAGTCTTTTATCCATCCACTCTTTCGTCTTAATGAGTTAGAAATGTATTTATTGACCTAATTAGTCCTCCAAATTCCTAGCACATTGCCCATTTTAACAAGCAATTCTGAATTTAGCACCGGAAATGGTACAAAACAGACACTGTCTCTTGTAAAACTTCTTGCCCCTGAAAAGAGCTACGGTTGCAGACACCACACCAAAAGAGCACACACTGTTGCCAGGGGAGCACGCACTGTGAGGATGCATCTCTGGTTAGTAACCTTTTAGCATAATGCAATGAAGACTAGTGTTTCAGGAACTTAGTGTCACTTTGCTGCTAAGTTTTGTAACAATGGCCTCAATAATGAAATTTTACCTTTATGGAAAGCATAGTACAAATGGTCTGCACATTCTTGTGTTTCTTTTCTCATGGGTAGCATTATATTTATCATTACATTTCAATAATAATTTCATTAAGATAAGATGTCCACACCCTTTGAAAGTACTCAATGCAGCCAGTTTTAGCATATTCACAGAGATAAACAACCATCGCCATTACTAATGTTAGAATACTTTCATTGCCCCCAGAGGAATTCTGATTCCTCTCCACAGTCATTCTTCATTCTTCCCCTTTCCCAGCCCTTGGCACCCACTAACCTACACGTTCCACTGATGGCTTTGCCTACCCTGGAGTGTTATATATAAAATGACTCCTACAATCCATGGCTTTTCATGCCTAGCTTCTTTCATCTAGCACAGTGATGGTAAACCTTCCAGAACTTTTAATGATAACAAACAGCTGGCTGCAGCATGTGTGACATAGGTTCGTCACCACTGACCTATCATCAAGTTTTGCAGGTTCATTCAACTTACAGCACTCAGTCAGTATTATATTAGTTTCTATGGACCAACAGCCTACCGAATGCGAACAACGTGTTATGTTTCTCTGCTCATCAACTGATGGGTCTCCGGCAACCCAACTGAACAATGCTGTTATTAAGCTTCATGCACAAGATTAGGTTTGCCTGTATTTTCAGTTCTTTCAGGTATATGCACAGGGGTAGAATGGCAGTTCATACAGGAACTATATGTTTACCATCCCAAGCAAGTACCAAATTGTTCTGCCTTGTGGCTTTGCCTCCTAGATTTAAACAAGACAGTCAGAAACAAGACATTACTTCACAGGTTTCTTCTTTGAGGAGTCTTCAAAAACTTCTCACATTTGCTTTCCTAAATAGCTTGTGAGAAATGTTGTCTGGTTCACATCCTAAGATAGCATGTTGATTCCTCCAGAATCATATGTATGTTTACAGATGCAGGAAATCTCAACAATCTGAACCTCATATATACATGCAAGCAAATGTAGGCAAGTCAAAGAAAAGCTCTACTCAGCAGTTGTGTGCTTTTTGTCACCACATCAGAGGCACTGCAGCTCTACCATAGCGTTCAAAGGACCACAGTTCAAGGCGACTTTCACAAGCAGTCCTGATGGAAGTGACGATGCTTCCACGCCCGCTGCTGGTGTTGCAGGAACTCACGTGCTGGAGGGAATGAGAGCCAACTCAATCCTCTCCGACCTGGACAGTCACTGTATTCACTCGGCCTCCTCTCCTGCTTTCAAAGTGAATGGGAGCCATGTGCACTTCTCAGAGTCACTTACGGCGATCATGGTGATAAAGCGTACAGAGTGCTAGCACAGTGCCCAGGGCACAGGCAGGAAGGAGTAAATACTGTTACTATCTTTTGGTTCTGTTTTGTTTTTACTAGTCATAAAATCATAGTGGGAGTTAGAACTAAAAGGAACCATTTAAGGTAGTGTGACTAGAGGTGTTAACTTTCTGGCTTACAAGAACACTTCAAAGGTATGCGTGTTTATACTCTCAAGTGGGCACGGACTGCACCTGACTCTGCTTCCAGCCCTGCCAGTGCCCTCCCGTGAAGAGCAGCAGCTACAAAACCAGGAGGGCTGAGCGCTGGGCTTCCACCTGCAGTCCTCTGCAGAGGACCTCTGCTGGGCCCTTTCTCTTCCCTGTTTTCTCTTATATGTGTCTATTCCGTTTAAAGGTT